CTGTTGGTGGACTTTCTGTCCTACCAGGTCCTAAAGCCCTTTAGTCCCAAGTAAATACTTAGAGGCTTTTATTAATTATAAAATGTTTGGCTGATGGCTCAGGCTATTTACTGGCTAGCTCTCTCATAATTATTAAACCATTTCTATTAAACTGTGTATTGCCACGAGGCTGTGGCTTACCTGTAATGTTCTAGCATGTTACTCCTTTGGCGGCTACATGATATCTCCCTCTGCTGACTGCTTCCCCGCCTTTCCCATCCCCAGAATCTGGTAGCCCTGCCTATACTTCCTACCTGACTACTGGTCAGTCAGCATTTATTCATCAACCAATAAGAGAAACATATAGTCACAGCATAAAGAAGGACATCCCCCATCACTAAGCATTCTAAAAAGAATTTCAGGGTGGATTTTTGTTGTTTGCAGCTAATGTTTGTGCTAGTCAGAATACAGAGCTTTCTGTGAATCAGCTGTTTCCCAGAGCTGCTGAGGAGGGTCTTCCTGCAACCCCCCATTTTGTTTTTTTGTTTTTGAGACAGGGTTTCTCTTTAGCTTTGAAGCCTGTCCTATAACTTGCTTTGTAGACCAGGATGGCCTTGAACTCACAAAAATGAACCTGTCTCTGCTTCCCAAGTGCTGGGATTAAATGCGTGTGCTGCCATCATCTAACTATGGGCAAAACTCTATCTATCTATCTATCTATCTATCTATCTATCTATCTATCTATCTATCATCTATATGTATAGTGTTCTGCCTGCATGTATTCCTGCAAGCCAGAAGAGGGCGCCAGAATCCCATTACTGATGGTTATGAGCCACCATGTAGGTGCTTGGAATTGAACTCAGGTCCTCTGGAAGAGTATTATTTTGCCTTTTTCTTTTTGGGGGGGGGAAGAGGGGAGAGTGGCCTCACTATATAAAACCTCCCTGACCTCAAACTTGTGCTGGGATTTTTAAAGGTGTGCTCCACCAAGTCTGGCTTTTTATGTTTTTGTTTTTCTTAAGATTTTTATTTTATGCAAATGAGTGTTTCACTTGCATGTATGTATGTGTACCACATTCATTTGGTGCCTTTGAGACCAGAAAAGAGCATTGGAATCACTAGAACCAGAGTTACAGAAGCTTGTTAGCCATCATGTGGGTGCTGGGAACAAAACTCTGGTCTACAAGAGCAGAAAATTCTTTTAACCATGGATTCACCCCTCCGGTCCCACTGTATATACTTTTGAAAAGAAGGTTCAGGTAGGTTTTGTATTTGTGTTGTCTATACCAAATCCTGGTGTCAGAAAGACTGAATTAAGAGATGAAAGGTGGCCGGGCGTTGGTGATGCACGCCTTTAATCCCAGCACTCGGGAGGCAGAGGCAGGCGGATCTCTGTGAGTTCGAGGCCGGGCTGGACCGATAGCCTCCGAAACAATACAGAGAAACCCTGTCTTGTAAAATCCAAAAAAAAAAAAAAAAAAAGATGAAAGGTTAGTGAGTCTCTTCCTCTAACAGGAAGGTTTTTTTCATCTCCCTTGACCCCATTCTACCTTTAATTACAATGCCAGTCTTAGAAACTGTGGTCTAGCCATTTAGCCATTTTATTACTTATTTAAAGAGCTGCAGGTTCCTGATGATGTAAGTCTTTCTCCAGAATGAGGTGAGTGCATTCTTGAATAGACAGCAGTCGTTTTGAGTTAGATTCTCTGTAAGCTACTTTGTTTATTTTAAAGAGTTATTTATTATGTATGCAGTGTTCTGCCTGCGTGTATGTGTACATGGATATGTGTGTAGGTCAGAGAACGACTTAGGGAACTTAATTTCTCTCCTTCTTCCATGTATTTATCAGGTTATCAGGCATGGTGGCAAACATCATTACCTGCTGAGACGTCTTACTGTTCCCTAGGTAACAGGGTTTCCAGCTGGTCTACAAACTTAGTTCCAGGACAGCCAAGGCTACATAGAAACCCTGTCTAGAAAAACAACAACAACAACAGACAAGATTTTCTTATGCAGTCCAGGCTGGACTTGTATTTGCATTCCCCTGCCTTAGTTTCCTGAGTGTTAGGAATGTGGCCTACCATGGTTGGCTACTGTGTTCCAGCTGCATATTTTTCTCTCCCTTAAGGCAGGTAGCACTTAACTTTTTAGTTTCTTATGTTGACCTCTGTATGCTGCCTGAGTGTCTTTCTGCATGTGGTTGAGGTCAGCCAGACTCCTAATATCTGCCAGTCAGACCTAGGTAGGGGAGACAGGGCCTCTTCTTTCCAGCAGTCTCTGCTTTCTCTGTCTTCCTTCCACAGATTGTAGTTTGGGGACTGCCCTCATGCCACCTGGCAGCTTTGGGAAACTTGCTAGGCTCCTTTCTCTTCTGTATCACCTGCTACCTCTTCTTTGTTCTGATGTTTCACCTAGAACTTATGGTTATTTGGAGTATGTTTCATCTAATACATAGTACTTTGTCACTCCTGGATGCAAGCTACTTAACTTTTCACTAAAAAAATAACTGTCTTGGATATATAAGTGACACCCATTTATTTCAGAGTATTTGGAAAACTGAGAAAAGTACACATACATGAATTAAAAGTTATCTATAATCCCATTCACAGAAAAGCCACTGTTAACATGTTTTGATTTTTCAGACCATTCCTTTATTTCCTCCCTCTCTGTCTTAGTTTAGGGTTTCTATTGCTGCCATGAAACACCATGACCAAAATGCAAATTGGTGAGGAAGGAGTTTATTTGGCTTACACTTCCACATTGCAGTCCATCACTGAAGGAAGTCAGGACAGGAACTCAAACAGGACAGGAACCTGGAGGCAGGGGCTGATGCAGAGGTCATGGAGGGTGCTGCTTACCTGCTTGCTCCTCCTGACTTGCTTGCTCAGCCTGTTTTCTTATAGAATGCAGGTCAAGCAATCCAGGGCTGGGCCCTTCCCCATCAATCACTAAGAAAAGAACCTTACAGCTGGATCTTTTTTCAAAAATTATTTTTCTTTCTTTTTCTTTTTTTTTTTTTAGGTTACAACTGGATTTTACAAAGGCTTTTTGTGTTTGTTTTGTTTCCTTGAGACAAGGTTTCTTTATAACAGCACTGGCTGTCCCGGAGCTCTTTGTAGACCAGGCTGACCCTGAATTCATGAGCTCCAACTACCTCTGCCTCCCAAGTGCTGAGATTAAAGGTGTGTGCCGCCACAGCCTGGCTACAGAAGCATTTCTTAATTGAGGTTCCCTCTTTTCAGATAGCTCTAGCTTGTGTTAAGCTGACATAAGACCAGCCAGCCCACTCTTCTTTGTTTCCTGCTCTCTCCTATCTTCCTCTTGTCTTTGTTAAATATGAACAGGACACGTCTGTGTTCACTGTGCCACCTGCTATTGGTGAGCCTGTACTTCGTGGTGTGGGTTGCGGGGCTAAACTCTGTGTCTTTCTAGGCCTCGAGGTACTTAGTTCATTAGCCATGTATGTGACATAGTCTTTTGATTAGTGCCAGTAACTTTGGTGTTTAAAGTGCCCGACCAAGGAGATTGGAAGAGTCAAGTCCTTGAGATTAATTTCATATACCTACTGGGCAGCATTGCTGTTAGGGACCTGCCAAGATGGCAGGGACAGTGCTCAGATGGAGAAGTCTTTACTGACCAAAATTCAGTTAATTGCTCTTTTTGTAAAGTGACATGTCAGTAGCTTTTTAGGTAATTATGCTTTTATGGTTTTTGATTTTTATTTATTTTTTTGAGGGTCTTACTGTGTACCCCTAGCAGGCCTCCAATTCAGAGATCCTTTTGCTTCTGCTTCTTGAGTGCTTGGATTATAGGCAAAAGTTGCTCCACCCAACTTAAAGGTCTTCTAAAAATTTATTTTTATTTTTATTTTTTGCTTTTGTTTTTTGAGGCAGGTTTTCTCTGTGTAGCCCTAGCTGTCCTAGAACTTGCTCTGTAGACCAGGCTGCCTTCAAACTCACAGAGATCTGCCTGCCTCTCACTCCTGAGTGCTGGAATTAAAGGCGTCCACACAAATAATTTTAGTGCAGCTTTTGGTGTATAGCAGAGCAGAAATAAGGTACCAAGATTATCTAAATCCCCGTTCCCTGTCTTTGTATATGTGTAGCCTTACTCCTGTTGACACTGCCCACATCGGTTCACTTGTTTAACTGATCCTACATGGATATGATTGTCATACAGGGTTTATAGTATATACCAGGGCTCCCTCTTGTTGCTGTGCTTATTATAGGTTTAGACTGCCATGACGATCATATTCCCCCAACCCCACCCCTTCCACCCACTTCTTTTAATTGCTGACCATCTTCTGTACTCATAGTTCTACCTTTTCTAGACTGTCAAATGCAGCTAGTTGAAACCATGTAGCTCATACAGATTGAGTTCCTCTGCTTTATTTAAACCTTATTTAAGTAACATACGTATTTCATTTACATATAGACACATATATGTCTACATACATATATGTGTGTGTATATATGTATATATAGACACACACATATGGAGAGAGGAAGGGAGGGGCGGTAATAAAAAAATATCATCTTGAAGATTCCAGATAGATTGTTGTTAATTAGGGTTTTCATATTGTTCCCCAGTAGGAAGGCATCTATATTTTTCCTTTTGTTACTGAGTTTTTGGTTTGAAATTGGGCTATAGCCTCAGAACTAAAGTAAGGTTTTCCAGTTCAGCCCTTTTGTTGTCATTCAGTAGTTAAGATAGTTTTTGAAGCTTGTAGATTGGGGATGATTTAAAATTCCATTTAAAACCAGAATAATAGGTCTTTACTAGTCCTTTTTTTTTTTCTCCTAAGAGGTAAGTTAGAATCTCACAATATTTCTGATACATAAATGTGCATTGTGTGTGTGTGTGTGTGTGAGAGAGAGAGAGAAGACATTGGGTAGGTAGTAGCAGCCTCATTACTAAAAGGAGAGAGGTCAATGTTTAGAATAGGTATGGTAGTTGTAGTATGTGTCATTCTTCTGATTGCTGTAACAATAAGAATCTTATTGCTTTTCATTTTTTTTTAGCACCAAGCCCTGACTGGGAGTCTAGTGGTGGGGGCTGGCAGTGCCACAGAAGCCGACCCCTTTAAGAGGCAGCAGGTGATGCCACCTACAGGTATGCCCAACATGGCCAACAGTGCAACGCTGGTTTAGTTTCCACATGTTACTAAAGAACTTAATTTCTGCTTTCTAAGTTAATTTTTCTTTTGGTTATTATCAACTCAAATATTTGCATAAGTTTTTATCTGTATTGAAGCTGATTCTGTACATTTCATCTGCTTTTCCACGAGCAACCACTAGGGTATGATTTACTGTTAGCACTGTGTAGTCACCTTTGGAAGCTGTTTTTTAAACTGCCATACCACCCACCACCCCCAATAATTTGATGACACTTTTTTTGTTTGTTTGTTTTTCAAGACAGGGTTTCTCTGTGTATCACTGGCTGACCTGGAACTCACAGAAATCCTCCTGCCTCTGCCTCCCCAGTGCTGGGATTAATAGTGGGTACCACCACTGTCCACTTTTTTCTTTTTCTTTTTCTTTTTTTTAATGTGAGAGGCTCAAGTAGTTCAGAAGGTAACACATAGCTGCCTCTGATTTGATGACAGCAGGGGCCACTGTCAATATTTTGTGATTGTCATAGATCTTCTTTTGTACATACCCAAACTTCTATACATATGAGTTATTCTGAAAAAAAAAAAAGATGTAAACACACAGATACAGAGTTGCTTTTTAAAAAATTATGACCGTAATAGGTCACTTTCCCAGTCAATGCATCTAAATCTTCTGGTGTTTGCACCATGTTCCACTGTGTGGATTGGCATTGTTTTGGTTTTTGGTTTTTTTTTTTCCATTTTTTTTTTTTTAAAGATACTGTCTCATGAGACCTGGCTGGCTTGCAATTCTCAATGTAGCTCAGACTGGCTTTGAACTTGGAGGGAACCTCCTGCCTCTGGCTCTCCAGTGCTGGGTTTACAGGTGTGTGCCACTACACATGGCTGTGGACAATTGATTTTTATCAGTCTTTGCTAGTCTTCCCTGTTTATTACTACTTTTTTGTTTTGTTTTGTTTTGCTTTGCTTTTCTGCCAGAATGAGCAGAGACTTGACATATAGCCTGAAATGTTCATTTGCCATATCTGGTAGCTGATTTGAAGGAACAGCCTCTTGAATGAACCAACAGGTCCCAGAGAAGTGAGATGTAGTGCTGCTCTCTCAAACTGCCTGCCAGCAGGCATGTCCAATTCCACCACTGTCAACAGTTTCTGGCTTTCTTACATTTGTCCATTTTCCTTATTGATAAATCTTGTAATCTTTGGTGGTCTGCCCTAAAGGTGAAATTGCACCTCTTGTTTTGATGTGGATGTCTGATTCTGAGTAAGGTTGCACAGGAGCTTTTATTGCTCAACCGTTTGTGAATCTATTCCTGGCTCGCTGTTGATGCTCTCTGTCAAGTGTCCTGGGCATTGAAACTTCTCATGTTATTTGTGAGTGCTTGGAGAATGTTTAAGTGGGCCTCTGCCGGTCATGTGTTGTAATGTTGCTCAGTTGTTGCTTCTCCTTTGATCTTTGTATGATGCTTTTCTTTGTATTTTCAAATTTTTAATGAAACTGTATCAGTCTTATCCCTTATAGCATAGAAGGGCTTCCCTTTTCAGAGTTCATAAAAACACTTACATATGTTTTTTTTCCTGCTACTTCTGTGGTCTTATTTTTACATGAAACAACACCTTTCTTGAAAATTATTCTAGAGCAGTCTAAGAGACCTCGTCTTGAAGTGGGTCATCCAGGGGTAGTTTTCCAGCATCCAGGGGTGAATGCAGGAGTCCCTCTGCAGCAGTTAATGCCGACAGTCCAAGGTAAGACCCAGCAGTAGAGCAGCACTCCTAGTTTGTTGTGAGGGAATGCCCAAAACTTAGCGCCAGGCTCAGATTGGGGCCATGCAGTCAAGGGAGTGTACTGGACATGGAATTTTCCATGTGGGGACATATCTCTGTACCTCCGTTAATTCAGTATTGAGAAAGCCCCTGGAGACAGGTTCTTGCCATTCTAGTGGGAGCCAGTGGGAGCCACACATTTCCACGTTGTGCTTTCCAGTGATTTTATTTCTGTGTTCCTTATTGCTACTGTTGTCAGGTGCCCTGTGGTTATTTCATGCTTGTTTTGCTTAGTACTAACTTGCAATAGTTGGGTGCATTCTTTACTTCTTTGTGTGCTCATCCTGACTTTAGGTCTGCTCTAGGACACTCCCATTTTGAGTGTAACAGTTCTCATGTGAACAACAGCATGTCCAGTGTGTGTTCTTGTGAGTCATTTGATGGAAACTGCCATGCACTGAGATCATTGCTTTGGGCTCTTTTTTTATTTTGCAGGAGGGATGCCCCCAACTCCTCAGGCTACACAGCTCACTGGACAGAAGCAGAGCCAGCAACAGTATGACCCTTCCACAGGGCCTCCTGTGCAGAATGCTGCCAGCTTGCATACCCCACCGCCACAGCTCCCTGCGAGGCTGCCCCCGGCCAGTGTCCCAGCCACAGCCCTCCCTTCCACCTTACAGTTTTCACAGCAGTCACAGATGGTGGAAGCTCCAACTCAGCTGCAAATCCCAGTGAAGACTCAACAGCTGAATGCCCCTATCCCTGCCCCCCTGCCCAGCCAGCTTGCTGCTCCTCCTCCACAGCCTGCTCAGCCAGCCCTCCACGTTCCGATGCCCGGGAAGGCGCAGATGCAGACCTCTCAACTTTCTTCCCAGACCCAGGTACTCTGTGGACATTGGCTGTTTTGACTAGTGAGGTGCAGAAGAAAAGAGGAAACGGTCTGCAAAGGTGGCTTGCCATTTAGGTATTTAGTAGTATGATCTGCACTGAACCCACACATTCCTGGGAGCAGCTTAATTGCTCTCTTAGCACAGTTGGTTATTGTAGCAGTTGAAAATTATTTCTATTTGGCTCTGTAATAACAATCATTAAAGTAATAGAAAATCATTATTATTGTTGCACTTAGTAGAGGGAGCCTCGACCTGTTGAGTCACATGCTGTATGGAGCGCGTTGTATTCGTCACCCCATTTGGTATTCTGGGAGCCCTGAGATAGTGACTAATTTTGCCAGTCTTGAAAGTTGTTGGACTGACTCAAAATGACATGGATGAAGTGGTAATTCAGAGTTGACTCTAGCTTTGTTCAAGGGTGAGGCCAGGATCTTCCCCATCAGCTAGGTTTTCTCCTTTGCCACCTCCTTTCCCCTTTTTCCAATATGAGGAAGTCCACCAGCGTGGATGGCACTGTGACTGTTGTCGTGTTGAGGATGCTGCTCCTCTTCACTCACTTTACACCTGTGTGGGTTTATGAGCACTGACACCAGTTCCTTGGGTCCAGTGAGACTGTGTAGCATTGTAGATGCATCAGCTTTAGAGCTCATACGGGAGGCAGTGAGTGCTGGGCCCCTCTGCTCTTACCTCCCTTATATTAATAAGGGAGCTACTCAAGAGAGCTTTAAGTTATAGTTAGGATTTATAGCAAAGATTTAAAACGTGGGCACAGAAAAGGAAAAACAATCTATATTAAGTACCGTGTGCTTTGGTGGGGACTTCAACTTTGTGAAGTGGGATTTACTATTCCCATTTTATGAGAAGTTCAGGTCACAAGGTTAAAATCTTGACATGTCATCAACTAAGTAGTAAGTACCTTGGATTATTCTAGAGCTTTGAGGCAGGCAGGTATGAAAAACTCCTACACACTTGGTTAGGGTAGGAGAGTGATTGCCCCCAGGGCCATTAAACTCTGTCCCCATGATTTGCTTTTTTTTCCCCCTTGAGACAGTTTCTCTGTATAACAGACTTGGCTGTCCTGGAACTCATTTTGTAGGCCAGGCTGGCCTTGAACTCATAGAGATCCACCTGTTTCTCCTGAGTGCTGGGATTAAAGGTGTATACCACTATGCCAGGTTCCCTGTGCCAAATGGCTGTGCATTCAAGAGAGTGATCTTTTTTCTCTTGGAGTCACAGTCCTTACTTAGAACAACAGCACTGTGGTTTTCTTATCTTTGTTTCATGCTTTTGTTGTTAAAAGGATCAACTATGCCAGCATGGTCTATAGAGGGTGTTTCAGGTCAGCTGAGGCTACGCAGAGAAACCCTGTCTTGAAAAAAACCAATCCCCCCTCAAAAAAACCTCCCAAAACAAAAACAAAACGAAAAGAATCAGCTATAGTAAGTGACTTTTAAGAAACTGTACAGGGCTTGAGAGATGCTGTAGTGGTTAAGAGCACATAGTCTTGCAGAGGAATTGGGTAGTTTACAACTACTTGTAAGACCAGTACCAGGGATTCTGACATCCTCTTGTGACTTCCAGGGGCACCTATACCCATGTGCACATACATACCCACACAGAAACACATGCATGTACATGTAATTTAAAATCTAAAAAAAACAAAATAAAACCATAAATCTATAGAAACCCATTACTACTTGGACCTCATAGCACAGGTCTGCAATCCCAGCTACTTGGGAGATTGGAATAGGACGATTGCAAATTCAAGGCTGTCTTGGCCAGTTTAGAAGATCCCATTGTGAAAAGTGAAAAGAAAGCTGAGTAGACTGTGTACCTAGCATATCTGAGGCCCTAGGGTCAATCCCCAGTATGGTGGGAGAGACCCTTATTTCTTATGGGGTGGGTTGGGATTAGCCCTTGTTTGTGTAAAGGACCATGGGAGAAATTTTCTGGTTTTGCAGGCCATTCTGCTTCTGTTGGTCCCTCAGCCTTGTTCCTGAAAACATAGCTGCAGATAATTTATGAACAAATAAAGGTTGCTATCCTCCCATAAAACTTTATTTCTGAATGTATGTACCTACTGTGACTTCTGGGCCCCTGAAGGTAGATACCTGCTGTGGGTCATTGTTAAATCTTGAGACTATGTCTGCTGAGTCTTCCTTGCCGTAGTGGTCCTGACTGGCCTTCCTGCCAGTCTCTCCCTGGCCTTCAACCTCTCTTTAAGTGACTTCCTCTCTGGGCCCATGGGAGAACTTCACACAGCCTTGCTGGGGTTGAGGCCCCTTTTGTGAGCATGACTTCTGGACAGTACAGAAAGGTTTTCTACCTCTCAAGCCTTCTTGCCACAAGAGACATACATGGATCTGTTAAAAAGATGCAAGATGCCAAGCTGGGATGTGGTGGAGCTGAATTATAGAATCCAGGCACTCAAGAAGCTGAGGCAGGAGGATGGAGAAGTCAAGGCCAGCCTGAGCTACACTACTGAGTTCTTGTCTCTAAAAAGTATACATCAAAATAGTAAGCTCACCTGACATTTGAGTGATGTTGTTACATGAAAATATAATACAAATAAAAATCTAGCTTAGCATTGTATTATTCATTTTTCTACAGCTAAAACAGTCCTGTGTGGTTTTTATTTTACTTTGAATTAAGGGATGAAGGAACTCTGGCTCATGGTTTAAGGGTACAACCCAATTTGATGGGGAAGGTATCTGGTCACATTGTACATGCAGTCAGTGATCAGAGAGAGATGAATGCAGGTGCTCAGTCCTATGGATTTTATCTAGCTTCCTTTTCTTATGACTTCATGATCAAAGCAACTGCCTATCCTTCCTTATATGCTTCTAAATAACAAATTTTAATTCTGCATAAATGAAAAATAAAACTTGCCAATCCAGATCTGAAAGCATTACAAGAGATTAAAACAACACCACCTTCCAAAATGCAAGGAAAAAAGCTGCATATGATGGTGTGTGTGTATAACCCTAGCCATCAGAAGACTGAAGCAGGAAGATACAGTTCAAGGCTTACTTAAGCTATATAATCAAGGTTTTTTGTTGTGTTTTACTTTTTAAAAGTAAGAGAAAAAAACTGAAGAAGAGGAAAAGCTTCCATGAGGTCTGAGATAATATAGCAGGGTACTAAAGTGCGGTTTATAATAGAGGTTTTGTTAGGCTCTTTGCAGTACAGTTTAATCTTTGGACATTATCTAGCTTGTGGTTCTGAGTTGTGGTTTGTGATGGGATTAATTTTGTGTGCGCATGTTGCCATGGAGAGGAAGGCACTGACTGTGCTGGCCTGTGTCAGTTGAACTCTTTGGCATTTGGGCACTCTGAACCTGTGGAAGCCTTGTCCTGACCCTGATTCACTTGTCTTCTGCCCACTAGACAGTAGCATCGACCAGGCCCCCTCTGGACTCTACCCAGCCCTGCCAGCGGTCTCTGTCCACTTCCTCTTCTTCCTCATCCCTTGTACCTGTGAGTGGCTCAGGCCCTGGACCCTCGCCTGCTCGTTCTTCACCAGTGAACAGACCCTCTTCTGCTACCAGCAAGGCTCTGTCTCCCATCACTTCCCGGTCTCCAGGGGCAGCAGTGTCAGCTCCCCCCAAGCCACAGAGTCCTGCTCAGAATGCAGCCTCATCCCAGGATGGTTCTCAGGATAAGCTGGCAGAACAAATAACACTGGTAAGTGTGCTTAGGCAAATACAGAGCATATTTGTTTGATTTCTTTGTTTGGGCGAGTCTTCTTGTTTTCTAGACTAGTCTCCCATTCCTGGGTTTGGGAGATCTTGCTCCCAACTTGGCTAAGGGAGTAGCTGAACAAAATAAAGAGGTATGTTGTCATATAACACAGTCAAAATTCAGCTTCTATTCTGGTTTGTGATTTACATTTCATTTTATTATTTATTTATTTATTTGTTTGTTTGTTTGTTTATTTTTGGGTTTTTCGAGACAGGGTTTCTCTGTGGCTTTGGAGGCTGTCCTGGAACTCGCTTGGTAGTCCAGGCTGGTCTCGAACTCACAGAGATCCGCCTGCCTCTGCCTCCTGAGTGCTGGGATTAAAGGTGTGTGCCACCACCGCCCGGCTTCATTATATTATTTTAAGGCTGTGATAGTTTAAAACTGATCATTAGAAACCAGAACTGGGACGAAGTGATGCAGCCCTTTCTGCTCTAAGCAGACTCATGGACATCTTTACCTTGTGGTAAAATTGACAAGTCATGGCTGTAGGTGGGAGTCAGGCAGTAATGACAGACTGGAACCCCATCCTCAAGAGGCAATGCTTAGTACTTAGTTCTTGTTGGATGACTGTTTTGTTCAACTTCATCAGGGATTTAAAATAAGCATGCATTACATTTGATTGACATAAACAAGTGTTTTGTAGCTTTGTAGACCAGGTTGGCCTCGAACTTACAGAAATATACCTGCCTCTCCCTCCGGAGTGCTGGGACCACTGCCCAGCTTCTTCCTGGTTGTTTTAAAGCAAATTCCTGGCATGGTTGTTTCCCTTGTACACACTTTGATTCTTTGATGTAAACATTGGTCCTTTTGGTTTCATTCTAACTTTTTTTCTTTTTCTAGTGGTGCTGAGGGCTTGAACCCAGACAGAGCCTTCGGATGCTAAGAGTTGCTTTACCACTGAGTTTTACATCTGGGCCGTTTTCTTTTGCTGTTTAGAGACAGCAGGATCACTACTGCTTGTCTTCCTTGAGTCTAGGAGAATTTGGAAGAGACTAACTTTATTGTATTCTTCTAGAGCCACTTGACCTGTGTGCACATTTATCTTAAACTGGGGCCTCTTTGAGTCTCTCTTTTTCAGTTCCTGAGCCTTGACACAATAAAGTTTAGCAGAGTACATTTAATTACATGTTTACCCTTATCCCTCACATTCATGTTCCTTATAGGAAAACCAGATCCATCAGCGAATAGCAGATTTAAGGAAGGAAGGCTTGTGGTCCCTAAGGCGGCTGCCAAAGCTTCAAGAGGCTCCTCGCCCTAAGTCTCATTGGGATTATCTGCTGGAAGAGATGCAGTGGATGGCCACAGACTTTGCCCAGGAGCGGAGGTGGAAGTTGGCTGCTGCTAAGAAGGTAGATTTGAGACAGGAGTGGTCATTCATGCTTTGTGTCTTTTGGAGTAGTTGGGCTTTAAATTGCTGTAAGTGAGCCAGGCACATGCCTTAAATAGTGGTGGTGCACAGCTTGAATGCCAGCACTTGGGAGGCAGGAGAAGCTCTGTGAGTTCTGTGTGTCTTAGTCTACATAGTGAGTTCCAGGACAACCAGAGCTATACAGAGAAACCCTGTCTTGAAAAAAATAAAAAAAATTTCTGGAAGTGGCAATGGATAGGACTCTTGCCCCATTCGCTAAAGACTTTTGAATCCTAATTTGTAATGAAAGCATCTTCTGTTATGTAGGTAGAAACTCAGAGTCTGAGGTTGGGTTCCTTTTCCTTCCAGTTTGCTTGCCAGTTAGGATTACGATGCTCTCAGGACACCCAGAGCTGGTCAGGTGATTGCAAAGGCTAGGAGTTAGGAATGCCAGGTATAAGATGATAGGCAGTATGCTCATCCTCTGTGTTGTTCTTTTGTTTCAGGTATGAGTAGAGTAGATGGAACAGGAAACCATGCTTCAGTCACGGGTAGATGAAAACATGAACCATGAGACTTAACAAATCCATGTGGAGTTTACTGGGGGAAGGGGTGAGGGGATAAAATGGTGGGGGGCAGAAACGGAGAAGGGAGAGAGAGAGAGAGAGAGACAGACAGACAGACAGAGACAGAGACAGAGAGAGGAGAGAACACGTGGAGGTGCATGCTTAAAAGGGGGAAGCTTGCACATGTGCACTGAATCCTTAAGCAGGAGTTAGGCATGGCAGGCTAAGGGAATAAGGGTGTCGAGTACTCAAGACTGCTTCCTGCTGAACTGGAGGCCTTTATACCTTAAAAAATCTTTTTAGACAAAGGAATGGTAAGAAGTTATACTGAAGCCTACCAGCCATCAAACTGTATCAGAGTTCTTGAGAAGGATAAAAGTATTTCCTCAATTATTGATTAGAGAGTAACGGAGACTTTTACTAGCTGGCTGCATGGACAGTCAGCCCCAGGTCCTCCACAATTGTTGAGGTCAGAGGCTTTAGGGACACCTACCTTTTGCTGATAGAGTGAGACCTGTGGATTAGGAGCCCTAGGAAGAATTGTCTACCATTGACCCAAGTAACATGGAGATTCCACTGTTGGCTTGTCCACGGTCTGAAGAGTCCTTTGTTGTAATTGAGGTGGAAGGCAGGATCGCTCAATGGCTAGCATTGCCACTTTTGTGGGTGGAGTTTCTTCAGTGTCCAGTCTTCTTGGAGGAAATGGGGTGGGGCCAGCAGTTGGCCTGTCTGTCTGTTACAAAAAGCTTTTTAATAAAACATTTGAGCATTTGAGGGCTGTCTGTTTAGTATATCTCAGCAGACAAAATTTGTCTTTTTTAAATTAGTTGGCAGGCACGAGAGTTTTAGCATGCTGGGAAGAGGGGGGGAAACAGACAAGTTTAAGGAAAGAGATTGTTTAGCAGAGAGGTACAAGAAAACTTGGATATATGGTAACTTCTTGCGTTTGACTGTCCACTGACAGTAATTGGAAAGGTTCCATAAAATATCAGGATCTAAAAAGCCGTTAAGCAGCCAATTTGACTTATATTTCCCATGGGTGAGGCTGAAAATGGCACAAGTCACTCTTACAGCTTGTCAGCTCAGGAGCGAGGGCCAGGGGGCAAAGCTGATAGGACTCCGTAGTCCGAGAGAAGGCAGTAATCCGTAACTGCTGAAGGTATGAAGCCAAAACTCGTGAACTCACTGCTCAGAGAGGGTGGTGCTAGATCTTGCCCTTGGAAATCTACCAGAGGTGATGGTCAGTGAGAGGGAAACAGATGAGTGAAAAAGAACAGAGGCCACACTTCCAACTATGGATGGATCACTGGTAAAATGTAGGTTGCCAATAAACAGGCACATGGTTCATGGTTTGATATGGGGGAGATCAGTTTCCATGAGTGAGGTAGAGAAGATCCAAAGCCTATAATCTCAAATGTCCCAGAGACTAAGGGAGGATAGGATATGGAAGGCACTGACTGATTTTGTAGTCCATTGAGCACAAATCAAGGGCCAGGGCTCCTGGAACCTGAGAGACAGGTGGTCGCCCAGTACTGGGATTTTTGAGAGACCACAGTCTTGATAAAAGTCCTAACTCATGGAAGCATGGGCAGTGGAAGAGAGAGAATGAGGGGTGAGCTTACCAGACATGGCAGTGGTGGATGGAAGAATCCAGAGATCCTTAGTTGAAAAAGTGACTGAATTGAAGGTTACAGGATCCTGGCATATCTCAGACTGCCACAGGCAGGTGCAAATGCCAGGAAAACCTGCCGAGTCATGTGCACCAAAATGTTATTCTTTTGATTCAGTTACATGCAGGTAGAGTAGATAGAACAGGAAACCATACTTCAGTCACTGGGTAGATGAAAACACAAACCATCAGACTCAACAAACCCATGTAGAGTTTATTGGAGGAAGGGGGTGAGGGGATGGGGGATGGGGTGGGAGCAGAAGCAGAGAAGAGAGAGGGGGGAGGAGAGGGAGATATGGAGGTGCTCGTTTAAAAGGGGAAGCTTGTATGTGCGTACTGAGTTCTTAGGCAGTCCCCATAATGGGTGATGTAGCCATGACATGGCCACGCAACACAGAGCTCTTGGAGCTGCCTACGTATGTGCCTGAATGCATGTCCCACCCATTGTCAAGGGTTAGGGTCAGCATAATGTTGGTGTCCAACACTCTGCCTTTTCTGCCTGCCCCTGGTATATCACTGCTTAACTGTGTGGTTGAGCTGTCTCTAGTTCTGGTGGAGACTTTGTTCCTTTTATTGTTCCCACGGCAGGCACAGTCCTTCAGAAACTTGGGAAGTGGTACTATTTACTCTACAAAAATGAAAATAAGAAGACAGGTTTCTGGAAAACTTTGGACTCTGGGTGGAACTTAGCTATCCTTTCATTATGTAGGCAACTACACTTACTATCACACATCATGGACCATTGTTTTCACACCCAGACCTTGGATATTTTTTTCACCTTCTTTGAACTCAGGATTGGGTAGATCCTTTTTCTGCTGACCTGTGCATATCCATCTTTGAACTCCCCTCTTTCCTAATCTGGTTTAAGAAGGGAAAACCTGAGACAAAGGGTTTCAGAGTGGATCCATGGACATTAAAAAAAAAAAAAAGTTCAAAGCTTCTTAAATATTTGTTACAAAGGAAAAAGATTCTGGACATGTGAATACCAACCTGGATAGGCTGGATATGTAGCCAGTAGGAGGAACATGTGATAATAGGATGGACACATGGACTGGTATGGACAAGGTGGAGTTTGTATTCCAGGTTGGGCAGACAAGAACTGGCTGGTGGGGTAAAGTAGGTAGGCTGAAGAACAGCACAGAATTCATAGGCCATAATGAGGGACCAGCTCTGCTCATTAAGCCTACATCACTTCCTTCTCACTGGGACAGGGAGAAACAGACACCATCTCCAAAGAGAGCTTTTAATGAAGCTCTCTTAATGAGAGAGTTGTCGAGAGATTAGTGCCTGGTGTCATTGTAGTCAAGTGTGTTTGTATCTCAGATAAGGTATATTGTGGTATGTGCTCTGTACTGAATGAGTTTTTTTTGTTTTTTTGTTTTTGGTTTTATGAGACAGGGTTTCTCTGTATTGTTTTGGAGGCTGTTGGTCCAGCCTGGCCTCGAACTTACAGAGATCCGCCTGCCTCTGCCTCCCGAGTGCTAGGATTAAAGGCGTGCACCACCACCGCCCATCTCTGAATGAGTTCTTACCTTCAATTGTTCTCCCTACTTTCTGGAGTTGCTACTGGCAACATAGAGTATTCCCATTGGGAACACAGACTGATAGGTTAAAAATAGAATCTTGGTCTGGAGAGATGGTTTAGTGGTTAAGAGCATTTGTTGCTCTTTCAGAGGCTTTAGATTGAGTTCCCAAATCTAAATCAGAGTCTTTTGCCTTCTCCTCCTCTTTTGATGGGGGTACAAAAAGACTGTACACAATAAACATGGGTGGTTCAATATTCACTGGATGCCCTCGTGCCTCTTATATCTTATCTTTTGTCTATTCCTTTCCACGACCCACACTCCTCACTCAAGCACAAACAACTTGTGGGAGTTGACTCTTTCCTTCCATTCCACGTGGCTCTTGGGGAATCAAACTCAAGTCATTAGGCTTTGTACCAAATGCCTTTACTTGGCTGACTCATCTTGCCAGTCTGAGTACAACACATTCTCAAACTTTTCTTCACCAGCTTGTCAGAACTGTAGCCCGACATCATGAGGAAAGGAAACTTCGTGAGGAAAGAGGGAAGAAGGAAGAACAGAGCAGACTGAGACGCATTGCTGCTACCACTGCCCGTGAAATAGAATATTTTTGGTCAAATATTGAACAGGTAATTCAGTGGGGTCTAAAAAAAAATCAAATGTGTCCAAGCTGTGAGGCTGCGTGCCAGGGAACACAGCCGCTCCAGCATTCATGCCTTGTGCTCACTTGCCCCTTTTTGTTGTTAGTCTTCTGCAAGTTTTAGGATGAGGCCATTCCAACCTCTTTGTTTACTTTTGTACCCGTGGAAGCCACAGCTTTGAAATGAGAATGTAGTGAAAGCCTGTCAGGCTGTTAATTGGTATGCTGTGGCCATGAAAGGCAAAGTCTTTAGGATATCTGTTCCCAACTGTACACTCTTTCTCTTTTAAGAACTTTGAAATTTTTACTAACCTAATAGACTTTGAGTAGGATAGACTAGGATACAAAATAAAGAGGAAAGCACCAAACTGAGTTTTTTTCCTTAAATATTTTGAATGAGGTTGGCTGTTTGTGTGAGTTTAATGTGTTATATGTAGAATTGTATGGTTTACATCCTTAATGACTTGCTTATCTTGTCATCCTATTTTTTCTATTTTAGGTTGTGGAAATAAAACTACAAGTAGAATTAGAAGAGAAAAGGAAAAAAGCCTTAAATTTACAGAAAGTTTCCAAAAGAGGTATAGTATTGAAATTTTTTATTACATTTATTTATTTAGTGTGGGATGGGGGAAGACACATGTGCACCATGTCATGTGTGGAAGTCAGAGGACAGCTTTCTAGAGATGGTTCTCTTCTTCTATCACATGGGTTCTAAGGATCAGACTCAGGTGGTCAGGCTCGGCAGTAAGGGTCTTATCTTCTGACCTCTTTGGCCCAGAAAGATAGGTTAGAAGGTAGAGACCCTTACATAGGTATAACATGTGTGTGTGTGTGTGTGTGTGTGTGTGTGTGTGTGTGTGTGTGTGTGTGTGTAAAAGTGTATACATATGTGTACTTTTGTTTTTCAAGACAGTCTTGAACTTGCTTTGTATATCAGACTGGCGTTGAACTCAGAGATCCACCTGCCACTGCCTCCCCAGTGCTGGTATTAAAGGTGTGCGCCACCACTGCCCAGCATTTAAAAAAATTTTTTTTTGGTTTTATGAGACAGGGTTTCTCTATATTGTTTTGGAGGCTGTCCGTCCAGCCCGGCCTGGAACTCACAGAGATCCGCCTGCCTCTGCCTCCCGAGTGCTGGGATTAAAGCCATGTGCTACCAACGCCTGACTAAGGATAGTCTTAATGATTATCCAGTATAGAGTACTTATCTAACATTTGTGAGACCTTGCATTTACCTTACAGGTTATGTGCACACAGGCTTCTCATTTTTCATATTTTGTGCAGCTTCCTGGTTTTGGCCAGAGAGCTCATTAGTCAGGGAGATCATGTGCATGCATTTGTTTTGCTTAATTGTTTTATTTTGTGTACACAGAGACATGAAGGGGGTGGACATTAGGGGAGAATAGGATCTCACTTTGTAGCTCTTATTGGTCTGAAACTCAGGAAAGATTGACCTCCAGTACCTGAGTGTTGGGATTAAGAGATGTGCATCACCAGGTCCAGCAACAGCTTAGTTCTTTATCTCAGTTCTTTTGCTCTTTTTACTATATATCAGTAACCCAAAGTTGGTCCATCCTAAATGCTTTCAGAATTTAAGTCCTGTTTCTGGACAGTAAACAAAGCAGTTGATTTATCTTTTAGGGATTGGACTGGTGCAATGCCTTTGCACAACTGAGATATTTTTGCAGTAGTTTTCCCCCAATCTTTGAATACTTAGGTACATGTGAGACACCAACACAAGTGACACTCACTGTCTTCTAAAGTCCTTAGAATGTTCCAGGAGCCCTCATACCTCTCATATTATTGATGAGGCTGAGAGGTGGCCATTGCTAAAGTTGTAGAATTGTAAAAAGAAAGCTAGACCCTATCAACTGAGAGCTAGACAAAGTGGTAGAACTTTGAATCCCAATGCTTAGTAGTTAGAGGCAGGTGTTTGTGAATTTGAAGCTAGTCTGAATTCAGTCAGCTAGACTGTGACTCAAAAAACAAACAATAAGCATTAAAAAACAAAAAACTACAAGATGGAAACAGTTCTGGGTTACCAAGAGGAATAAGGCTGTGTTTATTATGTAGGGGAGGAGGTGGAATTTGCACTCCCTGTCCTTGAGTGTTGATAGCCATAGGACCTCAGCTTGTATAAGCAGACAATACTTGCTGAGGTAAAAAAGCATCATCTTGCCACAGTTTTAGTGATAATACTGTATTTCTTGTCTTTTTAGGGAAAGAATCCAGACTAAAGGGATTTGATACATCACCAGAACACTTCCTGGTAAGTAAGGGGTTGTTGCTCTCTGACATGAGTGGGCTTGTGAAATCAGTCTGCTTTGGAAATACAAAATGGTGTTGGATGGTGGTTGTGCATATTGTTAATCCCAACACTTGGAAGGCAAAAGGGAGGCAGATCTCTGTGAGTTTGAGGCCAGGCTGGTGTGCAAAATGAGTTCCAGGACAGCCAGGGCTGCACAGTGAAATTATGTCTTGAAAAGCAGAACAACAAAAAGAGAAAATGCAGTGGCACTTAATAGTCGTAGTTTCACGTGGAGTATGACTCTGGGAATTTGAGAGGATGCAGTTGTATACAGTAATTAAGGATTTGTATCCTCACTCCTCTTCTCCTTGGTGTGTATACTGTGATTGTCTAGCACATGCCTTGATGTTCTCCTGTGGGCAACTGCTAAATAGACACTTCTGCTGTGACATCCCATTCTGTGTTGTTAAATCTCACATTTCTGACTTTTATTTTGTTTCAGGATCTAGGACTACCTGGGAGGAAAAGAAAAGCTAGCACATCTTTGACTGACGATGAAGGTTCGTTTCCTACTCTGCTGATGCTTTATTGGGGCCTTGAGATCACAAGCCTTAGGGGTACACAGATGATTCAGGACCAGGACTGTTTACGTCCTCAAGGAGTGACCTTAGTAAATCAGGGTAGATGTGCCTATTGAAGGAAGACATGCTCAATGCCACCACAGTCACCAGGCTGGGATCTTTGGGAGGAGCCCCTGTCATGTTTAAATTTGGCATTTGGTTCAGAGTAGAACACAGATACAATTTTGGTGTGAGTGGCTTGAGATCAGCCTGTGTCCATGACTTCTGACCTGTTTGCAAACAAATGCGTCCTGGCTCTCAGTTCTAGAAAGGAAACAGGGATAGAGTATTAAAGGAAACACATGACAATCTGTGATGTAACAGATGCTGGATGAGTGAGACCCCAGTGGTCTCAGCAGCTCTGTAACTTTACTGGCTTGACTGGCAGTGTGTAAACTTCCAGACTTTTGAAAGTTTGAGGTTTTAGTATGGGTTGATTCTTGTTTGGGAGAGTTTAGCCAGGTTATTAGTGTGGTAGCTGTCTGGATTGTTTCACTCCAAAAGATAAATGAGTGACAGTGGCTCACAGGAGCTAGGAGCTTGGGTACCATTGGCCAGAACTGACATAGCAACTTGGTGTTCTTCAAAGTGCCCTTGTTTCTCCCATTTGTTCCTTTGTCCTGGTTGTCTGTATCTTCTTTTATCTATTCTCCCTGTGGTTCAGCTACTCTCACAGAGCTCTGACTGATGGCACTGAAGCTGGAGAAAGGTGCTAGAGGTCAGAAACAATTCTGGTACCCCCAGCCAAACAAATGTCCTCTTGGAAGGATTTAGGTTACGTTCTTATCTTTTTCTCCTTTGCTACCTGTTGCTGTTGGGAGGCTAGGATATGTTTATCAGTGCAGCTAGCAATAGATTTGTGTTTTTTTTGTTTTTTTCCAGTTGGCATCTAGCCTTGTGTAGTGATTTTAGATGATTTTCTTTGTAGACTATAAATGTGACTGACTGATTTTGGGCATCCCTTTGTTAGGTAGTGGTTAGTTTAGGGAAATTAGACGCAGTAGGAGCTGCTTTGCTGGATAGGTATCTGATAATGTTGTCACCTTGAATACTGTGTTTTTGTGTCACAGCCTTACATAGTCCCAGGCTGTTCTCCAGTTTGATGTCAGCATGGCCACTGCACATTTTCACTTTTCTTTCTCCTAAGCCATCTACTCTGTTAAGCAAGTTCAGGAGAAATGGCAGAATGAAATTCCAAGACAGGTCTGGCTTGTCTTGTAAAGTTGTACCAGGCTATTTATGTCTAGTACTAGATGTGTCCAGGGCCCAGGTATCTGGTGTCTTGTTGAATTTGGTGTATGGTAGAGGTTTTGTAATGAAGTACTGAGGAATTTGAGGACGTACCAGAGATAATGGGCAGAGTGTGCATGTGCATGCTCCTGTGCTCGAGTGCATGTGTGTGTTTGTGTGTGTGCACGTGCATACATGTGCACATGTATTTTGGAAGAGTTAGGTCATCTTACAGTGAGACTGAGAAGAAGCCAGCTGAAGAACTGCTGCTGAGGAGGGTGCAGTTTTTCTGGCCAGCCCTCTTACCTCTGAGAGGCTAGGACTGAAAGAGTATAAGCTGTTCTGAGTTAATGACTTTTGAAGCACAGGAGTGCTAAGGGGAGGACACACACTTGGTTTGGGTTGTGGCCCTTCATTGTAGTAGGCAGTGATGAGTTCCTATGAAGTATGCATGTTTTTCTGTGGTGGGCTCTGCAGTGGGTGGAAACTTTAACAGCATTCTGAACTAGTGAAGAAACAGGCTGTGAATGGCAGACTGAAGTGAAAGGGATTCCCATTTGTTGCTTGTTTAACCATGGTTTCCAGAATCAACCTGAAAAAAATTAAGTTCTTTAATAGCTATAAAACAGTTTAGAAGTCTTATACTACTTAGCGATGTTGAGAAGTTCAAGTGAAGTTTTGCATGTCCCTGACCTGATGATAACCATTTTAGTGGAAGATGAAGAAGAGACCATCGAAGAGGAGGAAGCACATGAAGGGCTTGTAGACCACCACACAGAACTTTCTAATCTGGCCAAAGAAGGTAGGCTGTCACTATTTTACTGAAAATATTTTCATTAAACGTTAAATAGACACATAGGAACGTTTGGAAATAATGTCAGATACAAATTACAGCAGTGCATGGGGCATAATGTAGTTGGCATTTTATTTGGGCTGCTAACCAGTTCCCAATAAAGACATGGAGACATATTATTAATTATGAATGCTTGGCCTTAGCTTAGGCTTGTCCCACTAGTTCTTTTAACTTTATTTAACCTGTTTCTATTCATCTACATTTTGCCTTAGGGCTTTTTACCTTTCTCTTTCTTTCCTTCTTTCCTTCTTTCCTTCTTTCCTTCTTCCCTCCCTCCCTCCCTCCCTCCCTCCCTCCCTCCCTCCCTCCCTCCCTCCCTCCCTCTCTCTCTCTCTCTCTCTCTCTCTCTCTCTCTCTCTCTCTCTTTCTTTCTTTCTTTCTTTCTTTCTTTCTTTCTTTCTTTCTTTCTTTCTTTCTTTCTTTCTTTCTCTTTCTGTGTGTTCTATTTTCCTGCTTCCTCCATGTCTGTCTGTCTGGTCCCTGGTATCTCTCTGTCTTTTTTCTTTCTTCCCCTGAGCCTAAATTCCTCCTCCTACTTACAGTCTCTGCCTGGAAGTTCCACCTATACCTCCTCCTCTTCACTATTTGCCATTCAGCTTTTTATTAGACTAATCATGCCTTAGGCAGGCAAGGCAAAGCATCAACACATCTTTGCATGATTAAACAAATACTGAAACAGCATAGTACTGTCGACTTCAAGGAAGCAGATCTGTGGTATTGAGTTTCTTTTGTCCTTGTGATCACAGCTGACCTAGACTTTTTGTGGCTCACTTCCTGAACTCTCCTCTCCCACCTCTGTGAGTCTCCCTAGCCACTGTTGAGACTGAAGCAGAATTCCTTGACAACGGGATTGTAAGATGTGACTTGTTCTTCCTGTCTAGTGGTTCTGCTTAGTAGTTTCATCCAGATTGTTATTGCTGTTAATACCTCAACTCTATACACCATTTCACATATAAATATGTTGTTGGTTACTTTGATTCCAACAGTGCTGTTGTTGGTATTCTCTTGTTTTATGGTGTTTGTACATATACTTAGGTTTGGAACATGGTTGGCCTGCAGAATCATGTATCATGTACAGTTGGCTGTACCAAGCTGCATGCTGTACTGGTATTAGCCTTGGAGCTGGTGGTGAAGATAGAGCCCCTGGTGACTTTGAGTAATTCTCTCACAGTGAGGTGCATTTTCTCATGTCTGTTTAGCTCATTTGACTGTTAGGTTTTATTTTCCTTAACTGACTTACTGAGTTCCTTATGTATTCTGGATATAAATTCTTGTTTTGTTTTTATTATTCTTTTGATTTTTCAAGACAGGGTTTCTCTGTGTAACAGCCCTGGCTGTCCTGGAACTCACTCTGTAGACCAGGCTGGCCTCAAACTCACAGAGATCCACCTGTCTGTGCCTCCCCAGTGCTGGAATTAAAAGCATACACCACCACTGCCTGGTATTTTTATTATTCTTAATTTTGTGTAGATGTGTGTCTGCATGAGTGTATATGCATGAGTTCCAATGACCACAGAGGCATTGAATCCTTTGAATGAAGCTGGAATTACAGATGATTGAGAGCTGTCTGACATGGATATTAGGAACAAGCTTCTATAGAAGAGAAGCAAGTGGTCTTAGGTGCTATGCCTTCTCTCCACTCCAGGGGACATGAATTAGACTTTGATCATAACAATGGCTTTCTATAGTGTCTGAGCTGGAGAAATGGTTCAGAGGTCACTGGCTGCTCTTCCAGAGATCCTGAGTTCAGTTTCCAGAAACCACATGGTGGCTTACAACCATGTATAATAAGATTTGGTACCCTCTTTTGTCTGGCCTGTAGGCATACTATATACATAATAAATAAATCTTTTCAAAAATTTTAAAAATGTACTTTTAGAATTTGCAAGTTGTAGATTACTGATCTAAAAATCCAGAATCCAAAATGCTTAAAAATCCAAAACTTTTTGAGCATTAAGGAAATGGTGTTCTGAAGTCTCAGATTTCAGAGTATTTTTGATTTTGGATTTTCAGATGCTTGCAGAGCTATGAATATGTCTAGTCTTAGACCTGCATCAGCTGTTTTAGGAAGAGGAGTGTGTGATGGCTTTTTGCTATGCCTTTCTGAGTGTTCTTTTTTTCTTTTGCAGCTAAGTGACAGTTGTCATAAAATGATCTTGTTTCTTCCTGTCATCCTTTCCAGCTGAATTGCCCTTAATTGATTTGATGAAGTTGTATGAAGGTGCCTTTCTGCCAAATTTTCAGTGGCCACAGCCTGAGCTTGATCATGAAGAGTCAAGCGGGGAAGAGGGTATGTTTTTAGTGTTGTAAAGAATCCATGTTTAAAATGAAAGACAAAATAAAGACATTAAATAAGGTTTAAGAAATTGGAAGTATTGGACCCAAGGAGAAGTTCTTCAGTTCATGTTAGTTGTGGCAGGGACTTGGGGCTTTGGATAGGATAAGAATTTGAGCCAGGAAAAAAAAAAAAAGAAGTGTATTTTATATGCAGTTTTCCTGTTGAATAATCTTTACCAACTTGGTGCATTTATCAGAGTACTGGGTGATTGTGGAGGGAATAAAAGTGTTTTCTCTAGATGTGCGTTGTGGTTTATGGACTTATGCATTGCCTTGTTTTTCTAGGTTCTTCTGCGCTTGCTTGTTAACTTGCAGGGTTTCAGCGGTTGATTCCAGACAGATACACAGAATACAGCGTGTCTCATGCTAATTCTTTTGCTTATTAGATAGATACAAGAGCATGTGAGAGGGAAGACAGGAACATCAGGTCATGAGACAGTTGTCGGAGGGTCTCCTGTGGAATTCAGGACCTCTCACAGTCCCCTTCTGTAGCAAGACGTAGGGTCAGAGACAAAGACTTCTTCCTTGTTTCCAAACTTGGGTGATGTTTCCAATTTTTCCTTTTTTGATGGTAGTAAAAGGGAGACCATTAAACCTAAGATACTTGTAATTCTGCCCACATTATTGACTCCCAATCAACACAGCCATTTCCTGAACAGCAGTCTGTTGGGGCAGATTATGCTTTGAGTCCCAGATATAGTTGATTATGATGTTCCCTAAGAGTCACTCATGTTATTGTGGATTTATAAAATGGATTTCAATGAAAAAAAAAAAGTATCAATTCTGTATTCTTCCTGGTCATTTGTTGTCCACCCCCTTCTGTGTTTAGGCTCATAAAACTTACAGCTGTCCTACCTCTTTTTCATTGTTGTTCTAGATGTGGATGACTGTCCTAGTGACAGGGAGAGCCGCAGGGACTCAGTTCTCATTGACTCACTCTTCATAATGGATCAGTTTAAAGCTGCGGAGAGAATGAACATTGGAAAATCCAACACCAAGGACATCACAGAAGTTACTGCTGTGGCTGAAGCCATTCTCCCTAAGGGCAGTGCCCGGGTCACAACTGCGGTGAGGAAATCTTCCCTGCCTCACAACAGGCTCCATAACAATTGCTAGAAAAGGCAGTTGCTCTTCTTCTGTTGTGTAAATCATTTGGGACTGTACTATAGGTGTGTTATATGGCCTCTAGATTTAGGCTCTGAGAAGGTGTGCTGATGGCTTAATCATTCTTTGGCTGGTCTGTCTGTCTGTCACTATAGGTGAAGTTTAGTGCTCCATCTTTGCTTTATGGTGCTCTCCGAGACTATCAGAAGATAGGCCTTGACTGGTTGGCCAAGCTATACCGGAAGAATCTCAATGGCATATTAGCTGATGAAGCTGGGCTTGGGAAAACTGTGCAGATCATTGCTTTCTTTGCTCATCTTGCATGTAATGAAGGTAAGAGTCTCTCGGTTTTCACCTGCAGAGTGTGTTGCCTTTGAGGAAGAAAATTTCTTCATCCTCTTATGTTCCTCTTCTTTTACCTGAGCCAGGCAAAACACTGAAAATACTGTCAGGCAGTTGGGTATGGTGGTGTAGTCCTGTAGTGCCAGCACTCAGGAGGTTGAATTTTAACACTTATTCAAAATGTAGCACCCACAGACTGTTTCTCAGGTTTAAGACTGTAGCTGTTACCCTGGTGTGGAATGGCTTCCATTCTGCTTCTAGGATAATTCAAACCCCTCCCCCAGGTGTGTATATGTGTGCGTGCATGCCTGCCTGCCTGTCTGCCTTGTCTGTCTTGTCTGTCTGTCTGTTGATCGGTCGCCTAGCAGTGGGAGTTTGGGGTGAGAGGGATGAGTATTTTTTTCTATGGATGTCTATCTTATATTTTGAGGCAGTATCTCATTGAATCTGGAAGTTGTCTTTGGCTACACTGCCTAGCCAGTGAGTTCTGGGTATCTCTTTCTCCCTCCCCTAGAATTGCAGACACACGCTATCACAACTGGCTTGTCCATTTTGCTGATGGCTGCTGATTTCAGAAGGAATAGACTTTGTGGAGTCTGGTGTGCAGAGAGAGGTGTGGCTTGACTCAGAAGGACACATGGAGGAGGAGGAGCTTGCTGAACTTGCTACTTTTTGCTCTGCCTTGCCCCTGGGAAAAAGAGTAGATGCTCCTTGCTTGGGCTTTTCCTGCTGTCCTATAGTCTCCCATTTTTCCAGCCCAAATTAATGTCTGTTGGGCTTTTCCTTGTCCTAGAAACCCACCAGTTCTCCACAAATAGTGTTTATTTTTTATTTATTGATTGATGTTTGGTTTTTCGAGATGGTGTTTCTCTGTATAGCCGTGGCTATTCTGGAACTAGTTCTGTTGACTAGGCCAGCCCTGAAGGAAGACCCATGTGCCTCTGTTTCCTGAGCTCTGGAATTAAAGATGTGAACCATCACACCCAGTGTTTATGACTTGGAATTGAAGTTTGGAAACGCTGAGAAATGTACACAAGACAAGAGTTGATTATTAACCTTACATTGTTTTCTTTTTTAAAGAAAAAAGTAGAACTGGACCTGCCTTGAAACCTGAAGACATGAGTTCAGTCACCCAGACCCACATAGTAGACAGAGAACTGACTCCTGCAAGTTGTCCTCTCCCCTCCTTATACTTGATTTGGTGCACACACCCCTACCTGTGTCACCCCAAACAAATACATAGAGAGATAATTGCAATTTAAAAAACAAGACAGTAGTCTTCCTATTTCCTTCCCCTGGCTGTGACTATGGGATAGCCTGGTGTGTCTTTTCTAGCTTTTACATACATGGACACAACCACATTTCCCTTTCCAGGAATGGAATTTTGTGTTACATGTTTGGAGTTTAAAAAAAATATTTTTAGAAAATTTCATTGTTTTGGATGTGGTGGTGCATGTGTGTTTAATCCTAGCACTTGGGACAGAGACAGGCTGATCACTGAGTTTGGGGCCATACTGATCTATATAGCTAGTTTCAGGCCAGCCAGGGTGATGTAGAAAGACTGTAAAAAAAAAACAAAAACAAAAAAACAAAAAAGAAAAAAAGATTTTCATTGTACTCGTTCATGGTACTGTTACATAAGGACATTTTGATATAAGGATATATTTATATTATACATTGAATTTACCTTTTTTTTTTTTTAAAGACTTATTCTTATGTTCGTCTTTCTCTGTCTGAAGAGAGTGTTGGATCCCCTGGAGCTGGAGTTGTAGGTGGTTGTGAGTCACCTGGCATCAGTGCTAGGAACTAAACTCTGCTTCTCTGCAAGGGCATCATGTCCTCTTAGCCACTGAGCTACCTTTCCAACCCCATTTGTTCGTTTGTTTATGCAGGGGGTTGAGTTCAGGACCTTGTGTGTGCTAGGCAAGTTCTTTGCTGTATCCCACATGCTCAACTCTACCCATTATTTTTTTTTTTTATATGTATGAGTGTTTTACCTATATGAATGTCTGTATACTACCACATGAATGCCTGGTGTCCATAGAGGCCAGGAGAAGCATTGAATTCCCTGGAACTGGAGTTAAAATCAGCTGTGAGCTGCCTTGTGGATGCTGGGTCCTCTATAAGAACAGTAGTGCTCCTAACTGCTGAGACATCACTTTAGCTTTTTAATCCTATTTTACTTTCTGGAGAGAAAGCCATTTTGGGTTTGGTCATGTTTCCTTACTTGTAAGATTGTATGTTTAGAGTTTAAAGATTGTATTTTTACTTTTTAAATTATGTATAAATGTGTGTTTAAGTGTGGTATGTATGTTTGTGTGTGAGTGCCTATCAAGGCTAGAGGGGTTAGATACTCCTGGAGCTGCAGATACAGGCAGTTGTGAGCTGCCAGATACACATACTGGGAATCACACTTAGGTCTTCTGAAAGTGCCATCTCTTCAGCCTGGTGTCTAGAGAGAACCTGGCCTGATCCCTAGCAGTACTACCAAAAGGGGAAAAAAGTTTCTTGACTTTTAAGTATTTTCTCTGAAACATCTCTTGAAATGATGATTAATTTTTCTATTGAGCAGTTCGTTTTCAGAATCAGTAGCCATGCTTCAACGGTGGCAACAGATATGTGAAGTGCAGCTTTATCTTAAAATCAGCTGTAACGTAGTCTTCCCCCAGCTGCCTGAACCCACAAATAACACACAGGACACTATATTATGAAGCTGTTGGCCGTTTGCTATGATTTCTTACTGGCTAGCTCTGACTTAATTGTTAACCCATAACTGCTAATTACGTATTTCTCTTACTGGAGAAAAGGGTCCAGACCTCTTACTCCTTTGGTGGCCTATATCATGACTGCCTGTGCCTCTCTTTCCCAGAATCCGTCTGAACTCCTAGTCCCACCTATCTTGCTTCCCTATTAGCCAACAGTGCTTTGTTCAATAATCAATAAGATAAGCACATACACAGGACTTCCCCCCATCAATCATCCATTTCTGTTTTTGACCCTTAATTCCATTCATTTTATTTATGGCACAGAATTTGAAATTTGCTTTCTGAGTTACACCTACTGACTTGTAAAATACTGTTTTCGGACTAAGGTTGATCACTGGGTCAAATTGAATATTCTCTACATAGAAGTGGGTTTAAGGAGGTGCCTGCCTGTTTGGGCTGCAAGCATTTGCTACTGGGAAGGGTTATTCAGGGTGTGAGGTCCCAGGTGAGCAGCTTTCTTGTCTTGGGGGATTGTTTGCCATAGACAGAAGTTCTTTTTTTGTTGTCAGTAGTTTGTTTTTTTTAAATAATGTTTCACTGTGCAGTTTTGGCTGACCTGGAACTCATAAAGCTCTGCCTGCCACTGCCTCCCAAGTGGGCATGCACCACCATACCTGCAATAGACAAAGAGTTCTTTCTCATGATAAAAAGTTCATATGGTTGTCAGTGGGTCTTGGTTTTATTTTTGTCTGTTCTTTTCAGCAGTGTTTCTGGAGAGCCTGGCCCTGTCCTAGTGCATCAGGGACACACCTTCTCCTGTTCTGTGCAGTGTATTTATGGTAGAGAATAGCTTTTGTTTCCTTGGTGTCTGTTTTTCCCATGGGCCACATACTTAATAAGCTTCTGATCAAACTCAGCTTTAGGTTCCTGGATCTCACAGATTTTTTTTTTCTTTTATAGGTAATTGGGGCCCTCATCTTGTTGTCATGAGGAGTTGTAACATACTCAAGTGGGAGCTTGAGTTGAAACGCTGGTGTCCTGGCCTCAAAACTCTTTCTTATGTTGGCAGCCACAGAGAACTCAAAGCAAAGAGACAGGTAGTGCTACCCCCCCCCCCCCCCACTTCTTTTACTTTCGGTTGCACTGCTGGGAATGCACTCAAGTTTCATGTATCCTAGACAAGAGGTGTGCCAATGAACACCCTTAGCCATGCATCTTTTAAATATGATATATAGGAGCAGAAGAGATGGCACAGCAGAGAAAAGCACTTGTTGCACAAGCCTGAAAACTTAGTTTTGATCCCTAAGAAGCCATGTGAAGGTATAGAGGAGAAAACCAACTTCATAAAGTTGTCCTCTGACCCTGATATGTGTGTTGTGGTGTACACATGTCTATGCAGACATAGCTCACACATGTCCCACAATAATTAAGCATGAAATAAAGCTAGACATCTTAATTTTCTTAACATAGAATCTCCTTATGTAGCTCAGGCTGGCTTAAACCATTCGATCCTCCTGCTCCAGCCATGTGAATATTGTACATGCTGTTTAGTGTGATTATTTTGTATCAGTGACATTATTTGTAAGCTACCAAACGCATACTCGGTTCTAGATATTGAGCCCCTTAAAGCACAGAGGACACAGGACAAATGCCCAGTTTCCTGGGAGAAAGCTGTTTAGGCTTTAGGCTCCATTTCCCCTCTGGCCTGCATATGTAGTAGAGTGCTTTCTTGGCTTGTGTGGGTTGAGTTCAGTTCCTAGTACTGCAAGGAAAATAGTTCAGAGCCGAGTTCTTGTCCAGAGAGAGAGAGTGGTGCATCCTACCTCAAGACTGCTGATTTCCATTAGCTTAATGGAATGTGTAAAGTCTCCTGAGTTGCTGGGTGGTGGTGGCGGAGGCGGCGGCGGGGGGCGGCGGCGGGGTGGCCGCTGAATGATTTCTGTGGATTATTCACAGAAATATTTGTGACAGATACAAGTTTCCTTTGACCCCCAGTGCTTAATAGTGCCAGGTCCCAAGTGAATGTGTGTAAACCATCATGTGAAATTTTGGCTCAGTGTTAAGACACTATGTCAAAATTTACTAAGGGTGGGTCTTGAGGTTGAGGTACATTTTTCTCTTTTACCCTCTGGCTTGGTCTTTTTCTCCTGCTATAAAAATATAAAACCAAATAACCCTCCCCCCCCACCAAAAAAAAAACACCCCAAAGAAGATAAAGAGCAGAAATGTGCTTCTTGGAGTTCTAGAGATTGGAAGTCTAAGACCATGTCCCAGATAGGTTTGGTTTCTGACAAGAACCTGGTTTCGGTTTCTAAGATGATACTTTTCTTGCTATGTGCTTACTTCGGGCAGAAGGGTTTCATATGAATCTTTGCTATCTTTTCATAAAGCACTGACTCATTCTTAGGTACTGAGAAGGTTCAAGTCTTAATGCTGCCACAGTGGAGGTCAGTTCACTCTGTGTTGTAGAGGGGATGCATTAAACCATAGCTCATTCTCAAGTTGCACTAAAAATCTGTTGTAGTTACTTACAATGTAGGCATCTGCCTTCCTTACCTTCCTGGTTTAGATTATACACTATAAAAGCCAGGGGTTGTGTCTGGTAATCTGTTTTCCCTGTGATAATTTCCAGTGCCTCTAAAGCAGCCTGATTTGTCAATGAAAGTCCATTGGGCTCTGGAAGAACAGAGAAGGATATCTTGGACTTTTTCTTATGTAGTTGTTGTAAAGAATGGGTTGGATTGTTGGTGATGTGTGTAGCTTGACTGAGTGTGATTGCCCAGAAATGCCCTACAGATGGTTTCGGGGAAGACAGAGGCCTTCGTTCTGTATTGCAGGAGTGGACTGAGCCCAACAGCTTCCACATCTGCATCACATCCTATAAGCAGTTCTTCAGGGGCTACACTGCCTTCTCAAGGGTGCACTGGAAATGCCTTGTCATTGATGAAATGCAGCGAGTGAAGGGTATGACTGAGCGGCATTGGGACGCCATCTTCAAATTGCAGAGGTATGATCTCAATCAAGTGTTCTTTGTACTTACCTAAGAATTTTTCTTAAATTTAAATAATTGCATACATGTACCAATGTAGTGAAAAGGAATTTCCATCTCCTTTGTCACAGCATGATGGACCTAAGAGACGCACAGAGTCTCTTTGTTCAATCCTTTTCTTTAAGACAAGGTCTCACTGTGTAGTCTTGGCTAGCCCGGAGCTCTCTATGTAAACCAGGCTGGCCTTGAATTTAGAGGTCTGTCTGCCTCTGACCCTACTCCGTTCTCCAAGTGCTGTGTGTGTCACTGTGCCTGTCCATTCCCTGAAGACATATGTAGAGTTCTGTCTTCACTTTCCTCACACGTTGCCATAGAGAAGAGTTATGAAGCCTCCTTATGTGTTTCAGAGTTCCAACATAGTCCCATTTTGTTTGTAGCCAGCAACGCCTGCTTCTGATCGACGTGCCTCTGCACAACACTTTCCTGGAGCTCTGGACCATGGTACACTTTCTCATTCCTGGTATCTCCAGGCCTTACCTGAGCTTCCCCCTGAAGGCTCCCAACGAGGAAAACCAGGATTACTATCACAAAATGGTCATAAGATTACACAGGGTATGTTTGCTTCAGTGATTGCAGCTGACTCATTTAAAGCATATCTGCCTTTTGCTAAATACACCATGGCATTATTTGGGAAGAAAATGGCTATTATTTTCTCTAGGTCACACAGCCATTTATTTTGAGGAGAACCAAGAGAGATGTGGAGAAACAGCTGACCAGGAAGTATGAGCATGTTTTAAAGTGCCGCCTTTCTAGTCGGCAAAAGGCCTTGTATGAGGATGTCATCCTACAACCTAGGTAAGTGCTGGTTTACCCCACCTGCCCCTTGGCAATGAGAAGCAGATGCACCCTGTTGTCTGAGTGAGTGTGCGTATCAGTGAAGCAACCAGGAACTCTGCAGTCTCCAGAACTTACTCAGTCTGCTTCCTGCTTACTAAGTCTTTAGATATGCTTTATCTGCAAACCTGCCATTTGTATGTGTATGCTGCCTGCTGCTGTTGCTTGCATTAGCTTGGGTGGTTAGTGTGAACTCAACTGATTGACCAGCTTACTCTTTGAAAGTAACCACTGCTCCGCCAGGTCAGTATGGTCTTCCTGGAAGGAAATCAGTAGGGTCTAATATCCATGTCATGTTATAACATCCTGTGACCTAAATAGGTCATCTCCCAGCTCTTGCCTGGTAGCCCCACATGTCATTCAGTGGGTTCAACTTGGATCCTCTGAATCCTCTCCATGACTTTTCTATGGTGTGTTATATTTAAAACAAATTCAAGAACTGTAGAAATAAAATTCAAATAGATTTTAATTTTAAACTTGGTAGTTCTCAGGACTTAAACACTACTCTCTCTACTCTAAAGGCAACTTAACTGAGAAGAATTACATGTGTGCTTATTAAGAACTCACATGGTAGCAGTCTCTGGCATGTGGACCTAATCCATATTCCCCAGTCTCATTCATTTGGTTTACAGGTTCCCACTTGGTAGGAACATAATGTGGTGCTATGGGTCACTCTGTGGACCAGGCATACCCAAAGCTGTCTTGTAAGCACTTACCTTAGCTGTAGGCAGAGGCCTTAGCCATGGGCAGAGATGGTGTAGCCTGTACCAAAGTTGGGAGGCAGTTAGGCACAAGGCCCATTCATGACAAGCAAGTAGAACCTGGCCAGCCTCCTGCTACGTTTTGTTTGCTGAACACAGGGTTTATGTGATTCTCTAAGAAAAAGTAGTATATGTCTGAAGTTTTTGCAGTAGTGTGTAGCTCCCTTGATGCCTTCAAGAAATAATTTGGTATTGCTGCAGCATGTGAGTATAAGAATGAATGGCTGCTCGTTTACAGGCTGTTTCCTAGGTAGTTCTTGCCAAGCTGGTAATGAGATACTCAGCCTATCATCTAATGTGGAAGAGGAACAAGTGAATGCACCGTCAAAGTATTCACTGTGACTAACCCTCCAAGTACTGTGGAAGCTACTTGAGCAGCAATGAGTTAGCCATGTTGCTACAGCACTGGTTTCTGTCATATATATATATATGGTTTTTTGAGACAGGGTTTCTCTGTATTGTTTTGGATGCTGTCCTGGAACTCACTCTGTAGACCAGGCTGGCTTTGAACTCTCAGAGATCCACCTGCCTCTGCCTCCCAAGTGCTGGGATTAAAGGCATGCGCCACCAAGGCCCAGCCAATGTTGACATCTTTTGTTGAGCTTAACGATGCACTAGTTCTAGTTAGAAGTAATTTTGTGTAAGGGAATGGAGCTTCTGTGGAGGTCAGGTACCAGCAGACAGAGGAAACATGGCTCAGTTACCCTTAAGTTAATTAGGTTGCTCTCCATTAGGAGTGCTAACGAATCATTGTTCAGGGAATTTAACTTGTTATGTGACTGTGCCCGTGCCCACAGGGCAGTGAGGTGCTTGTATTTGGGAGTGATGTCATTTTTCTTAGAGGTGTAAGAGGTTATAGCATGCAATCCAGCACATCTTGTCTTAATGATCTTTGATTGATTCTGTGACACCTGCTCTGAGTAGAATGACAGTCAGACCTTTTCATATTTCCTTTTCTGTGAGCCACAACTCAAGTGTTAGTTTGTTAAGCTTTTGTGCATCTTGGCCCCATTTTTGCACTTGGGAACTAGGTTTCTGGATACCATTAGGTGTTCAAACTGCCAGACAAAAAACCTGAGGTAGGTCCTCATTTTTGTATTGCGCTGTCCTGATGCACTGGACCACCATATCAGACACATTCTGTCTCCCTGGTGGTGTCTGGCTTTCTAAGTAGCATCCTTTCTGCTCCTACCTGCTTGCGCATGTCCTTTCCCTGGCAACATCTATCATTATTGGACTCAGGGAAGTAGATCCCAATCTTAGCCCACTCAAAGTTAAACTTGGCAAACTGTTTTAAATCATCATGTTCCACTTCTGTTTTCCTAAGCTAGATGGATACTCTGTCTTGCTTATTCTATTTTTGTGCCTAGCCCTGTGCAGAGACCCTTATTACAGGACTCAGAGCTGGCTGTGACTGACTTTCCTGTTGTCCAAACTAGGTTTGCTGTGGCATCCCCTCCTGGCAGTGTTTTTCAGGATTCCCACTTTTCTCTGTTGTACACCCGATTTGTTCCTGGAGTAACAGTCTGGCATTTCTTTCAAGGACTTCAGGCTGCTTCCTGAGCCCAGTTCTTTCTAGACACTTTTTAGATGAGTTGCTTGGGTTGGAAATGTGCAGTCATCTCACCATGGTTCTACATCTCTCTCTCTAGCTCTCCAGATGCCATTCTTCACTACCTGCCCTAGGAGCCCCCTTATTCAAGAGCTCTGTTCCATACTGCAGCTCCCTGGTCCTGGTGCACCTTGTAGGTCTCTGTTTGCCTGATACTGCAGCAGGCTCTGGCTTGTGACCTGCTCAGCATCTCATCTACCACTGTGCACTCTCCTTGCAGGATCAGGGGATGTGCTTTCTGGGGTACTCTGATCTTGCCTTCTGGCTTAATGATTCTTTTCATACATCTAACTGTACCTTGGATGCCTCTAGTCCTCTGTTAGGGCATTTACTCTGATGTTACTGAAACATGGCTCCTTTACAAACGAACAGTCCTTCTGTGTGATTTGGACTATCCTTACCCAAACAACTCTGGCTCTCTGGAGTGACTTAGTAGAGACCTGTGTGCGAATACAGACTTGAATGTGAAGTATAATTAATTTACTAACTCAGTTCCTGTGTTTTTTGAGATTAGGAAAGTCACTGATGATGAAACTGAATGATAAGCATACATTTGCCCTTGATACCGAACTCTTATGCCTCTTCTCCATGAGCAGGACTCAGGAAGCTCTGAAGAGTGGGCACTTTGTCAGTGTCTTGAGTGTCTTGACACGACTACAGCGGATCTGTAACCATCCTGGACTGGTAGAGCCACGGGTACCAGGCTCCTCCTATGCAGCAGGCTCTCTGCAGTATCGGTCAGCCTCTCTAGTTCTCAGAGTTCTGGAGAGAGAGTTCTGGAAGGTAAGAAAGAGGATTTAGAAGAGTAGTACAGGACTTGTAGTACTTTCTTTCTTTCTTTTTTTTTTTTGGTTTCACGAGACAGGGTTTCTCTGTATTGTTTTGGAGGCTGTCCGTCCAGGCCGGCCTCGAACTCACAGAGATCTGCCTGCCTCTGCCTCCCAAGTGCTGGGATTAAAGGCGTGCGCCACCACCGCCCGGCCCATGTAGTACTTTCTAGATAGAGTCCATATAGTTATATGGATCAATTTCCAGCTCCTCGTCTCTCTAGTGGTTCTCAACATTACTAATGCTGTGACCCTTCAGTACAGTTCCTCATGTTATGGTGACCCACAGCCATTAAAAAAAATTATTATTATTATTTTGTTTGTTTTTCCAAGACAAGATTTCTCTGTGTTATAGCACTGGTTTTCCTGGAATTCACTTGTTCACAGACATCCTCCTGCCTCTGCCTCCTGAGTGTTGGAATTAAAGGCTTGCACCACCACCACCACCCGGCCATAAAGTTATTTTTGTTGCTAGTTTATAACTGTAATTTTGCTGCTGTTATGAATCGTAATGTAAATATCTGTGTTTTCTGATGGTTTTAGGTGACATCTGTGAAAGGATCATTTAACACCCTCAAAAGGTTTAAGACCCATTGTCCTAGCTCCTTCTGTCTAGTTTATGTCTGTCTACTTACCTGGTATTTCGTAGCTTACAGAATTGTCTCTGGATTCTTAGAGTATTTTCAAGGTTCATCCTTATTGCAGTATGTCAGATTGTTACTCCTGTTAAGGGCTGGGTAGCATTCTGTTATGAAAGGCCATATTTTGTTTGTTCTTTCATCAGTTGATAGATGCATAGGTGGTTTCTGTCTTTGGCTATTGTTAGTATTGCTGATGAGAACATTCCTAATAGCTGGCTTTTCATTGTTCTTCTGAGTGCACTTCAAGTCAAGCTTCTGGCTCACATAGCCACTCTATAAAGTAGTGCCTGCTGAGCCAGGTGGTGACAGCACACACCTTTAATTCCAGCACTCAGGAAATAGAGGCAGGCGGTTCTCTGTGAGCTCGAGGCTAGACTAGTCTACACAGAGAAACCCTGCCTTGAAAGATTTAAAAAAAAAAAGGAAGTGCCAGCCGTGCCACTGCAGCTGAACCACCTGACTTGCTCTAGCAGCATGGAGGTTTCCATGACTTTCTTTTTGTCTTTCATCCTCTTCAATGTGATGATGTTTCTTGTTATTTCAAGTTCTAAGAAATATACATTGGTTATGCTGTAGAAAGCAGGGTACTTGCTCCTGCTAGAGCTATGACCATAAATCTGACCAGTTCCACTCTGTGTAGCACTGAGTAGTCTCTCCAATAAGCCTTATAGGGGTTGCTCCCACGCCCTGATCAGCATGGAGCCCACACCTGCCCCTCCTCTTTCCTGGGGATGACTCCTGCTTGTCTGCACACTATTCAGGTGATGATTGGTTGCATATGCTCTTCTGTAGCTCCATGTTCTCAGTATAGGCACATGACACTGGGGAAGGCCAAACAGCTGGTGTCCCATTGTGAAAAGGACATCTGGCCCTTTGAGGAGAGATGATCTTACCTAGCCTAAGCGTGAGAGGGCTTGACATATCATGTGAAACAGAGCTCAGCTGACTCCTACCTTGGAGCAGATTTTGACTCTTGGTCTGGTGTTTTCCTTTGCCACCTATTACAGAATGTTTCTTTTCTTTTTTATTTTCTCATTTCTTTTTCTTCTTAGGAAACCGATCTTTCTATATTTGATCTCATTGGGCTAGAAAATAAAATCACTCGCCATGAGGCTGAATTACTGTGTAAGAAAAAAGTGACTCGGAAACTCATGGAGGAAGTCTTTGCTTCACCACCTCCAACAGCCCGGCCAGCAGCCATGAAGCTCAAGGCCAGCAGGTACGAGGATGGGTTAGAAGCAGCATCTGACATGTCCACTACTCCAAGGACTTCTTGCTGATTGGAAGTCAAGTGCCTGGGCCATAAGCAGTCCCTTCCTCTAGCTTACCATAGACTGTCAGTGGTGATAAGAAAAGCTGTGTTCTAGACAGTGTCCTGAATGTCCTTGGCTTCAGTGAGCACTAGATTAACAAGATTCACTAATTGAGTCAGTATACCCTGAGAGTCACATTTTTTGGTGGTCTTTAAAAGTAAGATTTAGGATTTGGGGAGATGTCAGGGCTGAGAACAGTCTGCTGTCTGATTTGTCAGTAATTAGTGGGCAAGAGCAAGGGCAGACATGAGGTCCACTCAACAGCAGTAAAGTCATTGCTCTTACAAGTGACACGACAATGATGTCAATAATGATTTGGGGTGAGGGAGATCATGAGGCAGGAGAGATAGGTGGTAAAAATCAGAGTGTAAATGCTTCTGAACATACTAAATACAGTGATGAGAAAGAAGCAGAGTCCTATGCTTGGGGTGTAAAAGGAAAACAGAAAATAGTTATTTTTTTTTTAGAACTAGAGAGGGCGTTTGTACAGGTCAGAAGCCCATTCAAGCTTTTTTCAGACTTGACTTCCTTGGGACTGTGACCTGTTTGCCATCCTTGGCACCTCAGCTCAAGCCTGACATACCCATACAGGAAACCTATAGCCATGTAAAGACAGACAAGGCCTTCTACTTGTACTTACTGGGCTTTGTTGAAAGGCTTCTATGGCTGGCTCCTTGTTTGTCCTTCTGTTTTTTAGGTCAGAGAACTCATACCTCCATGATCAAACTATTATCAGCTGCCTTACCGGGCCCTTTGTGCACCTTCCCAGCTCCTGTTGTTTCTGTCCATTTCATAAGCTGTCTTGTCCCATGTACTAGTAGAGAATTTGCTTTTTCTTTGCTTTTAATCTACACTGTAGTTATCATGTGGATGTTACATGCCAGAGGTGTTTTTCTCTTAACATACTTTGACATATACCTAACAATTGAGATTAAACAGTATCCTTGTGTTACTGATTGAGATATCTGCCCTTTGAGTACAGAGTTTGTCAGCAGTTCCCACAGGCTTGATGCAAGCTTCTTGCCAACTGTTATTTGGAGCTACCTTGCTCCTGCTCCATGCCTCTTTAACCTGCCTTTCCAGCTGGTCTTTGAGGGACGGCCCTCTAGAACCCATGCTGTCTGCGCTGTGGTGATATTGTGTGTCTTCTGCTTGGGCCAATGGGCATCTAGGTTATTTCAGCCTGTGCAGTACGGCCAGAAGCCCGAGGGTCGCACCGTGGCATTCCCCAGCACACATCCACCTCGGATGGCAACCACCAATGCAGCCACTGCTGCCCCACAGGGCCAGGTTCGAGGACGGCCACCGATTGCTACCTTTTCTGCCAACCCAGATGCAAAAGGTATCTTACATAATCAATCAGTTCTCTCTTGTGGAAGACTGTGGGAAAGCTGCTGGCACTCTCTGTTTCTGGCCTACCTAGTGTTATAGCCATTGCTGTAGGGCCTGCAAAAATACTGCCTGCAAATCTTGATGAGTTGAAGATACTTTTCTTTTCTTTTCTTTTTTTACCTAAGACAGAATCTTACTATGTAGCCCAGGATGGTCTAGAGCTCACATTTTTTCTGCTTCCAGTCCCGATTGCTGGGATTTCCAGGCATGCAACACTGCCTGGATGTAGAGTTTGTTTCCTAGTCTGGGTTTTCCCTGTAGCAGAAAGTTCACCTTAGCTGAGCAAATTGTTTTTCTTAAAGTATGTCAAGGTTGTTCAGGAAAGTTCTGAGCCTTCCTGCTGCATCTGGTGCTATTGTTTCAGCTTCACTTATGGTGAAGAGGCAGGGAAAGACCTAGAAGTGGTCTTGTTACCTCATCTGAAAACAGCAGTGCAAAGGTTTCTGTAACACTGCTGAGTGTGGGTGCTTCTTTGTGTTTACAGAGTGCTTTCTAACAGCTGGGACCATTTGATGGCTCGTTTCTAGTTCAAGATGTTTACCCTGTGTGTTCTGTCAGCTTCCAGGGAGCCCTGCTGATTGGCAACAGGCAGAGCCTTACGTTTCTCTCAACCTAAGGATTGTACAGCCCCTCCATGTGTGTTTCCTCAGAGTGGGCTTCTCATTTGAGAGACTGTGAAATAATGTTTATGTAATTTCTTTAACATTCGGTTGTAAAATACTGCATGTTATAAAGAACCTCTAACAGCTTTGCACAAAACAACCTTATTGATTACAGCAGCAGCAGCCCCGTTTCAGAACTCTCAGGCTTCCATCGGTGCGCCTCGACACCAACCCACCTCGACCTCCAGCACAGCAGCAGGCCCAGCCCATCCTTCGAAACTGCGGGCTCAGACCGCTGTCCAGGCCTCCACCCCAGGCCCACCCCTGCCCCCGCCCCAGGCCCCCTCGCTGGTGGCCGGGCAGAGCGCACCGCCCCAGCGGCTGGTGCTTACCTCGCAGGCCCAGGCCCGCTTGCCCAGTAAGTGGCCTTACTGTCCAGAGTCTGCTCTCACTGCCTTGGAGCAGTGTGTCAGGAACACGGGATGTCTGAAGAGCCTTTGCTGTCCACTGCCTCTGTCTGTCCCTCAGTCCAGGCCTGGAGCGTGATGCCTGTCATGGTGGGGCCTTGCCAGAGGTCATTGTCCAGGGCCTTGCTCTGTTCTACTCTTTCTTCTCCCCCGTTTAACCAGCTCTGCTTTCCTCCTGTGCTGCACTGGTGTTCAGGCCTAGCACCTCCACTTAGCCTTAGCTATAGTTCTGTTCCATCAGTGCCAGGGTCCACTCTGGGGGGCAGGTGGTGAGACTACATGAACTAGCATTAGGTTTCTAGATACTATTAGTTCTTTTTGGTTTGTCACATATTTCCAAGTTTAACCTTGGCATGAATATTTTGTCAACAAAGACATTTCTCAATAATTCAGTGACTAAAACAGCTAATTGTTACTAATTTTTTCCTAACTCAGAATTTTGTGCTGCCGGCAATGGGATTAGCAGGTTTCCAGGTCTTCTACAGACCATTACCCAGCCTACTATGGAAATTATGCCAACTTAAAGTATAGATCATAAAATGTTTCTTATTTACAATGTAACAGAGTCACATTGAGGCCTTTTTGGAAAACTGGGGAGGGGGAAACGTCAGGGGAGACTGGGAATCTCTTCTGTGGCCAGCAGTGGGGAGTGGTTGTCCTAGGCAGTCACACAAGAGGAGGAAGCTACGTGTGCCTCATGTTTCTGTAGGTGACGAGATTTACATTAGTATGGGAGGACTTACATGTAGTAGTGTGTGAACAGAGTGATTCAACTGACCTTACCCATCTAGGAGGGCTGATGGGAGATTCAAGTGTCTCTGTATGAATCTATCTCTGATTTTCATTTCCCCTTCCTTGTGCACAGTTATTCTGTGTGCAAGATATCTTCAAGCAGTTTGCTAGTCTTTTACTAACTGTTCTCCTTACGGCACCTTTACTAACCCTGGCGTGGATTTTCTTGGGAGAGAAGCATTTGAATTTGGATAGCACCCTTTGGGTAAAAAGCCTTTAAGCTTCTGATCATTTGCTATGAACTCATTTGAGTTAGTATAAACTCAGAGTTTTAGGTCTGACCTACTTATTTTAGCTTTCCTAGACTAAAAGCATGTGCAATTAAGTTTGTTGTTTTATGTCAGTGATATTACCTTGTTTTCTGGACACACACTTTTTCAAATTTTGTAAGTTCTCTGAAGAGTTCCCAATTTAATGCAAGTAGACTTATGATATTTTTGATATTTACTGTTTTTTCCCTTTTATTATTTGTAGAGAAAAGTAAATTATTCTTTGTTTGATGAGTAGTAGTTGATACTGAAAGTCCCTGCCAGTTGTGATTAAGTAGATTAACCACTAAAGTCTGATATTTAATAGTATTTTTTCTTTTGTCTTAAAATGACTTTTTTTAAATGATAGAAAGCAATACCTGACTAGTGTTTTGATGATACTTGAGCATAGTATAGGCAGTCATTATTTATAGTAAATGATTGTTGTGTAATGGTCAATAACTTCACTCCAAGTGATGTTAGTTCAGCTTTTATTCTGTGTTTTGACAGGTGGGGAAGTAGTGAAAATAGCTCAGCTGGCATCCATTGCAGGGCCACAGAGCCGTGTTGCCCAGCCAGAGACACCTGTGACACTGCAGTTCCAGGGAAACAAGTTCACCTTGTCACATAGCCAGCTGCGGCAGCTAACAGCAGGCCAACCTCTGCAGCTGCAAGGTAAGAGACAACCAGCTGATACTAAAGTTGACAAGGACAGAGGAATGCCACTGTTAGTACTACACTTGAAATCCTGTCTGGGTGGCAGGGTAACTTGTTACTGTGTGCTGGGTTCCTCATCCAGGAGTGATGGTAACAAGTCAGTCTCTTGTTGGGTTGTTGAGGACTGATGAGATGACATTCATGAGTCACCTTGGCAGCGCCCTAAATAATTGATAGTCATTTTTTTAAAATCAGTACCATCTGCTCTTTGAGAGGAGTTTCCTTTCCTCTTTTGTAAGTCAGTAGAAATGTTTGTTGCCTTTTTTTTTTTTTTTTTTTTTTTTTGGGACAGGGTTTCTCCTAACTGTCCTGGAGGGAACTCACTCTGTAGACCATGCTGGCCTTGAACTCAGAGAGATCCACCTTCCTCTGCTTCCCAAGTGCTGGGATTAAAGACTTGTGCCATCATTGCCTACTCTGCTTTCTAATATGAATGTGCCATAAGACTGGCAATTTATGTAAGAGAAATGCTCTACCTACCTACCACCTACCTACCTACCTACCTACCTACCTACCTACCTACCTACCTACCTGTCAGTTGGGTTCTTACTATGTTGCCTACGCTGACCTGTGACTTCTGATATCAAACCATCCTTCTGTCTCAACCTCATAAGTAGACCTTAAGATTTGTGCCAGATTAAAGTTTTAATTTTAACCCTTGGATCCAAACATCTCATACCTTTGGCTAAGAATATGTAGTTATTGCTTTCAAAAGAATGGAGGTAGTAAAACTTGAGTAGTTCCTTAAAATTAATCTTCAGTATTTTGTGGCAACAATTGCAGCTTCTTTGGCTAAATCCAGTGCCATGTGATGATTGACTACTTACCTTCAGGCTAACGTGTCACAGGTATCTATGGCAGCACTAGCTTCTCTGTACCCCACCCCAGCAGCCACTCCAAAAGACTCTGCCCTGGGTTCTGACTGGATGACTGCTTCTCGTGATACTTTAATGCGTGTCTCCACAGGGCTTGGAATCTAAGACTCATGGCCATCTGTGAATGTAGTTGGTAGTTGTTTGTTCTCTTGTCACACATTTGGTAAGAAGATTTGGACACACATAATAGAAAAGTGACAGACTGTTAAAGAACAGCAACATAGTCATCATGGGTACCTGGCTAAGCCCAGGTCTTTCTGGTAGTTTTTCATCTCTTTGGCAATGGCTACATGAGTCTGTGAGTGTTTCTGTGACCTTCATAGCCTTAGGACAACTGTGGTTCTCAGTGGATATGTACCTGTCTATGTGCAGGATTAGTGGTCTTTTCTTGATGTGGTATAAAGCAAACTCCCCTCAGATGGTTTTCTGTCTCTGTCTGGGATTTTCAAAATATTCCTCCTTTGTCAGAGTTACTGAGCTGTGGATATATTTGCTTGTATAAATGTGACTGTGTATGTGCAGTATACTGACTCATTTGTTACTGTACCATTTGGAAGTGGCTAGCATGTACACACATCTGTTACTGATGCCCCTGGTGGACGTGTGATTGCAGGTAGTGTACTCCAGATCGTGTCAGCCCCTGGGCAGCCCTACCTGCGAGCCCCTGGCCCCGTGGTGATGCAGACCGTGTCTCAGGCAGGCGCTGTGCATGGCGCCCTGGGAAGCAAGCCCCCAACCAGTGGCCCTAGCCCCGCACCCTTGACCCCACAAGGTAGGGTGTTCTGAACAGGAGGAGGGCTTGGTGAGAACTTCTTCCTGACTTTTCTTTGGAGTGACTGGGAGGGGCCATGCACCTTAGGCCATGGGCCTTCTTGCATGTCAAACCTTATTTGTGATAGTCTGGTTTCCACAAGTGTCATGGCATAAACTTTTTATTTCTTTTGCTCCCAAATGTACTAGTTGAATATGACCAAACCCCACTGTCATGTTCTAATAAAAATTCTGGGGATCAAAGAGTTGACTCATCAGTTAAGAGTACTTGTTGCTTTGCAGAGGACTTGGGTTTGTTTCCTTGCACCCTCACAGTGGCTCACAGACATCTGTGACTCTAGTCCCAGGGGATCTGTCACCCTCTTCTGACCTCTGCAGACAGACAGACAGACAGACAGGCAGGCAGACAGACAGACAGACAGACAGACACACACACACACACACACACACACACAATTTCTTTTTTAAAGATAGAAACCTTAGGAACCAAAAAATATTTAGTAGCTGTGCCCAGAACTCCCTGAGAGTAGAAAGAGTCATGTACTTGGTAGTGCAGGATTTGCACACTGCTCTAGCTGGCCCATGCCCAAATGCTGCTGGGTTCCCAGCTTCTGACCTTTTCTTTGCCAGCTTCTCTAAAGCCTAACCCTTGCCTGGAACTGCTCGGTATTATAGAACTGGTGGGTGGTTTTGATTCATGGGCAAACAAGGAGCCATTACCCACTATATGCTGATGACCTGTGGTTTTTCACCAGTATAGGACAAAGGAAGGTATGAGGCTGGCTTGGACAGGGACAGGTATGTGATCTGTTTCAGAACAGTCCTCATCCTGTACATAGCTTTGATGCAGTAGACTCTTAGACTCCTTTTATCATCTTGAAATTTCAGGAACTAACTGCTATACCTTTACCAGGCACCTTTGGGAATGGAAAGCATATTGGTTTTCCTTTTCTGGTTTTTTTTGTTTGTTTGTTTTGCTTTTGGGGACAAGGAGCACACAGGTTTTAGGGATTGAATTCCTCAAGTATTCTGGGCAAGTGCTCTACCATTAAACTACACCCTCATCCCCTTCAGCTGTTTGCTTTTACATTTGTAGTTGGTGTTCCGGGTCGAGTAGCAGTGAGTGCTATGGCTGTTGGAGAACCTGGGCTAGCTTCCAAACCAGCGTCTCCTGCTGCAGGGCCCACCCAGGTAAGGCTTAGTTAGGCACAGGGGCACACAATGGCAAATTCACAGTCCTGAAGTGGGCAATTTTCAGGAGCTTTTCTGTGGCTGCCAAGAGTCCATTGGGTCCTTTTCAGTTTATGAGTTTCAGAGATGCACATGCTCCTTGAATTAGAACCTTGATTTAACACTTATTCCCAGTGAAAGAAATTGACCTGGGCCTCTGACTGCAGATATCAAGGTCTTTATTCCTTTTGTCTTGTCTTTTCCTCGGTTATAAATGTCCTCTATGTTTTGAGAAAGTTCTCTGCCTTTTCATTTTTTTTCCTACTAATAGTTTCATAGAAGTAGGTCATAGATGAATGTGTGTGTAACAGTTCCCAAAGCATTTGGTGAAATGACTTTCTCAGATTGTTTCTCAAATAACCGTTTTTTGTTTTGTTTTGGGCATGCTCTTCTGACATTTTTGGTGAAGGAGGAAAAAAACAGACTTTTGAAGGAACGGTTGGACCAGATGCATTTTGTCAATGACCGGCGCTGTTCCCAAGCTCCAGTGTATGGGAGAGACTTGCTGAGGATTTGTTCCCTGCCTGGCAGAAGGAAGAGGCCTTTGTGCTGGTCTTTGGATAGCAACCTGGGGAAGGGTTCCAGAGCAGCAAACTGTTACTCATCAGCCTCAAAAAGCAAAGGAGATCTGATTGTGACATTGAGTCAGCGTCAAGAATCTCTTCAGGATGTTCTTGACAGGTGAGTTGTGTATTCAGGAAAATATTTTTATCCTTTGGTGTTTGTTCCTTCACTCTGCTTCACACCAGAAATTTTCTTTTTTTCTTTGTAATGTTGGTTCTCATGTAGTGCGGGCTGGCTTCCAATCCATGTTGCTAGCCTAAGCTTTTCTTGAGCTCCTCTGGATGCTCATGTCTTCTCCTCTTGAGTGCTGGTGTGAGTCACCACATCCTGTAGTTCTTCATTCCTTGGACTTTTTTTTTTTTTTTTGAGACAGGGTTTCTCTGTAGCTTTGGAGATTGTCCTGGAACTCACTCTGTAGACAAGGCTGACATCAAAGTCATAGAGATCTACCTGCTAGTGCCTCCCTAGTCCTGAGATTAAAGGCGTAAGGCACCACTTACCTGGCTTGAACTTTTTTTTTTTTTAATATTCTTTATTTCCAATTGCTTTCCCCCAGGTTGTTCTTTTGAGTTTCTTGGGGTTTTAAAGTAGTTTGGAGTATCTATCTTTGGAACCAGAGAGCCTGATTATTAGGTTATTAGCTGGCTGGTTTAGAAAACTGATCCACAAAACTAGCCATATGCTAGTCAGGATCATTTTCTTTGTCTAGCTGAATCACATTGTTAATCTCTGTCCGAGGGAAGGCCCTGATCATCCAGTGCTTGAGCATCAGCATTCAGAGCTTGCCTTTTAGGTCTCAAGTCAGTGAGTGAATCAGTAAAGAAAAGGGCAGGGAGTCCTTCTTAGACTGAGACACCCGTGCCAGGTCTTCCCAGGCTGTGTGGTTGATTTGTAACAATTTGTTCTCATGCCCTTGTTTGTCTTTGAAATGCTGGTCATGTTTATACATCACAGAGTAAACCACCAAGACCTAGCTTCAGGAGCTGGAGAGACAACTAAGCAGTTAAGAGCCCATATTACTTCTGCTGAGAACCCTAGTTTGGTTCCTAGCCCCCACATTAAGGAGTTCACAAGTTCCTTAAGCTCAGGGGATCTGACATCTTCTGGCCTCTGTAGGCACTGCATGCATGTGTACAAACCCTTACATAGACACACATGCATGAACATGACTAAAAATGTCATGGGCATTATAGTACAACCTTTAATCCCAGCTCTTGGGAGACAGAGGCAGGCAGATAGGCATCTATGAACTCCAGGCCAGCCAAAGTTGCCTAGTGACTGGCTGTCCTGGAGCTATTGTTTTAACCCATCTAAGTTAAGTTAAAAAAAAAATCCATCTGTCCATCCATCCATCCATCCATACATACACACACATATATATATTAAGTAAATAAGTGAATAAATAAAAATGTAAAAATTAAACTGAGCTTCAGCTAATGCCTAGGGGAAGACTTTCTGGTGTAGATGACTGGAGGTTAGCTGGTAGTATCAAGTTGGCCATGCCCTTGCTGTTCTGCCTGCCTGCAGGGTGTTCTGGGTCTGACCCCTCTCAGTTACATGTCACCGGCAGCATTTAGAAGGTTTGCATCCAGAGGCAATTTGCTTCTGTCTCAAGAGTCCCAGCAAGAATATCTGAGTCAATGGCTATGGTTTGGAGAATGTTCTGTGCTTATCTTTAGATCTGTCCTCATAGAAGTTGTCTTTGGGTGGTGTCCTTTAGCTGTGAAAGATGATGCTACCTTGCAGTGATAGAATCAGGAGCTCAGGCTGCTTGTCTGGCAATATACACTGTCAGAGGTTTCTGTCCTTGTCTTAGAAGCCTCATGGCTGCCAGAGGTTCCATGGTGCCACATAATGACCACACATGATTTCTGCTCCTCAGGGTGGCCTGTGTGATTCCTCCAGTAGTGGCTACACCACCCTCCCTGTGGGTGGCGAGGCCACCCTCACTGTATAGCAACAGGTTGCAAGCTCTGAGGCAGTGCTTGAGGGAGCACACCCGCCCCTACCACCGGCAGCTGCAGCAGCTCACAACGCTACGCTCACTGCAGTTCCCAGAGCTGAGGCTGGTACAGTTCGACTCAGGTATGACAGACCCTGTTGGCACGGATAATGAAGTGAGGAACACTTGTTCTGAATTACAAGACTCCTGCTCTTTCTTGCTGTTTTTTTTTAAAGGGAAGTTAGAAGCTTTAGCAATCCTGCTACAGAAACTGAAATCTGAAGGACGTCGAGTGTTGATTTTATCGCAGATGGTTCTTATGCTGGACATTTTAGAGATGTTCTTGAACTTCCATTATCTCACCTATGTACGGATTGATGAAAATGCCAACAGTGAACAACGGCAGGTAAGAAATAATCTTCCTGTTATGATTCCGTGGTGTGACCCGGAATCATAGGATCCAGGCCTCATTTCCTACAGCTGTGAGGTCAGTGTCCCGTACCCCTTCTAGAATTTAGGCACATCTAAGCTCCATACTGACTCTTTTCTTGATGTTTTGTCTCCCCTCCCCCAAACAAGCGTGTCTCAGAACAAATAAATAGGGGTAATCTGTAGTCACATTGTGTTAGTACTGACATACTTTAAGATTTAAGAGGTGACTATGTAGCAAATATATGAGTGCTTTTTAGACTGACTTAAAAGAAATACAAATTGGGGGCTGGAGAGATGACTCAGACGTTAAGAGCGCTGGCTGCTCTTTCAGAGTAGTGAGTTCAATTCCCGGCAACCACATGGTGGCTCACAACCATCTAAAATAGGATCTCATGTCCTTTCTGGCCTGCAGCCATATATGCAGGACACTCATATACATAAAATATAAATAAAATTAAAAAAAGAAATACAAATTGAAAAGTATAGCCTGTTTTGCTTGCCATATTTGCTAATTTTTAACATTTGCTTTATAGACAGTGCTGGTAGGAGCCTCCTTAGCATAACTTTCCAGAAAGCAGCATGATTGCCAACCTCAGAGATGGATAGACACTTGATCTAGTGCTCCCTGTACAGGGCTTCTACACAGCAGCAATAATGCCTCACTACATTATTGGTATATAAAATTGTTTACTGTAGAAATGTACATGATGAATTGTGATCAGTAATAGAGAGAATAGTCAACATAAGAAAGTACACAAAGAAAGAAGAAGGTCTGTACCTTGGTGGGGAACCATAATTGTCTTCATAGCATCATGTGACAGACTAGAAAAAGGTCTTTACCAGAAGTATCTCAGTACAAACCTGAGTGAAAAAGGGGAGGGGTTGCTAGACCAAGACCAAGTTGCCCTTTTTATATTCCATAGCAAATAGAAGAAGGTTCCTACATAATATAGATGGAAATAGAAAAGAGCCTGTTTTGTTGGTAATAGTGTAGAAAATTGGGTTGTTATTTGAAGGGAGAGGATTGGTCAACTTTTTTACAGAAGAGAAGTATTCACATTTTCATCACAATTCATTGTCCCAAATGGCTAGAGAGATCTTTTTGTACTTCCTCAGCCTTACTCCAGGGGCTTCTTGCCTGTAGAGTGCCCTGGCATTGCCTGAGGATAGAGGAGAAAGCACAGCTCCCTCCCTAGCAAGACTCTACTTTCTTGTGGGGCCTACAGATTGGGCTGACAGCAAGTGCCAGATAGGGCATGCTATCTTATGTACATGATGCCTGTATTCTCAAAACACAACACTCAGGTGCTTGTGGATGGAAGGAACTGCATGCATTCAGGAGAACCAGGGTAAGATGTTATACATGGGACAAATCAGACAGTTACAAAACAGATCATAGAAAGTATCAAAGCTCTCCCAGTGTTCTCAGAAAGGTTAACCCGAGCACTTTGTTTCCTCTCAGGAGCTGATGAGGAGTTTCAACAGAGACAGGAGGATTTTCTGTGCCCTTCTCTCTACCCATAGCCGTGCCACTGGCATAAACCTTGTTGAGGCTGACACCGTGGTATTTTATGACAATGACCTAAATCCTGTTATGGATGCCAAAGCCCAGGAGTGGTGTGATAGAATTGGAAGGTGCAAGGACATCCATATATACAGGTGATGACCATCCTGGCCAATTTATAGAATTGTACATAATGAACTTTGTAGAGGGCGTGGGTGCAGGAATTCAGTATAAAGTAGAGCCAAATGTAATATGTTGCCATTGAATTTTACAGGTTCCTACATAACTGAGGTTTACTTTCCTTTTAGTCATGTTTCTAGTGCTGCTGTTCTGTCTGGTCTTTGTACTTGACATTTGCTTGAATTTGTAATCAGTTGGGTAGCTTAGGTCTGGTTGTTGTTGGCTTGCTGGTTTTCAGTGCTCACATTTTGCATCTCTTTTAGAATAACTGGAGAGCACAGCTCATATTTGTGTTGGTTTAAGAATTATAAAATACAAAGTATCTTTGAAAAACTTTAGCTAGATCTCATTATCTTCAAGCATATAAATTATAGCTGGCCATTCACAGTTAATTGAGAAGGCAGAAGGGTCCATGACTCACTTTTAAATTTCTGGTTGTTATTCTAATATAGTGCTAATCTGTGATTGTGTTAGACCTTTAATTTGTCTAAGTGAGAGCATGGGGCTGGTCACTCTTTCCTGCGTAGGAACACAACATAGTCTAGATAGGCAACAGATGGATGGGCTCCATGTTGACTATTGAAGGAAAATATAATAAACAAATTAAACAAGTAGATGATAAGAGTGGAGGGAATGGCTTATAGTTCTTAAGTCAAAAGTCAGATTAGTTTCATAAGTTGAAAACTAAGGTGTTCTTATTTAAAAGTGGAGATAAAGCTCTCTATCCTGAGGAGTATAAATACTCAATTCCAAGTGTCACAGTCTGAAAAAGAGCTTGCTGTGGGGTAGCTTGATACTCAGGTTAAACATGCAGTATCTCTTCAGTATATACAGACAGGCAGCATATCAAGAGGAGCTGAGTGTAATAATGGAAGCTTCTGTGTGTTTGGGACACAGGGATTGCCTCAGCTCTTCTGAAAGCAGCATGAGAAGACTTGCTGAATTAAAATTTGTGGCCTTTATCCTGTCATAACCACACTGAGGTTGTTCATTGCAGCAGGAATGGGGAGTACCCATTAGGGTGCAGCCATACACCTGTTGCAGACAGAAGGAAAGCATGTTCATAGGGAGCTTCTTCATGCCTCTTAGCAAAGGGAGCAAATGTGGGTTAGCATGTCACGACAGACAGGATTTGCCTCATGCTACACACATCAAAGACCTGTTGGGGAACACCCAGTCTAATAGCATTTTGCTAATAGCCTTTGCATTGGCTGCCTTGAGGAAGGGGTTGAAAAGGTAAACAGTGATAAAAACATGTATAGCAAGAATTCCTTCCCATCTGCCTCCTTACAAGGAAGGCCTCAAAGACAAGCCAAGTTTGATATCACTAAAGCCTAATTTGGGAAACATTGCAATAAGTTTATTGGGCTTACTTACAGAGCAAGAGTGGTTTCTTACAGGAGTGTGGGTAATATCAAACCGTGACTGCACTCTAGAATGGATGGCACTGCACTCTAGAATGGATGGCGGCTTCTGTATAGCTGCGTAGATGGAATTCAGCATAGCTGCATAGATGGAATCCCTACTTCCCGTCTTCCCTGGGCCTGTATACTCTAGCCCCTCTACAGTGCAGAATTACATACAAAGATGAGAGTCCTGTGGCCCTCCCCTAGTCCATCTTTCTGAGAGAATAACAGTAGTTGATAGGTCCACTGATGGTGGTCTGTTGTAGGCAGGCACAGCTGATCTGATGAATATGGCTGCCTATTTTACTTCAACCACATTGTACAAAGGTCTGTTAAAAAGTCACCCACAGGACCCATGTGCTCAGCTGGTTAAATCATTTACCGCCAGGCCTGACGATCTTCAGGACTTACAGGGTAGAAGGAGCACTGCCACTATTAGTGACAATAGTGATAATCTCTGACTTCCACATATGAGTCATGTGGCACATACATGCCTGTATGCTTGTATTCTGTCTTCTCTCTCTCTCCCCTCCCCTCCCTCCCTCCCTCCCTCCCTCCCCCCCCATTCAGGAGACTTAAACAAGGAAGATCATGAGTTTGAAGCTAGCCTGGGCTACATAGTGATATCTTGTCTTTGCAAAGCTAACCCACCTCATGTATGTGCTATTATTACATGAATGTAAAGTGGTACTTGTAACAGTTTTTTCTAATTGATTTTAATAATAAAAACCTGGAGTCAGATATAGGGGTAAATGCTGAAAGATCAGAGAGACAAAGGAGCAAGCCACAGCCATACCTTACCTCGCCAACTTCTCAGCCTAAAAGAGAGAGAGGGAACTTCTGTCTCGTCCCGCCTCTCTCTGCCCAACCATATCTCTTCCTGTCTCTACCTCTCTAGTGCTGGGATTAAAGGTGTGAGCCACCAATGCATGGCTCTATTTCTCTTTTAGATTGCATCAATCTCGTGTAGACCATACCTTGAACTCGCAAAGATCGGTTCTGCTCCTGAGTGCTGGGATTAAAGGTGTGTGCCACTACTGCCTGGCCTCTATGGCTAACTAGTGGCTTAGTTCTGCACTCTGATCTTCAGGCAAGCTTTATTTGTTAGAGCACAAACAAAATATCACCACGGTACCATCTTGTTCTGTGCATGCAGGGTGTTGATGTGCTTATAAACCAAAGGTGAACAGAAATAAAATTGTTTTAGTGGTGATCTCAGATTAGAATATGACTTTTCCCTGTTTCTCATGCTCATACATAATCAAACTGTGTATACTGAACTTGCATTAATGATGAAACAGCAGTACTTGATTGGTCACTTTTTAAAAAGATACTTTATTTTTATTTTTATGTCCGTTGGTGCTTTGGGTCCCCTGAAACTGGAGTTACAGACAGGTGTGAGCTGCCTTGTGGATGCTGGAAATTGAACCCAGATCCTCTGAAAGAGCAGTCAGTGCTTTTAACTGCTGAGCCATCTCTCCATTCCCCAATTGGTCACTTTTTCCTATGTTTCCTATTTGGAGCTTTTTTTCTCTTGGAAAATTCTCATTTGTTCTTTTCATCCCCGTGAAAACTTTTGTTTAAATTGTTTAATTTAAGCGTTCTTGAGTTTTATCATTTAACATCCTAAAAGCAAGTAAACAGAACTGAAGAGATGGCTGCTCTTCCGGAGGACTCAAGTTCAATTTCCAGCACCCATATAGCAGCTCACCAACTGTCTGTAACTCCAGTCTCAGGGAATCTAGTGCCACCCTCTGGCCTTTAGAGGCACCAGGCATGCAAATGGTACACAGACATACATGCAGGTGAAACACCCATATATATATTGTTTTAAAAGTATATTTTAAAACAAAGCAGTGAACGTTATACAAAATAAGACTGGGTGATGGGACCTGCTTGGGGCACTACCCTGAAACTGTCTATTCCACTGTCTGTTAAGTGAGGACAACAACCATGGTACTCTTCTTAGAGCACCCTCTGTTGGCCTAGCAGCTTGCAGGAGACATAGGAAACTGTTGACACTTAAGTTAGAATGTGACATCTCGGGCTGGAGAGATGGCTCAGAGATTAGGAGCACTGACTGCTTTTCCAGAGGTCCTGAGTTCAATTCCCAGCAACCACATGGTGGCTCACAACCATCTACAATTCAATCTGGTGCCCTCTTCTGGCATGTAGGCAGAACACTGTATATGTAATAAATAAATAAATCTTTAAAAAAAAAAAAAGAATGTGACATCTCTTAAGCCTCTCACTAGGCAAGTCAGAAAATCACTCTGCCTGTTGTGGTCAGAGAGTGTCAAAGAGAACAGACAGTAAGGATGAGTATGGAACGGTGTGAGACATGTCTAAGTAGATTAAGGTGGGAGAAACATTGGCAAGCAGAGGGATGGACCAAAGACTCCAGAGCTTACTAAGCTGAGGGTGGAGAGATTGACAGACAGGTGTTGATCAGCATGTGAGGCATCTGCTGCTTCCCTGGATACCATCTGGACACCTATGCCTGGTATTGGCTTGTATTTCTAGGTGACTTAACTGAATATGTATACATTTTCTTTCTCTTCTCTTTTGTAGGCTTGTCAGTGGCAATTCTATTGAAGAGAAATTGTTGAAAAATGGAACTAAAGATTTGATACGGGAAGTAGCTGCTCAGGGAAATGACTACTCGATGGCATTCTTGACTCAGGTAGCTTAGCTTACATTTGTTAAGAATTCTCAGTGACTAGGCATCGTAGCACTGTAGTTTAGCACTCAGGATTTTGAGGCAGGAGGATAATACTTTCAGAATCAGCCTGGCGTACATAGGGAGACCCTGTCTCACCTCCCAGCTTCCCTCAGTGAGGAATGCCACATTGAACAGGACCATCTTATTTTGAATTCACTAATGAGGGATGTTTTTATGATGGAGTTTTTATGATGCCCAAAGCTCAGGTCAGGTATAGGATTGTGTCTGTTCCTAGAAATGACTGTACTTATTGCTTGTGTTCAGCGAACTATCCAGGAGCTGTTTGAAGTATATTCACCCATGGATGATGCCGGCTTTCCTGTGAAAGCTGAAGAATTCGTGGTGCTTTCTCAGGAACCCTCTGTCAGCGAAACCATCGCACCCAAGATTGCGAGACCTTTCATAGAGGTGAGGAGAAATATGGTCAACCATTAGATTTGTTTTCCTCTTTTTTTTTTTTTTTTTTGGTTTTTCGAGACAGGGTTTCTCTGTATTGCTTTGGAGCCTGTCCTGGAACTAGCTTTGTAGACCAGACTGGTCTCGAACTCACAGAGATCCGCCTGCCTCTGCCTCCCGAGTGCTGGGATTAAAAGTGTGCGCCACCAACGCCTGGCCAACCATTAGATTTGTTTGACAATGAATGTTTCACTTGAGTCTTGACTATGTGTGCTTTCCTAGTATGGATGTATGATTTCACTCACCTGGCCTCTGAGTACTCAGTCCTTACTCGTATTTGATTCTCCCCTCCCTTGATCTTTAGCCTTCCTGCCGTCCTTCATCCTTTGTCTCAGCTGTAAAGAGGTGTTGAGGGAGTGGAGGAGAAGATGGCAGCCTTTGTCTTCTTTCCTTTAGGACTGTCTGAGCCGAATTTGATTTTTAGTATTGAGCTGTCTTATGTCTTCCTCCCCTGACTCAAAGAGTTACCAGTCCCCTGTGGCCCCCAAGCACTAGAAACACTGCCCACCTGGGTTGAATGCACTGTCCCTGTAAGACACATAGCTGAGTTTGAAGACTGAGACAAGACCCTGGAATGTCTCTCTTTAGCATCTCTCATGTTGATGCCTTTTTAGGATGTAATGTTTTGGATTCATATGAGAGATATTACTGTTTCAGTGTAGGCACTGGGAGATTTGGAGTTGCACATGGGTCCTGTGCAGTGGATATCTGTATAGGAACATAGCAGATACCTGTCCGGGCTACTTATATCCCCTCCTTCCTGCTACTGGCTTGACCTTACTTGCCCCTCGATTGCTGAATACCCCTTCTCTACCACAGCCTCAAGTGAAGGGAACGGGTTCCTTCCTCCCCAGACCCTGCCCTCCGTGCCTTCTTTGAGTGTCCTCCACACCTCCCATTTTGCTGTTTAACTAAGGTGGTGACCACTGACTTATTGTTTGCTTTTTTGCAAAAGACATGAATGATGGCATGTGTCAATGCTGTGGTTTGCTATTGGCCTGTGCTCCATGCTGTCATAGCTTGTCTTTACCAACAGTGGTGATGGCCAGTTACTTTCTGATTCTAAAAGTGAACTATTCAGAAAGTTCCTCTTCCTTTAGCCACTACTCCCTTCCAAAAGTGACTACTCTTGTGGCATATTACTACATTTGCCTATCTTGAGCTGGATTGAATAGAATTCTGTACTTTAGGTCTGTCTGCTCTTTGTTTCATGTGGCAGTAAATATATCTGTCTTCATTCTGGATTATGATATTTATGAACTTACCACATTGCTCACGGACCTGTGTATAGATGACTATTTTGAAGTGTGCTTTTGCAGTGACTCATGTGAGCATGTATATGCATTCCTACTGAATGTAGACCTTCAAGTTTTGAAGTTGAGTCTCTGGCCAGCATATCTTGAACACATGACTAGTGGGTGGAGCTAAACGGAGTACCTCAGTGGTACCTGAGTGCTGCAGCTGCTGTGCATTGCCCAGGGCTTCAGCTGGGTGGCTTCTCTAAGGCTCACAGTCTCATGTGGTAGCTTTATTTTTGAATCTGAACACCATTTCATGGGTTTGCTGCCATGAAGGTCTTCTCTCTTGCCCTAGTGTCAGGGATGAAAACCTGGGTTTCCTGTAAACCTCTACTACTGAGCCTCACCCCCAGTCCCTGGATAATTTTTTTAAATAGCCTGGTCAAGTAGTTTTCTGGATTTTGGAGTTTTTTTGGGGTGTCTGTGTGTGTGTGTGGGTATGTGGTATGTGTTATTTTGTGATTGTGTATGTGCACATGAGTGTGAGTGGCTGCAGAGATAAGAAAAGGGAATCAGTTTCCTTGGAACTGGAGTTTCAGGCTATTGTGAACCCCCAATGTAGGCACTGGAACTTAACCCAGGTTCTCTGAAAGAGAAGCAAGTGCTTCTTAACTGTTGAACCATTTCTTCAGCCCAATATTTCTAACGGGGGAGAGAGAGAGAGAGGGAAGGGAGGGAGGGAGGGAGGGAGGGAGAGAGGGGGGGGAGGGAGAGAGGGAGGGAGGGGAGAGAGAGAATGAGAGTAACTTGCAAGAGTCAGTACCGGTTCTGGGAATTGAACTCAGGTTGTCAATCTTGGTGACACAACCTTTACCTGATGATCCATCTTACTGTGTCTGTTCCCTGGTGAAGGTTATTTTGTTTTCTCCTCTTTTTCCTACTGTCCTTTTGGATGCTTTATGTCTTATGTTCTTGATCTTGCTAAACAGAGATTCCTATATGTGTGGTCCTCATCAGGCTTTCTGTACCTAGCTTTAAAGATTCTCCAGGTCACCATGCTGCCTCCTTTTTTGTCTTTTGGAAGTGATGTTGGGGTTCTTATACAGTATGATCATCTTTTTAAACTGCAGGTTTTGCCAAATACTCTGAAAACTGGTTGCATGAGTTTTTTGTTTTTATTTTTTGACCATAGCTATATTGTCTCATATGCTACCACCTCTTTTTACATCCCCAGCCATGATCAGATGTGTGCTTCTGGGAGCTTAGGAGGTGAACAGTGACAGCATTTTTTTGCTTTTTTATGAGACAGAGTTTTCTGTGTAGCTCTGGTTGTCCTGGAACTTACTAAGTAGACCAAGCTGGCGTCGAACTCAGAGATCTGCCTCCTCTGCCTCCCAGGTGCTGGAATTAAAGGAATCAGTGCCAGCTTTTTAATGTACATGCCTCATGTTATAATAAAGTTAGCTGTCCTGTATGTTCTGGGCACCTGTGCTACAGTTTTCTGTGGTCTTGCTTTTGTATTTGGGCTATCAACAGGTCTCTGTTCTTCCCTGTGTCAACAGCTCTGGTTAGTACCATATACTAGATGTAAGGTGAATCTCCATGGTCCCTTCTCATTCCTAGAGTCTGTAATTTTTGGTGGCTTCATTTTCCAGTTTCTTTTAGCATGTTACTGTAGCAATCTTGGGCTACAACACTTCTCAAGGACGTGGGCCAGGGCCTGAGGATAGAAATGAAGACAAACAACAGCGACTCATTCTTGTAAGGGGAATGGTGTTTATTGTAACAAGAGGGGAGCATTATATACCAGTTAGCAGGCACAGTGGAAAACTACCAAAGTCAGAAGTTCATGTTCCCAGGGCCCTCCGGCAATAAGGATGGGCAGATAACAGGTACTTGAATTCAGACAATAAGGATGGGCAGAAAACAGGAACTTGCATACAGGCCTAATTGGAAGGAAGGGAACAGGATAAGCTCACTACTAGTTATAAGCTGGTCAGCAATCCCTATGGGGGAAGGGTCCAACATGTTACCGTCAGTGTTTTGTTCTTCCATGGAGCTTGATAGTAATTTTAGAAGTTGTAGATCCATCCATAGCTCCCATCGCTGGAATGCCTGTCATCAGCATGTGTATAAGAGTCTTAAAAGAAGGAAAGTACCTCTGGAGGCTTGCTGGTTGTTCACAATACAGGTATCTACTTTAACAGTATAAACTCCTTCGTTTGCCAAGTCTCAGTGCACATTCTCTGTAGGCCCTCAAGAGCATTGAGTATCTGGAGGAAGACGCCCAGAGGTCCACAGCAGAAGCTATGCCTGGATCCAGCACTGGAGTTGTGTCCTCAGACTCAGACAGTCCTAGATATGAGGAGGAGCCATCCCAGCTGGAAGAGCTGGCTGACTTTATGGAACAGGTTTGGGAATTTTTTTTTCTTTAAAGCTAAGAATTTTAGCATTTGAACCCTTTTGTAAAATTTTTTTTTGTTTGCTTTGACTAAGAACAGTTACTTTTTAAATTAAATGTTTGTGCGAGGATTTTTTTTTTTTTTTCGAGACAGGGTTTCTCTGTATTGTTTTGGAGGCTGTCCTGGAACTCGATTTATAGACCAGGCTAGCCTTGAACTCACAGAGATCTGCCTGCCTCTGCCTCCTGAGTGCTGGGATTAAAGGTGTGTGCCACCAATGCCCGGCCAAGAAGATTTTTTTTGAGGAATTTTATTGAACTCTATTAAGTTGCTACTAACCCAATTCAAAAATGTGTCTTTGAAATAGCTTACACCAATTGAAAAATATGCATTGAATTACTTGGAATTGTTCCATACGACCATTGAACAAGAAAAAGAGAGAAGCAGTGAGGTAAGAGAATCAAGTTTTGGTCAGTTTAACATATAAAAAGTAAAAAATTTCAGTGCTGCATTTGATTTGAGGTGACTATGACTCCATGGAATTAAAGGGATGAAGCCAAATCCTAGCAGTGCAGTCCTTAGTGAGAATGTGATCTTGGAAGCCCCGTGCAGGCAGCTGGATTGCTTTCTTTTCACCTTGATGTCATTGCATGTGTTTTTGAAGTAGTTTGGAGCTGATACAGGCTTACGTGTTGAGGGGCAGAGCATGTGCAGCAGTAAGAACTGAGACATCCCTTTAGGGAGATGGATAGGGCTTGGCCATGTGCACAGTGGCTATAGAGTTGACCACTAGAAAGAGATCAGAAGCAACCTGCCTACATGCCTGCCTTGATCTTGAAAGTTCTTTCCCCGATGCTTTCTCTTAGCAGGATTTGGTGATGGCATCAGTGAGGGACTGGGAATTCCGCAATGCTAGGGCCCTACAGGAAAGGGAGGTCCAGCTGCAGCTTGAACAGGAAGAGGCAGAGCTTCTCACCTACACTCGGGAGGACGCCTACAGCATGGTATAAATTAGCACTCATCTCCTTTTCTCACCTAACTGCTGTTATAACATGTTGAGGTCTTAACTGATACTGATTTAACCCTCGGTGGGTGATATTTCTGGAATTTAGATAAATCCACGCTTTTAAATCCACAGTCATGTTTGAATATTGATGAAAGTATGTAATTTTTGGCATGTATCATGAAGTAAAGCCTTTGTTGTATTTTAAACTTCTGTTCCATAGGAGTATGTTTATGAAGATGCTGATGGGCAGACAGAAGTCATGCCGGTACGTGAGCTGACCCTTCTCCCTGAATGCCTGAGCAAAGGCTAACCTTCCCATAACTTGGCAGCTTATGGAACCTGCTTTCTCTGTGCAGCTCTGGACACCACCCACTCCTCCTCAGGATGACAATGACATCTACATTGACTCAGTTATGTGTCTCATGTATGAGACCACACCTATCCCAGAAGCTAAGCTGCCTCCTGTTTATGTGAGGAAGGAGCGCAAGCGACACAAAACAGATCCATCAGGTGTGTATTGCTGTGCTGGAATAGGAGGCGGGTTCCATCTATTGTCTCCTGTACCATGTTCCTGGGTCCTGCCATTTCATAGGAAGACCCTTGATGATTATGGTTGTTAGTATAGAAGACCACTAAGAGGCTGGGTGCATGGCATACACCTGTATTCCCAGCGCATGGGATGTTGAGGCAGAAGGATCATAAGAGTTCATGGCTAGCCTGTGCTAAATAGTGAGACTGTTTTGAAACTCCCAAATAGATAAATAGTAAACACAAGAAAGTGGTTTTAGCCGGGCGGTAGTGGCTCACGCCTTTAATCCCAGCACTCGGGAGGCAGAGGCAGGCGGATCTCTGTGAGTTCGAGGCCGGGCTGGACCGACAGCCTCCAAAACAATACAGGGAAACCCTGTCTCCTAAAAAAAAAAAAGAAAGTAGTTTTACTTTTAGCAGTTGTTTCCATAGCCCCTTGGTCTATATGCCTTTTGTGTGCTTTCTTCCCCTTTTCTCACCCCACTGGTGAGGAAATCTCTCATTGTCCTATACTGCTGAACCCCACCTCTATTCAGCTGCAGGCAGGAAGAAGAAGCAGCGGCATGGTGAGGCAGTAGTCCCACCACGATCTTTGTTTGACCGGGCGACACCTGGCATGTTGAAAATCCGACGTGAAGGCAAGGAGCAGAAGAAGAACCTGCTGCTGAAGCAGCAGACACCCTTCGCCAAGCCTCTGCCTACCTATGTCAAGTCCTCAGGGGAGCCTGCCCAGGACAGTCCCGACTGGCTCATTGGCGAGGACTGGGCCCTGCTACAGGTGAGTGACTATGTTGTCTTTGCATTGAGCATTCCCATGGTTTGTTTGCTCCCCCACATTGGTGATTCACAGTGCATGGAAAGACAGCACCAGTAAATTTGAAGTGTGTTGATCTGTGTGCTCTGAAACCTCGTCCTCCAGGCTGTAAAGCAGTTACTTGAGCTGCCATTGAACCTCACGATTGTGTCACCTGCCCACACTCCTAATTGGGACCTTGTCAGTGACGTTGTCAATTCCTGTAGCCGAATCTACCGCTCTTCTAAGCAGTGCCGGAATCGTTATGAGAACGTCATCATTCCCAGAGAAGAGGGGAAGGTGAGCTTATACCCCTTGGTTTCCCTGGGAAGAATTGGCTTCTTCAGTAGCCAGGTCTTGCTGTGTATTGATGGGCAGTGTAGCTGTCCCTGTAGACTATGGTGAAGTCAGCCTTCTTCATCAGTGAGGCCTACGTCTACACAATACCTGGCACATAATGGACATTCGTGGGGAGTCAATAACCTTGCCCTTCATCATGGTTGGTGTTAGCCTATGAACCAGATGCCAGCCTCTGGTGTGGCAGCAGTGTGGAATACTATGCCATTGAGGTTTCAGATGAGTAAGGGAAGGACTCTTCTTTGACTTGTTACCACCTCACTTAAAAAAGAGTCTGTTCATGCTTTCTGTGCCACTTTCAAGCACAGTAGTGGTTTGACAAGCAGTCTCTGTTTCTGGGTTAACGTTGAGCGTTGAAAGTGTTTATAGTATGGCCAAACCATTGTGCCTTTCATTCAGGAAGCCAGCTATGGTTTGCATCCTGGACCAAAATGAGTCTATGCTGCTGCTCAGGGATATGCAGGCCTCTACTCAGCTTTTCCCCTACCTGGTTGGAGTTTGTCTACTATTTCCATTTCTCCATTTGGCTTTCTTTACACAGCTCCCTCTTTTTTTGCCATTTGACAGCTAGTTTTTCTTCAGTGTCCACAGGCCATGTCACACCAGCATTTACAAATGTTCAGCCCTGATGCCAAGGCAGGTGTACAGAGAATACTGCCTTTCTGACCACATCAGTATGTCCATTAGCATAGGAGCAACAGTGATGTTGGCAAGACAGGCATCTAGTCCTTATTTTGGTACAGTTTGTGAAAACTACCTTGGTGTTGAGAGCCACATGTGCCCTCAGGATGAGGTTGCCACACTCACCTTACTTTTGTGACCACTCTTTGAACCATCTCTTGTCATTTCTAAAACACTCGTCTCAGAACAAAGCATTTGTTTGCTTTTTTTTAATAAAAAAGCAAGCCTTCCTCATGATACCATTCTGTGGTTCCTCCACCATAAAACCTCCTGAAATCTCACATTCACTCTTTTGTGTTCTGGAAGCATTTATAATAATAGCAGCCATTACCTTAATATTGAAAAAAAATTAAGCTAAAATATTTTCTTCTCTTATAGCTGATTTGTGAAGCTAATCCAAAGAAAAAGGCACAAAATATTTATAAGGTACGAGGAGGTGTTCTGAATGAGATGGAAAGCTTTCTGTAAGTGCCTGTGAAAAAGAGCACAATGAGGTTCAGACTGATCCCGGACTGTAGTAGCAAAAACACAGCACTTAGGGTTTTCTCAAGTGCCTTTTATTCCTATGCTTAGAGGTTTTCCTTTTTCACCTGAAGGAACCACACAGTGACTCATTGAGTCCGTCAGGGACATTCAGAGCCTCCCTGTTGTTCACACCCTGTTGAGGCCTGTGATGTGGTGGCTAGATGCCAGTTAAGCTAACCAGACTTAGCCCTGGAGCTATTGTTGTTCATAGTTAGGACCAGCCAGGGCTTTATTGCTGAACACATGTCCTTCCTGCCTTTGGCCTTGTCTTACTTTCACTCTGGTGGTGGGTGTGATACACTGGCTCTTACTCTCCCTTCTTCCTGCTTCCCTTTGTTTAGTTTTGTTGTTGTTGTTTTAAAATAGGAGGATGCTTATATAGGGGGCAGTGTTCAAGAAGCAGATCTGTGTAACCGTGCACATTGGTTTTTTAGTTCTGACTGTCCTTGGCATTCTCTCTGAACTTAAGGCATTCTTCCAGCAACAGATGTGTATTTGCCTAAGTATACTGGGTATACATCACTGACTGCAGTAATGGGGTTGGTCAGGGTTTAGAGATACTGAAGGGCAGAGAGAGCCAGCCCTGGGCTAGGTAGAGCTGTGAGCTTTTGTCCCACCTGTGACCTCGCACAGACTATTTTTGGGCTTTCTATATCTGAGGGGGAGTGTTTAGATGTCTTGGTAGCAAGTAGACAACTGTTGAATTTTCGTTTACCTGTGGCATTTATAAGCAGGAAGGCTAACTAGGTACAAATGTGTCACAGCCCCCATGGAATGCAGTTTTAGACATCCATGTTACCCTCACTGTCCACTCTGGGTAGAAGGTGTCTGTGTGTGATTCCCACTGCCTCATCTGTCCATGGTATTAGACTTAACAGTTGAAGACTGTGTATTAACCTCAGAGTGTGTCCTTGAATATTTTGTACAACCTTTCTCTCCTCAGTGAAGGGGAGGCTCAACTGAGCAAAGTTCCTAAGGATTGGGGATGTTGCCAGCTACCAGCAAATGATGGCCATTCAGTGTTGCAAATGTATTATATTATCCCAGAAGGAAAGGAAGGGAATGGGACTTGGGTGCAGCCGTTGGAACTTAGCCACAGACTAAGTTTCCAGAGTAGTATGGTAGGTTTATGGTCTAAACTTGATGAGCTCCTGTCAATTTTGTTTCAGAGTAAAAACAACCGTCCACTCCGCACCAGCCAGATTTATGCCCAGGATGAGAACGCCACTCACACCCAGCTGTATACAAGCCACTTTGACCTGATGAAAATGACAGCTGGCAAGAGAAGCCCCCCAATCAAGCCTCTGTATGTTCCCTGGGCTCGTATTTCGTTACTGTGATTGCATCAGCTAAGAGGCTAGTAATTGATACTTGCTCTTGATTATGTTTTCCTCTTGTTTGGTAACCAGTCTTGTTTCTGTGTTGCAGGCTTGGCATGAATCCGTTTCAGAAGAACCCCAAGCATGCCTCTGTGCTGGCAGAAAGGTACTTCTATGGATCAAACACATTTTAAACCTTTGAAATGAGTTTGTGTCGTCACTTTAAGTTCAGTAGAATAATGAACTATAATATAAAACAACATGATATGTAAGCTTTGGCTATGATGATATAGACCCTGAACTTGAGAAACCTTGAAGTCCTTTGAGGAGAGTATGTCTATGGTAGCCCCAGACAGACAGACAGACAGACAGACAGACACACACACACACACACACACACACACACACACACACACACACACAGTCTTGTCCTGCATTTGTAAAGAGCTCTCATCTCCTATTGCTTTGTGCAGCAGCTTTGTCCTATGGTACAGAACAAAGGCTAAGAGAGTAATTGTTCTGCGCTGCAGACACAACTTTTGTTGGTTGTACCATAGGAGGTTATTAAGTTTAGAGGTGAATGCACTTGATTATTTTTTAATGAAGGAAAAATGAACTAGTGTGTGAGTGGATTGTGAAATGGGAAGATGGGAGAATGTGAGCATTCTCTTTGGAGCTAAGCTCTGGGCTAGATGCTGGCAGTGCTGGAGATCTGCTCAGGTGAACAGTCACTGCTCTGTTTTCATCACTGCGCACATGCACACTGGTTGCTTCCTGTCCAGCCCCTGCTTTCCTGTTAAATGCTGTGTATCCCCTTGTCACATAGCTATGGGAGTGGTCCTTGCCAAATAGTCAATTCATGACACATTTACTAAGAGCCCAATAGCACTGCTGTGCTTCCTTTAGCAGTGCCCTGTGTGACCTGGGATTTTCATCTCATGATATCAAGGTGTCCCATCTCCTGGGGCTGGACCCCATGTGGAAACTTGAAGCCCCACCCTGCTGTGGTTTTTGTTTAATTTTGTTTGTCCTAGGGATTACCTTCAGAGATGCCCTATATTACTTAAATTTGTTACCTGCACCTGTGCAGCAGTGCTTATTGATTGAGTGGAATGATGAGTTAATCAAGTTAGTATTTGTTAGTAGGTTAAGGGCTGTCATGGCACATAGTGCTTACGAAGGATACTGGCATGCCTTCCAGAGAGATGTGTAGCATGAAAGAGGGAGGAGAGAAGGGTCTTCACAGATGGCTATGTTCTGAGTACACTGCAGGACATAAAGGAGGATCCTTGGGGTTTGGGAAGAGTAGTTTCAGGTGCTAGGGTAGGGGGTGTTCCATCACCTCCCTGGGAAGGTGGAATGTGAGCTGGGCCTTGAGAAGAAGCTGAGGACAAGAGACTCAAAACCACCAGACCTGTATAGGTAAAAACAGACTGTACTGAAAGGACTGTGAGACTTTTGTGGGCTATGGGCATTAATAAAGTCACTCAGGCCTATCATGTAATGATAGTTGAATGAAAACCTTAGAGCAAGGGGGTTGTGTCTGTTTAGCCAGGGGTAGGGGGTGGGGTGGTATTTGTCCAGGGTATGGCTTTGGGTAGGTTCTAGGTTCTTTGGTAGCTGTGGGATACTTGTGGTGGTATGTCTGGGCAGACCCAGAGAGTTTATAGAGTACTGCCTGTTAGTAGACTCCTGAAATTGCAGAAAGTACTGAATGTCAAGTACCTGGGAGTTTTGTTTGTATTGTTTTCTTCTTAAGACAAGGCTTTAGTACAGGCTGGCCTTGAATTTGTGGTAATCCTTTATCTAGCCTCAGCCTCCAGAGTGCTGAGAATCCTTTACACAGGTGTGAGCTACTGTGATCTGTATATTGTGTTTTCTAAAGTAAAAACCTTTCACTTAAGCATCACATGATTTCTTTTTGTTATAATCACATTATCAGCATTAATTTTTTTTGTACATTATTAAGTCAAATCTGGTTTTGTTGTTTATTTGTGGCATTATTTTTTTCCCTTCAAGACAGGATTTCTCTGTGTAATAGTCCTAACTGTCCTGGAACTTGATTTGTAGGCCAGGCTGGCCTCAAACTCACAGATATCCTCCTGTTTCTGCCTCCAAGTGCCACCACACCTGGCTGTTTGTTTTTTTAACACAAGCCTGAAATATAGTCAGTCTGGTAGCTGAGACTGTGATACCGTGTCTAATAGATGAGTAGTGTATACAGTATGGACACCCTGGAACAAAACACAGCTCACATCCTGGGCTGGAATGAATGAGACAGTGTATGTTTTCATCAAACTATTCAGGACAATGTGTAATTTAAAACTAGTGAATTATGGGCCTGGAGAATGGGGCTCAGCAGTTAAGAGTTTGTTTTCTAGCGCCCATGTCAGATGGTTCACAACCACCTGTTACTTCAGTTTCCCAGAATCTTCTGGCCTCTATAGATACCTATATTCACACATATAAGCTCAAACACATACACATAGTTAAAAAATTAAATCTATTAAAAAAACAAAACAAACAAGCAAAAACAAATGGGGATTGGAGAGATGGCTCAGAGGTTAAGAGCACTGTCTGTTCTTCCAAAGGTCATGAGTTCAATTCCAAGCATGGACCACATCATGGCTCACAACCATCTACAAGGTTTGGTGCCCCCTTCTGGCATGTAGGCATTCATGCAAGAACAGTGTATATGTAATAAATCTTTAAAACAAACAAAGGAATTGTTTATAGAATTTTCTGAGTAATTTTTTTTTTTCGAGGCAGGGTTTCTCTGTATTGTTTTGGAGGCTGCCCTGGAACTTGCTCTGTAGACCAGGCTAGTCTCGAACTCACAAAGATCCTCCTGCCTCTGCCTCCCAAAGGCATGCACCACCAACGTCCGGCCCCTGAGTAGTAGTTTTTTTTTTTTTTTTTTACCATGACTGATATGTGTAAGCGAAGCAAGCTTTGACTTTTTATCTTATAGTGGAATCAACTATGACAAGCCATTGCCTCCCATTCAAGTTGCTTCTCTCCGTGCAGAGCGAATTGCAAAAGAGAAAAAGGTATGGTACCCTAGACCCTGGGTCCTCTCAGAAACATGCTTCTGTGGCATGATGTCACCCTGGGTTGGGTCCAGCTCCTTTAGCAGCTTCTCTTCCCATTTGACCCTTCTAGGCTTTGGCTGATCAGCAGAAGGCACAGCAGCCACCAGTGACACAGCCGCCCCCACAGCAGCAGCAGCAACAGCAACCCCCACCACCTCCACAGCAGCCACCACCACCACTGCCACAGCCACAGGCAACAGGCAGCCAGCCACCAGCAGGACAGCCTGCTGTCCAACCCCAGCCCCAGGTCCAGGCCCAGCCACAGCCTGTGCAGGCACAGTCAAAGGGGCAACCTACGATGACAACTGTAGGCAGTGCTGCTGTGCTGGTGAGAGCCTCTAAACCCACAGTCTATGAACCTTACTCTGTGGGAATGCAGGATGCTCCCTGGGGATAGTCTGTGTTTTTGCCTGACTATGCCATCCTCTAAGGCTGGTGAACATCTCACTGGGCTGGGAGGGTAAAGCTACTCTTTGGTACAAGGACCAGGGCTAAGGAGAACCTGGGTTCTAAAGATGAGTATAGTTGCATATACTTTTAATCTCAGCTTGAGGGGGATTGAAACAGGAATATCTTGAGTATGAGTTCAGCCTGAGCTGTAAAACAAGACTGTTGACTCAAAAAAACAAAAAAAGAAGCTGGACTATGTAGAATAAGACAGATGAGCTTGTTCATTTCCTTTAGGTGGATAGAGCAGCACCTTCTGTGTCAGTGTGCATGCACAGCCACCACCAAAGATGTTCCACTTGTGCCCACCCACATTCTCAAGCCATAAGCACATAAATATCCAAAGGAAAATCAGAGCTGTGGCCCTGAAGGACATGATGACATATATACTTCAATTTTCTGTGGTGTTTGTCACACGGACATTGAAACCACACTCAAAGAGAACAGGCTCTCTCTGCCCTTTCCAGTGCACATGAATGCTGGTTTGGGTAGTTTTCTGAGGAGCCATCCACTTTGTTTTTTGAGATGGTCCTTCACCTTTCAGATTTGGTTAAGTAGGGTGGCCAGTTGACCATGGGGATCCTTGTCTACATTTGACCAGTGCAAGGGTTACAAGCACACACCACTACTTTCAGTTTTTTACATGAGTGCTAGGAGTCAAACTTAAGTCTTCATATTTGTAAACCCAGCACTTTACCAACTGAGATGTCTTCTCATACCCTGAATCATTACATTGAGCTGTGGTGGGATTTTGTAGGTGGTTGGGCATCATTCTTTCTTCACTGAGATGGTATATTTACTAAACCCTGTATGGTGTGGGAACTTCCACAGGAAGGCTGATGGGCAGTGTCTCCTACTCACTGAAGTTTGCCTTCCTATGTGGAATAATGATCACAGAAAGAAACTGGACACTTGTTTGTTGGCAGAAAGATTCTTTCTGAAGAGGTGGCATTTGAAAGTTAAGGCCTGAATGACATGAAGGCATTCATGAGAAGAATGGAAGCGTGCATGCGCCTGTGTGTGTGTGTGTGTGTGTGTGTGTGTGTGTGTGTGTGTGTGTGTGTGTTGGGGGGTACTTAAGTCTGGAGGTAATACATGTGGTAAGAGGAAGCATGGGAAGGGAAAGCTAATGTGGAAATAGCCCAGGTGCTGAGTAGCAGCAGGCTGGAGTCTGAAGGCAGTCTAGGTAATATGCTTGGGAATTTTCATTAGCTAATTATAGTTGCTTTTGCAGAGTTTGTGCAGCAAAAGGCCTGACCTGAAGTTGACCTGAATTTCTGTTTTTCAATAGGCAGGAACCATTAAGACATCAGTCACTGGAACAAGCATCCCAACAGGTGAGGAGGGTGCAGAGGGTTTGAAAATGGAGCTCAGTCTGTCTCCTCTGGCCTCACCCACATCTTGCTCTCTAGGCACTGTGAGTGGAAATGTGATTGTGAACACAATAGCGGGTGTACCTGCCGCTACCTTCCAGTCCATTAACAAGCGTCTGGCATCACCTGTGGCTCCTGGAGCTTTGACTGTGAGTTGTTCCCGTGCTCAGAGAGCTTACCATGACTTGCATTTGGGAAGATTATTTGCTTTTTTTTTTAAATGTTCCACAGATGAGAAAAATAACTGGTCTCCTTTGAATTTCATAAAATAAGTAGCTTATCAGTTTGGGACCCCTCAAGTTTTAGGAAACTGTCCTCTTTTGTATTACTAGGGAAGGGTGAATTTCCCCATAGGACAAGTTTTCAGAGAGGAGAGAGGTGGTATATGAAGATATGGCCTGGTCCCCCTTACCCAGGTTCCCCTTACCTCTGCCTCATTGGATCGGTAGGAAGCAGAGGTGAGGTTGTTGCCTTGGTAGATAGAGTGCTGTTCTGGAGTGTGGAGCACATTGCCATATGAAGTGATCAAGCAACCTGGCTTCCTGGGGTGAGGGCAACTGGACAGAGAGAGAGCCATCACAAAAGCATGAAGGTAGAGGTCAGCTGGGGGAATATGGTCCCCAGGAAGGAAAGGAAATGCCCTCTGTGGCATAACACAGAACGTGTGGTCAGAAGGTTTTCCTAGTGTCGACCACCTGTTTTCCTTTCATAGCTCACAGTCAGAATAAAGCACATTGCGTTAGAATTGCTGTTCTCATACCCAAAGGTGACATATCTCCTGTATAAGAAGTGACACTTCCAAGCTCTAATGCTGGGGTTTAGAGAATGTCTTTACTAGGAAGATGTGGTTTCTCTGATAACCTACAGAGGTAGACACACAAAAGGATGGAGTTGTTGGGGATGAAGATTAAAGGCATACACTACCATGCCCAGCTGAAATCACACTTCTTATATGTAATACTGAAACATTGGGCTTCTGGGGGGAAACATAGTAGGAAATCTTTGCTACTTGAGTTTGGGTAGATGTGCCAAGTACTGTGATAACATTCCTATGTTATCTTTCTAGACATCTGGAGGTTCTGCTCCTGCTCAGGTGGTCCACACCCAGCAACGAGCAGTTGGTTCCCCAGCCACTGCCACCACTGACCTGGTGTCCATGACAACAACTCAGGGTGTTCGAGCAGTCACTTCCGTGACAGCCTCAGCTGTGGTCACTACCAACCTGACTCCAGTACAGACCCCAACCCGGTCTTTAGTGACCCAAGTGTCCCAAGGTGAGAGGCTTGGTATTTCCCTGAGCCAGTATCTGCTGTTAGTACTTTAGCTTGCAGGTATTGTCCAGGACAGCTAAGGTTGCCAAGATCTAACAAGCCAACCTCTTTACAGCCACAGGAGTTCAACTACCTGGAAAAACCATCACTCCTGCTGCCCATTTCCAGCTTCTTAGGCAGCAGCAGCAACAGCAGCAGCAGCAGCAGCAACAGCAGCAACAGCAGCAGCAGCAGCAGCAGACCTCCCAGGTGCAAGTTCCACAGCTCCAGGGCCAGGCCCAGTCCCCTGCACAGATCAAAGCTGTGGGCAAGCTGGCACCGGTGAGCATATACTTCACCATAACATCACAGGCATTCCTTGCTTGTCTGTAGTTCAGAACCTATTTTACAAAAATGTATCATCTTTAGGTAGAGAGCCTGCTTTCTTGCACTTAACACAACTTTCCATCCAGTAAGTGTGAATCATGCCTCTGAGAAGCATTAGGAGACCTTAGCTTCCTGCCAGCAGGTCCATCTTCTATGCACTGTATTGCCACGGCTCATTTTCCAGAGGACTAAAAAGCCTGTGTGCAGCATTCTTGGACGATAGTGTGAAGATGCTCCTCAGTGCTCTTCTTCAGGAGCAGATAGGTCAACGTATGCTGCTCTTTGTTGCTTGTTTGAAAATTTATGTTCCTAGTTTTGTCCGTCTGTCATTTTGCTGTCTTTTGTGCTAATGTGTTTACTTTAGGAGGAAATGTCCTTGCAACAAACGCAGAGTCACAGGCGTGTAGCATCAAAAGGAGCCAGAAAAGCAGATGGCAATGTGAACAGACTGACTACTAGGTCTGACTTTGTGAGCTGCTGGTCAGAGGCTTGACTGACTAGAGCTGAGCTGACCTGAGGCCACCTCTGTGAGGCTTGGGAAGGACCCAGAGATGGATCAATTGTCCTGTGTTTCTTTTGTGACAGTGTTGGTATTCTCTTGGGACCTCCAGAGTGTGTTTTTGGCCACCTTGTTCCTTTTGAGAAGTGGTGGTAAGGTACCTCAGATGAAAACTACTCAGCTGTGTGTGGCTACTATACACATGTTTTAAATCGTTCAAAATGCCACAAATTATGACATTCAGCTCTTCATTCAGTGGTTATGTTTCAGGGCTCCAAAACCACCCCCCCTAGGCTGTGGCTACTGAATTAGACAGCCCTTTTTCTTCCAGTTGACCAGAGTAATTGTTCTCACTACTCTCAGGCCAGCAGGGGGAAATTGTCTGTTAGTTCTCCAGCATTGAGACTGCTCCAGTCAGCACTTCTCATCCAGTCCAGCTGACAGGAGTCCTGCCCACCTTCTTGTTCCTTTATTCTTCACCCACATTCTCCTAATTCAGTTTCAAAGCCATTGTCAATTCTGATATATCCAGAGAGATCTGATAGTTATGAATAACTCACATATTTGTGAGAGGGGGGAGTCGTGTTTTTTTTTTTTTTTTAATGTTTTCTTGATAACTTTGTTTTTGTTTTTGAGTCAGGTAGTATCATGTAGCTGGCATTGGCCTGGAACACCAGGTCCTTCCATTTACTTCCATTGTGCTAGAACTATACACTTAAGCCACCATGCCCAGTTCATTATCTTGTTACCTTCATAGGGTTTATTACCAAGTTATTACTATTAATGGAATTTAGTAACAAAATATTACTCTTTTTTAATAATTTATTTATTTTTATTTTTTATACATTGGTGTTTTGCCTACATGAATGTCTGTATGAGGGCGTCAGATCCCTTGAAACAGTAGTAAGAGACAGTTGTGAACTGCCATGTGGGTACTGAGAATCCAACCCAGGTCCTCTGGAGAGCAGTTAGTGCTCTTAACTGCTGAGCCACCTCTCCAGTCCCCCAAAATATTACTCTCTATTAAAACTTATCTCTTTTGAGAGATAAGAACTTGGAAAGCCTCCTCTGAACTTAGTGATCTGTCATAGTTGCTGTCCCCCATTTCCTTGGTGAAATGCTGATTTTCATTAAGTGCCCAGTTGGTTGTGAGGATGGTTCACATTCTGCATATCAACTAATGTACATGAATTCTCAGTAGAGATGGAGGGGGGGCATATGGTTAGTTCATGCAAAGAACACCCTTATTTGGATTTCAGGAACATATCATCAAGATGCAGAAACAGAAGATGCAGCTGCCACCACAGCCCCCAACACCGCAAGCCCAGCAAGGTCCCCCACAGCAGCCGGCACAAGTGCAAGTGCAGACCCCACAGCCCCCACAGCAGCAACAGAGTCCTCAGCTCACCACTGTCACAGCCCCACGGCCTGGGGCTTTACTCACGGGCACCACCGTGGCCAACCTCCAGGTGGCCCGGCTTGTAAGTTCCAGTTCATATATTTATTGTTCAAAAGTACCATCTTTGCATTTACCCAAAGTTTGTTTTTTAAATTGTGAGGAGGCAGGGCACATGCCATAGCATGTGTATGAGGTTGGACAACTTTGTAGGGTTGGTTTGTTTTCTTTCATCTTCATGTGTTAGGCTTGTACAACAGGCACCTTTACCTGCTGAGCTGTCTCAACAGACACTGCATTTCAGTCAGGCTTTTGTAGCTTGCTCAGGGGCACATTAGGTCTTGTGGCAGACTTAGATGTGAGGCAGATTTGGTCCTTACAGAGGATAAGACATTAGACTTGTGGCAAGTTGTGCTAGCATTACTTATAGAACCAGTGAAGTGTCACCAGGCCTATTAGGGAATGAATGGTTGGGGGTAGCAGAAAGTTAATAGTAAGGGGTAAGCACAGCACACCGGTTATCCTGTTCTTGGCAGTGGAAGGGTAGGGGCAGTGCCAGTGTGGCTAGAGCACAGAACTAGTGTACCCCAGGTTCCATGACCAGCTCACTAATGCCCACTTGGCAGCAGGGAGAGCCTTTGAAGGTTTGAAGGAAGGAACATAGCAAGATAGTGGTGTCTGAGGAGATGTACAGACTGAAGTCAGTGTGGATCTTCGGTGTCACAGCAGCCAGTGATGGGTACCCCTTGGAGGGCTTGCCCAACCAGTGCTGCCCTCGGAGCTCTGTACCAGTCTTCTTGTGTTTTGTATCATGAGCTACCTTTAACAAGTGTGAAGGAACTGCATGGTACATGGATTAATTATCTGTTCAGATCCTTTACTTGGAAACTATAACTTGAGCTAGGACTGAGGTCCCAGGTACTTGGGCTTTGCTCTGTGTGTAGGTCTTTGTAAGAGCCCCTTGCCCCCCACCAAAGAGGGAGTCTGAGGATGATTTATTTATAAAACTAGCCTGTTGTGCCTGTGTTTACAAAACTGAGTCAGGAGAATGGTGACAGCTAGTAGGTAGGAGTTTAATGAGCTGTTGCAGAGTAGATTCTAGTAATTAGGCCACAAACCTTACATGCTAGTTAATACAGTAGTGCTCTTGTCTCCTACAGAAATAGTGGGGCTGTTACAAAGCTTTTGTCAGTGATAATGAGGAGTTCAAATGACTAAATGTTCACTAAATGGATCTAAAAGGTAGGCTAGCAACTGGATTAGTTACTTTTGTTTTTCATGGAGGCAAGTTGTGGTAGTGTGAAAAAAAGAGACATGTGACCGACTACACTCAGGAAGCAGAGAGACAAATGCAACTTCCTTCCAGACTTTCCAAGAGGATTGTCTCCTGGGCAGTTCTAAATCCAGTCAGATTGACAATGAAGGTTAACCTTTCATCAAGCAACTTTGAAAGTGACTGTTGTAAAGGGAAGAGGCTATAAAATACAGGTGACTCGTTCTACTACTGCATTTTTGCACAGATGGAAAAGATGCCTAGCAGGCTGAATGTCATTTACAGTCCCCTTGTCTGTGGGCACTTTAGGACTTGTTGGTAGCTCTTACTTTCTTAGGTTTATGTGTATGTTTGGATAATCTCTATATATACACAAAACTTTGCCTTTTGTAAAATGTAATTTAGGGAGAAAATGCTTGCTAGCATTGTGGAAAATTTGTAGGATCAGGAAACCTTGGGTGTGTTTTCAGATAGGTGCTTATGGCAGTGATCTTAGAGAAAAGAGTGGTGGGAGCCAGAGGATGGAGAGTAAGTGGCATAGAACCAGGAGCGGAGATGAGTGTTTGGAATCTTATGAACATCAGAACATGGCATCACGGCAGACAAGCCCCAAAAGTCTTGTACAGATTCTGTCCCTATGTGTCTGCAAAAGTGACAAGTAAAAGTCCCTGGATTGGCCTCATGAGTCTAGATTTTCCTTTAATGTCACTGCCCCTTTCCATGTAGTCTATCTGTGTAAATTCTCTTGACCTCTGGTCACAAAAATGTTTTTTGTTTTTTTTTAAAAATAGGAAAGACAAGTACACACAATGTCTGAATTTCTCTGGATTCTCCTGTTTTCACTGTTTAGACCCGGGTCCCTACTTCTCAGCTGCAGGCACAAGGGCAGATGCAAACTCAGACGCCTCAACCTGCTCAGGTGGCTTTGGCAAAACCTCCAGTGGTATCTGTCCCAGCAGCTGTGGTCTCCTCACCAGGGGTCACGACCCTGCCTATGAATGTTGCAGGGATCAGCGTGGCAATTGGACAGCCACAAAAAAACAGCAGGTACCTTCATGCCGCTTCTTCTTGCTGCATGCCTTTCCCAGGTGGCCATGTGATACACAGGGAACCCTTTCTGGTGGAGGTGGTCACTGCCTTGCTCTGTCCTAACTCCTGCTTCACATATCAGTTGTCCTAGTGCTTAATGTAAATTCTCTTAGGTTTCACAGTACTCCGTTTTGGTCCTCAGTTTAACCATTAACATTCTGACATTTCCCATGTTTGTTACTTATGAAATAGAAACAGTATGCCGGTTGTGGTGGTGGTGGTGGTGGTGGTGGTGGTGGTGGCGGCGGTGGAGGCGGCAGCAGCAGCAGCAGCAGCAGCAGCAGCACTGGAGGTGCATGCTTTCAATCCCAGCACTTGGGAGGCAGAGTTAGGCAAATTTATGAGTTCAAGGACAGCCAGGGTTACATAAAGAAACTCTGCTACAAAAAAAAAAAAAAAAAAGAAGAAGAAGAAGAAGCACAATGTCTATTTAGGGCCTGATTAATTTGCCTTAGGACAGGATTTTTTTTTTTTTTTAATTTTCAAGACAGGGTTTCTCTGTATAGCTTTGTAGACCAGGCTGGCCTTGAACTCACAGAGATCCTTCTGCCTCTGCCTCCCAAGGAGGATCTATTCTTTTTTGAACAGAACCTGGATAAGCAGGGAGCCCTTGCCAGGACCTAACTGACTTGGTGTTCTCATAGGGCAGACTGTCGTGGCCCAACCTGTGCATGTTCAGCAGCTGCTGAAGCTCAAGCAGCAGGCAGTACAGCAGCAAAAGGCCATCCAGCCACAAGTTGCCCAGGGCCAGGCTGCTGTCCAGCAGAAGGTATGGGTTTCTTGTGTGAGGTTTCACTTCAGTGCAGCTTTTTGCTGGGGAAGGGGTTCCAGAGTCAATGAGCTGTATTAGGCTATAAGCCTCACAGGGGTGTGGGCTTGAGGGTTGAGGTGCTAGTGTGGTCAGTGTCCCTTGTTTTCCTTTCTTTTTGATATGAATGCTTATGTAACTGATGGTAGGGTGGGTGGTCTCAAGCTGGATGCTAGGTGTGGATTTACCAGACTGGAAGGGACCCAAAAAGATTAGGAAAGCAGGAATGGTTCATCATATGGAGTCCACTGGGACTGTGGTTTCAGGGCAGGGCACACTGCCTTCTCTAGTGGGCAATGCTAGAATCTTGGGATGATCTTGACCATATTGTCCAGAAGGTGCTGTGATGGGGTCAAATGGTGAAGGCTCATGGTGGCTGCTGAGGGTTTGAGTAGGGAACCTGATCTTCACCTGGCTCTAATCCTCTGCTGTCTTTTCTTCAGCTAACCACCCAACAGATCACTGCTCAGGGCCCACAGCAGAAGGTTGCCTATGCTGCCCAACCAGCCCTTAAAACCCAGTTTCTGACCACACCCATCTCTCAAGCCCAGAAACTGGCTGGGACTCAACAGGTGCAGACACAAATCCAGGTAAGCATGCTACTGTATGCAACTCATTGCAGATGGCAGGGTCCGTGGGAAAGTAATGAGAGTTCTTGAGTCCTACAGGCTGAGGAAGAGTACTAGCACCCAGCCAGCCAGTGTGGCTACCACTGCCTGACCTTTTCTGTAAGACTCTTTCTGGATAGTAGGCATGGAGCCTTCCAGAACATAGGGAAGTCTCATGAGTGAGGTCTCAGACTCATGCTGTTGTATACCAACTTAGCATGCATTTGTGTAGTCCCTTAGCAGTTCTGGCCACTGTGTTCACAGATGGGCAGTTGGCATCACCTGGCTCTGGGTCTGTACAGTTCCACTTGGATTCCAGAGAGGTTAACCCTTTAATGTTCCGCTTGCAATTTTGACATTTGAGCTCCCTGTCTGGTGGGTGGGAAAAGAAGAAACTTGGTTACTTGATGTTTTGGATAATTGATGAGAGTCCATTCTTTGACTTTCAAGTTTTTACAATCTAGAACTAAGTTGCTATGGTAACATTTGTGTATGGCTTCTCTTCCCACTTAACAGTATAGTATCTTTAGATGAGCCACTGGAATATCCAGTCTTTTTCTGGCTAAAGTTTTGCTTAAGAAGACTAGCTTGGAAGCTAGAGAGGTGGCTTAGCAGTTAAGCTTTTATAGAGGATCCAAGTTCAGCTCCTAATAACCACATTGGGTGACTCATGATTGCCTGTAACTCCAGCTTCAGGGGACCCAGTGCCTCTATAGTACCTGCACTCAATATGCCCTGATGGAATATACATATGTGAATGCCTATTATTTATTTTCACGGTTGCTTATTAAAAATGTCTATCCTATCCTCCACTTCATTCTATGGGTTCCATCATGCCCTGTCTAGTGCTTATTGCCTGTGCCACTGTGACAGGCATGTTCTTCTGCTCTTAGGACTGTCTTAACTGTTTTTGGCTCTGCACTGTAAAATTGATGATTTTGGAGTCAGTTTGTTAGAACTGCATGGATTCGGTAGTAAAAGACTTGTAGTCTATGATCTTGGCTTTAATTCGCCAGGATAATACATCTTGTGTTATGTGTATCTAAAGGGCCTTATAAATTGTGTTAGATGTATTTATTGTGGTATTGAGGATTAAACCCAGAACCTTATGTAAGTATGCTCTGCTGCTGAGCCACATCCCCAGCCCTTTAAAAAAAAATCAACTGTTTTGCTAAGCTGCTAGACAGTTTGTAACCCAAGTAGATCATGATCTTCTGCTTCCTGCCTTAGCCTCCCAAGCAGCTAGGATTATAGGCAGCTGTGAACTTCCATGTAGGTGCTGGGACTCAAAGCCAGGCCCTCTAGGTAAGCTCTCAGCTGTTGAGCCATCTCTCCAGTCCTCTTCTGCTATTTTGCAGTTTGTGTTTTATTTTCTTTTGTGAAGCACTAATATATTTAGACTTTATTCTTTAGGTAAACATTTTAAATGCTGTTCTGCAATAATTTAAATATTAAATTAAGTCCCAGCACTTGGGAGGCAGTTGAATCTCTGAATTCAAGGCTACTCTGGTTTGCACAGTTCCAGGACAGCCAGAGCTACACACAGAGAGACCCTGTCTCCAAAAACCAAAGAAAAGAAAATACAAGTATGTTTCTATAGATAATGGTAATCTTGTATACAGTGGTAATCTTGTATACAATCTTGTTCTCTTATCCAAAACCAAGCCTCTCTGGTACTTATATTTATATCATTTTCATATTTTCAATGCATAATATTTTTAAGAAAATGTCTCCAATGTATTTTGATCATATTCTTTACCCTATCACAACTCCTGGCAGATCCCTAGACAGAAAGCCAACTTCATGCATATGTTCTGAAAAAAACAAAACAAAAAAAACCCATGGAATCCATTTGGCCAACTATTACTGGGCATGGGGTCTGCCCAGTGTAATCTCAGCAACACCACATTGAAGAACCAGGATTTTTTTCTTTCCCAGCAAATAGCTTCTTGGTTAGGGGTAGGCAGGATTTTGTTAACTTCCCCTGTGTTTACATTCCTGTCTTCTGGCTTTAGCTGTTAATTCTATTCTATTCTATTTTATTTTATTTTATTTTATTTTATTTTTTGGTTGTCCTGGAACTCACTCTGTAGACCAGGCTGGCCTTGAACTCAGAGATCCACCTGCCTCTGCCTCACGAGTGCTGGGATTAAAGGTGTGAGCCACCAACGCCCAGCAAAATTTTTAAAAATAATTGGTGTGTTTCACACACTCTTGAATTCCAGACTCATGATCCTTGCTTCCACAGGTTTTAGGGTCTCCTCTGTGCATGCTTGAGGTTACAGAAATCTGACTATAAAACAGTCAGCTAGTTGGGGAGGGCTTACTATTTCTCAGGCTGGCCTTGAACATGCCGTGTAGTCCACTCTGACCTCAAACTTCACCGCCATACACCACAGCCTTTATGTGGAAGTTTTGTAGCTTTTGTGATTCTGAGAATTCAACCTAGGGCTTCATGAATGCTACAGAGAGTTTCATTACTTGCTTCAGTGTAGCAAGAGATCTCTGCAACAAAATATCTTTAGGAAGTGAACACAGGGTAGAAAGTTTTGCTTTTATAGATGGTGAGCTCACAGTTATGATGGAGGAAACCATTGGGACTTGTTGATATCTGTCTTGGTGAGGCCTCCTGAGCTTGCCTGACCAGAGCCACTAAGTGAGTCCTCTTGTCATTGAGTTACTTCTGAAAGTGAGTCAGTTGCTCTGCTCCTCATCCTCCTAGGATCCTGGCCGGCATACTTGAGGTTGTTTCCTCCATGTTACTTGCCATCATTTGTTTGCTTAAAAACAAGATAAAAGATGTCCATGTATTTTGAATCCTCTCCTTGCCTTGTTTTGTCAAAGGTTGCAAAACTTCCTCAAGTTGTGCAGCAACAAACACCTGTGGCTAGCATCCAGCAGGTCGCATCAGCTTCTCAGCAGGTAGAGTACAAAGAGGACCTGGGGGTAGGGCGCACAATTTGTTTCAGAAGCAGAATACTAGGGGACTAAAGAGTTATTTTTGGTTTTCATAATGTACAAGAAAAACATGAGCTTTCAGGGAAAATGACCAACTGACTAGGGGATTTTCCAGAGAAGGACCAGACTTGTGCCTCAACCTGCTTTCAACAGACATCCTTGGGGAGTGTAGGCAGCATGGGATTCAGATGGAGGCAAGCTGGCTTCTGCTTTTACTTAGGGTGCACTAGTATTTGGTGACATGGCTTTCACTTTAAGCTGCCCGTGGACTTGAAGAAACCAATTAACCTTAAATTGGTCCACATCCTTTGCCGTTTTACTGAGGCCACTGGGTATATGTGATAGTTTTCTGTCAGAGGGACAGGCTTGCTAGGGCTGTTCTCTGATGACCTGGACCTGTGTGTTCTCATCCTGGCTCAGGCTTCTCCACAGACAGTGACACTCACACAGGCAACAGCAGCAGGACAACAGGTGCAGATGATCCCAACCGTAACTGCAACAGCCCAGGTGGTGCAGCAGAAGCTCATTCAGCAGCAGGTCGTAACTACAGCCTCTGCCTCACTGCAGACCCCTGGTGGTCCAAGCCCAGCACAGCTTCCAGCCAGCTCCGACAGCCCAAGCCAGCAGCCCAAGTTGCAGATGCGAGTCCCTGCTGTGAGGTTGAAGACACCCACCAAGCCTCCATGCCAATAGGAAGGAAACTGGTTGGTACTGTGGCAAGACTGTTTTATCAGAATGTTATACTGTTTCTGGACTTTGGGATCTGCTGCCTCGGTTGGCCCAAGTTGTTTGACTTTCTCCTATGTGTATGGGCTAGCTGACAGTTGCAGTCTTTAGTGGTTTCACTGTTTGGTGAGTGCCCGCCATCAGTCTTTTTAAAAGCCCTTTAGAGTTTAATAGTGCACACTACTTAGTACGTGGTAGGGGCAGCATGTCCTACATCAGGCTCTAGCTCAGATATGGTCTTTGGTGCCATTGTTCAGGGAGACACAACATAGGCTTTCAGCAAGAGAGATGACAGCAGACCACCAGAGCCTCTCCTTTGGTCCGGTAGGGCACGAAGTCCTGGATTGCATCATCAGCACCCATCTTGCCCCAGTGAGCAATTGCTTTCCTTTGACTGAGGCTCTGGGACTGACACCATCTCTGTATAGCCCTTTTACAGTATTCTTGTGGCAAGCTAGTGTGGCTCTCAGGTACTGAACACATGTATATATGTGGCAGGTGAGGCAGCCTGGGGTAGTTGGTGCCAAGGTTAGCTGTTCCCTTACTGTTGTTCTCTAGTCTGGAGAACTTAATTCTCCTTAGGAAAGCATCTGTTGTGCCATCCCCCAGCAGCTCTTTATGGGTTTTAGATGTCTTGACTAAGCAACAACTAGTATGCCTGGTTGTACCTATCATGGCTGTTGCAGTGACAGGCCTGCAGTTTAAGGAGAAAGGGTTAGAATGGAATTCAGGCCTATGTTCACTCTTCTTACCACTGTAAGGTGACTTGTGTGGCATATGGGCATAACAGGCTGATTGTGCCTTCTTACCTGCCAGAGTTTAAGGTTCATGTTCCACATCAGTGCCTGTTTTATGGCCTGAAGTTACAGCAGCCTTGAAGACAGAGTTGTTTATTGTTTGAGTATTCTTCCCTGTCATGTCCATCCCGCCTTTTGTGTGCTGTGTGAGCAGGAATATGACAATACATCCTGAAGCCCACCTAGAACTCACTTTTGAGGTCTTAATGTGAAAGTAGCAATTAGGTGTTGAAAAACCTGAAGAGGTTTAATATTTCCTGAACTATAAACCTGTCCTATATGTGATCTACAAGCAACAATCCCATCATTTTGGCTTGGTGTGTGCTGTTGAGGGAAGAACCTTTGGAGTTCCCTGGCTTCCAGCAGCAATTCCTGTTCCCCATAGTCTTCAGACAGAACTGAGTTCAATGGAGTCCTCTCTCAACATCACACTCACCCTTCTCCATCCTTCCCACTGTTGTGACAGCACACCTTAGTGTGCCCAAGCCAAGTGGTTGATGGGAGTCTTCATTTTTGGCAGTTACTTTCATTCATTTTTCAACCAGATAGCTTGTTTGTTTTGTTTTTTTTTTAATGTAAGAAACAGGACTGAAATTGTAAATACTTTGTAAACACAAGCATTTGTACTTGAATAGGATTTTAAAAGGACACTGATGTCCTACCAAGCAAAGGCTAATAAAAGTGACCTTTCTACACCCTTTCGTTCTGTCCTTTATAGACCAGTGTTTGAGCTAAGGATGTTTTTCCATTTGCAAGGTGAAAAAACAAAAGTAGCAATGTTTGCACTAAAGGCTTTCTGTGCATACATCGCTCCAAAGCTGTAGGAGCAGGGCTTGCATGCCCAAGGTCTTCCTCTTTTGCTCCTTGGCCTTGAACCCACTTTGTAAAACTATACCTAGGTTGCTGTGTGGCTTCCTACCGTTGGTTCCGTTTCTACTCAGGCCCCTTTTTCTAGTCCCAGTAGCTGCCGCTGCCTCCTTTTGGCCTTTTTTTTTTTTTTTTTTTTTTTTTTTTTTGGTTTTTCGAGACAGGGTTTCTCTGTGGCTTTGGAGGCTGTCCTGGAACTCACTTGGTAGTCCAGGCTTGTCTCGAACTCACAGAGATCCGCCTGCCTCTGCCTCCTGATTAAAGGCGTGTGCCACTAACACCCAGCTCCTTTCGGCCTTCTAAGTGACTAGGTGACCTTGCCTTTACTCCAGTATACAGCCATATAAAAACCCTCTCTGAGGCACCTTCCATTATAACACCAGAAAAACCATGTTGGATTTCTATTTAGAGCTGTCATGCAAAAATCAGCCCTCAAAACCCCTTCCTCTCTTAAAGGTTCACCTTATGCAGACAGATCCCCAGGTGGCCTGCTGCCTAGTTGGTCTCATGATCTCCACCTCTTCTGCCATGTCCACCACCTTCACCAGATAAGCCTTTAATGACTCAGGACAGTAGATGTGATCATTTCTGACACTGCCCATAAAAAATGGCTGGCCCTCAAGGTGTGGCACACACCCTGAATCCCCAACAGAGAAGCAAAGGTAGATCAAACTAGCCAGTTGGTTTCACAGAGGGAGAATGGAAAAAAAGGACCCATTTTCCACTCACCTGCCTGCCTATCAGTCACCCCACCCATTGCACATCTGTAAGGCTATGTAGTGTCTGACCCCAAACCCATTCAGCCTGCCTATTAAGTCATCCCACCCACCATGTTACTCAGCATTATATGGAGTTCGACCTAGAATTCCAGGTAGACACACCCAGGCCAGTCTACCACACCATACACCAAGACACCATGGAAATGACCAGTGTACTGATCCCAGGTGAGGACCCGCAGTTTGGCATCCTGCATCCCACCTTCAGAGCACTTCCACTGTGACTCAAGCCCCTGCTACCCAAGGACCACCTACAGAACACAGTGAGGCTCCGGCAAACTTCTGAAAATGGGCATTAACAATCTAAGCCTGAAAAGTTTATTCTTAGACTCAGAGGTATACTTACCTCTCACTCGCAATTCCTGATACCTAGATACAAACATTATATATCTAACAGACATTCTACCCAAACACTATAAAGAATAATTCACTTCTCAGCAGCCTATGGAACTTTCTCTAAAGAACCATATATTAGTATACAAAGCAAGTCTCAGCCCTACATTCCATTTGGCTACAGAGGAACAACAAAAAGCACAAAAACTCATGGAAGCTAACACACTACTAGATGAAAATCCAGTCAAGGGAAGAATCAAGAGGCAATTAGGCTGGGCGGTGGTGGCGCACGCCTTTAATCCCAGCACTCAGGAGGCAGAGGCAGGTGGAGTTCGAGACCAAGCCTGGTCTACGGAGTGAGTTCCAGGACAGGCTCCAAAACAATACAGAAAAACCCTGTCTTGAAAAAAACCAAAAAAAAAAAAAAAGAAAGAGGGCAATTAAATTCCTAGGATTAATGAAAATACTTGGTACTCAGGAAGCAGAGGCAGGCCGAGCTCTGAGTTCAAGGCCAGCCAGGGCTACACAGAAAAATCCTGTCTCGTCTCAAACAAAAGAATGGAAACAATATACATTTACACAATGGAATTTTCAGCTATATGAAATAAAAAAAAAATTGCAAGTAAATGAATGCAACTGGAATCAAACATCTTGAGTAAGATAACTCAGACCAGAAAGACAAACACTACTTACTCTGAATGTTAGCCTTGAATTTTTAGATGTTTCATCTGGAATACTCATAAAAGTTCACACTAAGGGGGCAGGGAAGCAGTTAGGTTCTTTCAGGGTAGGGGAAGCAGAATACAATTGCATAAAAGGAAGGAAGGGGATAATGGAACCGGAGGGATTAAATGAAATCAGGAGATGAGAACAGGGTAGAGAAGAGAATATTTGGGGTGGGATAACTGTGGTTCGTATGTATTAGTGATTAGCTTTAAGTCAGGGTTGTATTAGGAAAGAAAAAGCATTTCCCAGAAGTGGGAGGTCAATGCAATATGAAATATTTATTTACATACAAGCTAGGGTACAGCAAGCATGGCAGGCTTCCAGAGGAAAAAAGAGCTTCCTTTTCTCTTTCACTTTCTTTTATCCTCATCTATGCTAAATTTCCCTATCTCCGCCCTTATGGGTGTTAAGAGTTTTGTGAGCTAACCCCTACCTACATTTCCCAATTTAGCCAGGAGCCAGTTCAGATTTGAATTCTCTTTGTGATCCCTGTCTTCTCTTCCATGAATATGAATCTGTGCCACCACACCTGTGTCTGTCCCTCACTAAGGCTTCACCCTGTCTTTATTGAACAGCACAGAAAGCATCACAGGGCAGAGGAAGGGGCTACTTTACAGAGTTCTACAAGGGATTAAGTCACTGGGTCCAATAGATGCCAACTGACCCAGATAAGAGACAATTATTTCTCAGCCAACCATAAATGGATGTTCCCAGTCTCTGGTAGATTTTAGGAAGTTGCTTTCAACTCTTTATTTGCTGCTTAAAAAAAAAAAAGATAGACGTGCACTATCTGGGTTAGGACACGGAAGAGTGCCTAACTTAAAATTACAGCTGAGGTTGACTGCTACACTATTCTATTAAAGGCAGGTTAAACAACTTGACCCACAGTAAGAGAGCACTCATAAGGGACTTTTAACTTTGCCACCGATTAACTAATACTTTCAAAAAACCTATACTGGAAAGATACACTCTAATATATACATACTAGTTTAAATGAAGTTACTGTATGTTGGGGTTCAGGGTGCACAATATCCCAATCATATAACACCTGTTAGCAAATAAACCCTGAACCAGGAATGGGTTACCCTTTTCAGTTGTTGGCCAATTGGGTCTGACTGACCCCCAAACATTGCAGACTTTGCCAATGTTCTGTTTCCCTTCAGAACAAAATTTAGATACTCAACCTGGATACTTCTTCCCTACTGGCTAGTTTGCTGGAGTAGAAAATAATCCCCCCTCCCCTGCTGTGAATCCTGTGAAGTACAGTATATACCCTGACAAGATACGTCCACTGGTAGTGGACATGTGTTAAGAGACAGGGTTTCTCTTTGTAGCCCTGGTTGTCCTGGAACTCACTCTGTAGACCAGGCTGGCCTCAAACTCAGATCTACCTGTATGTGCCTCCCAAGTACTGGGATTAAAGGTGTGTTGCACCAGGCCAAGCACCAACTGCTTTCTTTAAAAAAATAAAAAAAAATAAAAAATAATAATAATAAAAAAATATATATACACACATATATATATATTCTTTCTTCCAATATGTCTGTGTACCATGTATGTGCCTGGTGTCCTTGGAGGGCATTAGAGCCTCTGTAACTGCAATTGCAGGCAGTTGTAAGCTGTCATGTGGGTACTACGAACCAAACCCAGGTCCTCAGCAACACAGAAAGATGCTCTTAACTGCTAATTCTTCTTTAGCCCTTCAACCACTTTCTGATTAGGTCTAAGGCCTGCTCTGAGATGTAACCCATACTAGGTACTGACAATGGTGCCAAGAACCTGTAGCTAGATAGACCATAGGCTCGAGAACCAAATACTGTCGTTCTGTTAAATGGGCATAGTCTTAAAATGACTTTTGATAACACTGCTGTATGCATAGATAAGCATCCTTTCGGCTCGAATCACAAAGGCTGCTTGCAGTAGATGGCAGCTGCTCAACTGGCACAAAGTAAGAGACTGTGTCTGGTGTATTCAGCCCTAAAAGGACCATCTCATACCTTTCTCTCCAAGACCCAGGGATCTTCAAGGAAGAGAGCACAGAAAAAATATAAGAGTCAGAAGTGGTACATAACTTTAAGGAAAACTGCCTTCCACATACAATAAGCGTATGAACTCATAGCAGTTGTGACAGCATGCATAAGACCTGGGTAAGTTCAGTCAGACAAAATCCCACTACTGGCTGAGGAGGAGCTACTGGCATTTCGCTGCTGGGAGTCAGTTTTCTTTGGTCCTGTGAACCCCTTGTAGGCAATACACTCAACAGTAAACAATACAAATCAACTCAATAGGTTTAAAAACATAACAAGAAACCTTAGAGTTAGGTGTGGGGGAGGTGAAAGACTGGAAGAGACACATCTAGGAGAAAATGCAAGAGGGGAGTGAATATGATCAGATTTCATTGTATGAAATGTTCAAAGCATTAGTAATATTAACAAAATGTTATACTAAAGGAAGTAACCCTCAGACTAGGTTCTTGCTAGCAGATTCTGCAGGGTTAGTCAGAAAGATTAATCTCATCAGCAGAATCTTTCAGTTTTGGTCTGTGAAAATCCAAACTCTAGTAACTCACTTTAGGACCAGCTTCATCAGTCGTGGTGGTGCAGTCTTTAATACCAGCACTCAAGAGGCAGAGGAAGAAGCAGTCAATCTCTTGAGTTCTAGACTGTCTCTACAGTTCTAGGACTGTCAAGTTACATAGAAGAAACCCTGTCTTTTATTTAGTTTAAAAATAAAAATATGGGGCCGGGCATTGGTGGCACACGCCTTTAATCCCAGCACTCAGGAGGCAGAGGCAGGCGGATCTCTGTGAGTTCGAGACCAGCCTGGACTACCAAGCGAGTTCCAGGACAGCTTCCAAAGCTACAGAGAAACCCTGTCTCGAAAAACCTAAAATAAATAAATAAATAAATAAAATAAAATAAAAAGATGGGGAGAAGGGGAAGTTTGTGGTCAGAATATAAAACAGATGAATAAAGTTAGGTGAATACCCGCCCAGCTGTTGATCACTCCTAGCCTGGGCTGCTTTCTAGGGCTGGCCTAGGTGTCAGAGTTAGAGGGGTAGCTAAGTGTTCCAGTGTTGAATTTGCATGGGTTCAGGTGATCTGTTTATTTTTTCACAACATAAATGAAAACAGTTTATCTTAATAGTTTTTTTTCCCTCAAAAAGAGGTTTTTTGTTTTGTTTTTCAAGACAGGGTTTCTTTGTATTGTTTTGGAGGCTTCCTGAAACTCGTTCTATAGACCAGATCTCGATCACAGAGATCTGCCTGCCTCTGTCTCCTGAGTGCTGGGACTAAAGGTGTGTGCCACCAACACCGGCTAAAAAGAGGACTTCTTATAAGCATAGATAAGTGCTAAATCTCCTTGACTATGTTCAGGCAAGGACTCTCCCACCATTTAAGTTTATACTAGAGTAGTGGCTAATTATAAAGTATTATCTTGGAGACTAGTAGCCATGGAAACATTTCCAAGGCTGCCACCAGTCTATCCCTGGACTATAATATTAGACTTGTCTGGGACAGGCTCACCATAGTCTCTCTGTAGACATGAGATGCTAATATTAGAGCACTTTATTTAACCTGCAGTCACTGTAAAGCTGACCATAGTTTTTCCTCACACTCCTGCAGGCACCCTTCAGCTTTACCTGAGCTTATTTCCATAGACCAACTGGAACCCAGCAGTACAAACCAAAGGGTCATTACTTTTCAGAACTAAGTCACCACCTTGGGTGCCTGGCCCAAGATGACCATGGTGCTTGAGGGGAAGGGTTCCCATTGGAACCCCAAGGAACTGTGTCTTCTGTTTATATACAACATTCTTTTCAGCTGGGTGCTTCCTCCAGGCCCTTGTTCCCATCTAGGCCATCTTCAGCTTTTGCTCTTCCTGTGGAGAAAACAGAGCTTTGCATTGCTGCATCCTTACCTGCTGTCTGCAGGTCCCTTGCCCTACCACTGGGAGACAATGGGTGCCATGCTCAGGAGGCCTCTCCCAGGGCATGAGGCTGCTTCCAGCTTGCCTCCCTTTCCTAGAGTATGTGATGATGCTACCAGAGCAGAGGCTGGACTTCAAGAAGTCCCACCTGGGCCCAAAAGCCCCTCACCTTGACAGTCTTCTCCAGCTGAGACAAGGCTATCTCATAACGGGCAACCAGCGGCTGCAGGAGCTCCCTGGGGATCTCATGGCATGCCAGCTCAGGCACCCCAGCTTCTGATACCATCTTGAGGAACTTCCTTTCCTAGAGGGAAGGGGTTTCATGGGAGAGGGTTGAGACCAGGTGCATCTGTAGCAACATGGATCGATCCATGACATCTGCTGGGAACCACATGGTCTTACCTGCACTTTCAACAGAAGTGTGAAGGCTTGTCCTGTTTTTCCAGCTCGGGCTGTTCTCCCGACCCTGAAACCAAGCATGAGTGTTTTCTAACAGTGGCCCTGGCCCTGGAGACACTCTTGGCCACACTGCACACAAGCCATTATGCAAGGTGATCACAAGTATAATGACCAGGAGCTTATAAGCCCCACAAATGGCCACTGCTGACTGGCCCTTACCTATGCACATAGGTCCTCAGGTACTGGGGGGCATCGTAGTTGATTACCAGCTCCACACCCTGCACATCAATGCCTCGAGCAGTAGCATCTGTGCTGATGAGGCTGAGGAGACACAGGTACAGGGGCTCAGAGAGCCAGAGACTGACATCCACACCTGAGCCCAACCTGCCAGGGGCCCAATAACACCGCAACTCTACATAGCTAGGTCTTACTCACAGTTGGATCTTTCCCTGTTCAAACTGCTTCAAGATTTTCTTCCTTTGGCCAGGGCCATATCGAGAGGAGAATTCAGCCACACTCACACCCCCAAAAGCTTGTGCTAACAGGAAGAGCCTGGTAGGGAAAAAAATAGAAGCCAGGTGGTGCCAGGGTCTAGTCTGTATTAGATACACCTACCTTGATCCAGCTTACCTGTGGGAATGCTCCCGAGAGTTGGTGAAGCAAAGGGCCCTTGAGAAGTTCATCCCAAGGATCAGGTGTAAGACAATGAGTGGCTTCGAGCTGAGTCTACAGGGCACATAGTGGTGCTGTGGGGAATGGACAGCAGGGGCTAGCCAGAAGCCCTGGGCCTGGCCACCAGCCTACCCCACAGGCCCTATTTGCTCACCGTGAGCCCCACAGGGAAGGTGTACTTCCCCAAGTTTTCGTCCACCTCCACTGTGTCTTTAGGGCCTTTGTGCCCCGGCCTTGTGGAGAAAAGCCTGGGCTGATAGAGGCCAAGTCGCTGCAGCTTCTCAGGGTTCTGGGTCAGTGTGGCTGAGAACAGCAGCTTCTGTAGAGGCACCTGGGGAAGGCAGGTGCTGGAAAAGGAAGGGCACGGGAACAGGGTGAAGGACATATTAGCCGGACAGGTTTCCTCAAGCCACCCTGACTCCTGCCTTAGGGCCAGCGAGGGGAGCTGAGAAAGGGAACAGCAGGATACCTGGCAGTAGTCACAGCCTGGGGCTGTGTCCTCTGGAGCAGGGCACAGGAACCTGAGGGGCCTTCGCTGTGGAAGGCTGCTGCCACCACTCGGGGCAGCCAGGACTGGTGCATGCTGTCTATCATCCGGTCAGCCTCATCAATTATCTAACAGGAGACAGGAAGCAAGGGTCAACTGAAGACTCCCTGCTGAGATCACCCCAGCTCAGAAGTCCAGGTGTCCAGAAAGTAGCCTACCAGGAAGCGAAGCTGCTGGAGGCTGAATCCTGGGGTCTGGTCAATGTGGTCCACCAGGCGGCCAGGTGTGGCCACCAAAATGTCAGCCAGGCAATGGTAACCATCTACTCTACAAACCAGAAAGACTCAAAGAAAGGAAATGTCTCCCAGGGCCATTTAACAGTGAACCCTCATACACAAAGCACTGCTGCCACCACCCCAGCCAAAGGACACCGCTGGGCTGGGGAAGGACCTCCTGAAGAACCCACCACCTGGCACACCTACGTCTTCTGGACAAGGCTCTCCTGCTCCTTGGCCAGTGACTTCTGCCCAGTCACCAAAGCAACCCTCAGAGGTGTGGCATCCGTGTAGATGTTGAATACTTTGCTCACCTGGAAAAGGAGTCTGTCACTGGCCTAAGATAGACGGTGGCCCCTGATACTACAACAAAGACTCTTAATTTAATTTAATACAAGTGGTCAAGGGATAAGTACCATGTACATCCAGCAGGGCAACTAAAGCTGGAGATAGAGACTTCTAGATGCAGACTTGGCATGCATACCTGTTGGGCCAGCTCCTTAGTAGGGAGCACAACCAGTGCACGGATGTGGCAGACCACTCGATGCAACAGGGCCTGCAAGAACAGACAGCATCTGTGCCATCAGGACTCTCCCAGTTGTAGCAGCTCTAGCTAGAAATTTCTACTCTTATACTCACCTGTACCACGGGTATGACGAAGGCCAGTGTTTTCCCGCTGCCCGTTGGGGCAGAAACACAGAGGTCGCTGGGTTGGTAGCCACCTCTGCCTACCAGAAACCCACTGTCTGCACTCTCCAGGAGGGCAGGAATCACAGCTGCCTGGACTGCAACAAAGGAAGGAATGGCACAGGTCAACTATATGCCAGAATATACTACTTCACCCAGGACACCTCCTGGTCACAGATGGCACCAGGACCTAAGAATCACCAGGAGCCTGAGCCCAAGGACACAGGAGCTCACGGGTCTGGGGTGCAATAGGGGCCCCTAAACCACAGCCCTTACACTGGAGCACTCACTGACAGCCCAGGGAAGGCTGCCTCGAGGAGTTCACCCCAGCATCCGCCCAGAGCTGAAGCACCTGGAAAGTAGGAAGAGATGCCATTAGCCCTCAGCTGCTTCTGCAAGTCAGGGTGAACCCCAGGGATGTCCTCAATCGGAGTAAGATCCTCAGTGACACTCTTCTTGACACAGTTTGGCTCTGCCAGCCATGTCGGCAGGAAAGGCTGGATCTGAAAAAGGAAAACCACAAGAGTTTTGCAGAGCCCTCCAGGCTCGTAGAGCAACACCAGTCATTAGGAACCAGGAGCTATAGAAAAGACCCTAACAGCTTCTGTAGAGGCACCTGGGGAGAGCAGGTGCTGGAAAAGGAAGGGCTCGGGAGCAGGGTGAAGGACATGTTAGCAGGACAGGTTTCCTCAAGCCGCTGCTGTTTAGGGCCAGCAAGGGGATCTAACAAAGGGAGTAGCACGCATATAGAACATCAACCTTTCATCACCACCTACCCTTGCAGCCTTCAGACAAGACGCCCAGAAAAGCAATTGCCCCTGCACCTAGAAATGCTGTGGGGGGCTGCCAAGTACACCGTGGGACTTATCCCAGTAGCTTTTGCACAACTCTGGATTTCAGTTTCAAGAGCGACCACACAACCCAAAGGAACTCCATAAGCCTCCCTTTATTCTGCAGTTAGTAGGGCCACGTAATGGCAGAACACAAGCAAAACCCACAAACAAGCAAAAATCTCCCGAAAAGACTGAAGGGTAGCAGGCAGACTGTCACATACCCAACGGAACTCCATAAACCTCCCGCTATCCCGCAGTCTGGGCCACATAATGGCAAAACAACAACAAAAAACCCACCAACAAAAATCTCCCCGATGAGACTGAAGAGTAGCAGGCAGAAGGCCAGACTCACTCACCTTCGGTGTCTTCCTCCTTGCAAAGTTCCCCAGCACCGGGCCTGGAGCCGGGGATCTCGGGGCCTCCTCTGGGGGCCTCTCACCTGAGTCCTCTGAGGCGGTGTTAAGCTCCCCAAGCGCCTCCTCGCCGCTCTCTGAGCCTGAGCGACACAACACAGCATAGCGAACATCAACCCCGGAACGCACCCAGGGAGCAGCCTCCACGCCTCGTCCACATCTCGGACGCACGGCCCACCTGAATCCGCGTTGACGTCTGCTTTCTGCCGCTTGGCCCTAGGAGCCTCCGGGCACTGAGACACCGAGCCGCCTACTCCACGCCGCCGCCGGGGCCGTCGACGCCGCCTGCCGGTCGCTTCCGCGGTCGCCTCGGCGGACTCAGGCTTCGGCTCCCGCTGCTGCCGCTCACGGGCTCGGCTCTGCAGGCGCTCGAGGAGCACTCGTGCCCGGCTGCCAGCCTCGGCCTCTGTATCCCCGAGCCCGGACGCCTCGGGGTCCGGATAGCGTGCTACATGGAAGAGCGCCATAGTCGCCACGCGCAGTTGCTCCACCTCGGCGCTTCTTGATGACGGAACCAGTGCGACCTAGCATGTGCTGGTGACGTCACAAGCGCGACTAAGCTAGGTTCAGACATCCTTTGGTTGGAGCAGCTAGCGGCATCATGGATCCTCTGCCGGCTTCGGCGGGCTCCCGCGGGGAGCTGGGCCGCCTACTCCAGGCGGTGCTAACGAGCCGCGGCCAGGCCAACGCGGTGTTTGACATCCTGGCGGTGCTTCAGGTGAGTCGCGCGGGCGGCGGCGGCGGCAAGTGGGAGTCACATCTGGGCCCAGCATCACCCTGTCTGGCCTCCCCCCTCAGTCCGAGGACCCTGAGGATATCCAGGAAGGAGTGCGCACGTGCAGCCGACTCTTCGGTACCTTGCTGGAGCGGGAAGAGCTGTTCGTGGGATCGCTGCCGCGGGAGGACACGGTCCTGGCAGGTGAGTGACCTGGAGGCCTTGGGGTGCTCTGCGCCAGGCCGCCCCAGTGGGACGCCGTATCATATCAACACCACCAGGAGGAACATGCCAAAACCAGGACCGTGTCATAGACTCTGCGCTGTAGAAGCACTCAGTCAATCCACTCTAGCTCAGGAAGTGAGATCCGTGGACCGGCCAGGTCTACATGAACTCGTATACTTAGCAGTTTTGGTTTTCCTCTCGCGTTTTAATTGTGCCACTTGCAAAGTTTGGTGCTATCACTGCCCTGGTGTTTGGGAGATCTAGATTCTGAGGAGAAGTGAGAGGAACTGTTTCAGTCGTCTCTCCTCCCACTTTGCAGAGCTCACAAATCGTCTTTTCCAAATCCTGGTCCGGGTTCAGGTTTACAGCTGTGAAAATGGGAGACACACCGGGAAGGCGGGGCTGGCTTTAGGACCTTGGGCTGGCTTGGCACAGGTCAACATCAGTGTGAGCTGGCTCTCCTCTGTCTTCAGGGTCCCAGGAAGCCACACAAAAATACAAGGTGTGGATGAGACACCGCTACCACAGCTGCTGTAACCGCCTGGAGGAGCTACTGAGCCATCCCTCCTTCCAGGTCAAGGTGAGTCTTGATGTCATTGGCCCAGCTAACCCCCCTCACCTCTAAAATACTTCACAAAGCAGAGGTAGGGGCCGGAGATGGGAACATCTCTTTCCCGAGCTGGGAGAAGCTTTTCTACCTACATGTCTTCGCCACTGCTCTTTGTCTTCCCACAGCTGCTTCACTGTGGGGTGTGTATGACTCACCTGGTCCTGAAGACATGCAGTCTGTCACCCTAGTTCTGAGCACCATATCTGCTCTGTGTACTGAGTGTGTTGTGGTGTCTTCAAAACTGCGTCCCAAGAGAGCAATTAGGTGGCTTCCCCTGCAAGCCAAATTCTATGAAGAGTTCTTTCCCAGGATAACCAGAGCGTGTCACTGTCACCACAGGTGTATATATAACATGCAGCAAAAGAAACTGGCTCCTAGCCGGGCCGGGCGTTGGTGGCACACGCCTTTAATCCCAGCACTCGGGAGGCAGAGGCAGGCGGATCTCTGTGAGATCCGAGGCCGGGCTGGACCGACAGCCTCCAAAACAATACAGAGAAACCCTGTCCCGTAAAACAAAAAAAAGAAACTGGGTCCTCCTTTCTCTCCTGCTTCTTGGTCCAGGCATAATCCTGGTTGTGAGAGAGCCTGAGTCTAGGTGAGCTATGGGAGACCGTCTGGAGGGTGGGGACATCATGGTCACTCTTCTCTGCTTCCCAGGAGCTGGCCCTCAAGACACTCATGAAGTTTGTGCAGCTGGAAGGAGGGAAACCCCTTGAGAAGCCCCAGTGGGAAAGTCACTACCTCTTCCCCCGTACACTCTTCAGGGTGAGGCCTTGGTGGGACCTGGAAGACTGTGGTGACCATAGCCGAAGACGGTTCCATGAGTTAGCTGCCTGAACAGATAGGGGCATGGGGGATATTATGTTCCTGTTCTGCCTTGACCTGGGAGCTGAGCAAGGCTTACTGCTCATGGGTCTCTGTCTTATGAGTTGGAGAGGAAATAGACAGCCTGGTGTGGAGCTTGGGGGGTGGTGATACCCTTTTTGGCAACGATAGGACCACTGTGTGGGAGAAAGTCATTCATTCACCTTCTCTCTATCCCCAGTCAGTGGTAGGCGGCCTGCTCATACCCGAGGATGACCAGAGCCTGCTTATCTCCCAATTCTGTGAGTACTTGGAATATGATGACATCCGGTACCACACAATGCAGGTGGCCACAAGCACTGTGGCCAGAGCCACCAGCCAGCAACCTGAGGTAAACGGTTGGGTCCCATCACCATCCTGTGTCGTAGTACCTCAGAGAGGCAAATGGACAGTCGCTCAGGTTAGACTTCCTACAGGTGTCACTCACCTTCTGGAACAATGCCTTCATGTTGCTATCTGCCGTGAGCCTGCCCCTCCAGGAGCGTGACCTCACCAACTTCTATGTGCAGCATGCAGGTGAGTTCTGGGCAGGTTAAGACCCACCAGAGCCCACTCCCTGGTAGGAGGGTTCCTCAACACAGTCCAGATCTGTCAGCCCGGCTAGCCACTGGTTTCCCCTCTTGCAAATCAGTGACCCCTTTTTGCTGCTATTACAGAGACGTCAGACAAGTGGAAGGTCATTCACTTGAAGGTGAGATGCTTTCAGTGACTTGAAGACCTTCCTTGGCATGGCCTTCTCCTCTCCGGGTAGACATAGGTGATAGGGTGTACTCCACTGTCTCAAGCAATGCCACTCTTATGTGTCCCTATAACCAGCTTCAGACCCAAGTCCCTCTGTTCCATGTCCCTCCTTGTCTGAGACATGGCATCACAGACTAGCATGGGGCTGTCAGGGTCAAAGGCCCACAGTTGACTGCAGAAGGGCCGGGTGGGTGGGTGTTGGCAAGGAGGGGCTGGGGTGTGTCGGGATACATGGACTGTGTGGTCCCATTGCAGGAGCACAGAAAAGCGTTCCAGGAGATGTGGCTTGGTTTCCTCAAGCATAAGGTAGGCTTTGGTGTGTGGGTGGAAACGCCGCTCTTGGTATGAGGAGTGGGGGTGAGGGGAGTAGCTCCATGACTGCCATGATCTCTGCAGCTGCCCCTCAGCCTCTACAAGAAGGTACTGGTGACTATGCATGACTCCATCCTGCCTCACCTGGCTCAGCCCACCCTCATGATTGACTTCCTCACAAGTGCCTGTGATGTGGGTGAGTGGGACTTCCACCTAGGCTATATTTGGCAGGGACACTCACTGTGCATGGGTCCAGCTGCCATCTCCTGCCTGACAGACCTGAGCTAAACTCCATAACCTTCCTGGATGTGGCCTTTTGTAGTCACCCTATAGGCTTGCCACCTGCAGCTATGCCTGTCTGTCCCTTACCTGCTCAGGCCCACGGTGAACAAGGCACAGTCTCATGTGTTTGTGTTTCTGCAGGTGGTGCCATCAGCCTCCTGGCCTTGAATGGGCTTTTCAGCCTGGTCCACAAACATAACCTGTGAGTGTCCGACAGGCCCACACTGGTCTGCTCCCTAGTTTCTCTCAAGAGCCTGAGTTACTCACCTGGAGGAGGTTAATACAGAGGAGGTGCAGGAGGAGCAGCCTTGGTTGCCTGGGGTTCTGTCCCTTTAACCCTGTCACCTCCTGTATTTGTCTGGTCCTTTCCCTTCCCAGGGAATATCCTGATTTCTACCAGAAGCTCTATGGCCTCCTGGATCCATCCATCTTTCATGTCAAGTACCGAGCCCGTTTCTTTCACTTGGCCGACCTCTTCCTTTCCTCTTCGTGAGTGTTGGGGAGATCCAGCTCCTTGGTCTGGGGGCTACAGTTCTGGTTAGCGAGGAGGTGGAAGGATGTTTGGGGACCTATTTTCTTATACCTGTTGCCTTCCCAGCCACCTCCCTGCATACCTGGTGGCTGCCTTTGCAAAACGCCTGGCCCGGCTGGCCCTAACAGCACCTCCTGAGGCTCTGCTCATGGTCCTGCCCTTCATTTGCAACCTGTTGCGTAGACACCCTGCCTGCCGAGTTATGGTGCACCGTCCACAGGGCCCTGGTGAGCATGAGTATCTGGGCATTGGGGCACACCCTGGCAAGAAGCCTACCTGGCTCCTGTGGCCCAAAAGGCCATGTGGCAAATGGAGTCCTAACCCTGTTTGTAGAGCTCAGTGCTGACCCATATGACCCACTGGAGAAGGACCCTGCCAGGAGCCAGGCATTGGAAAGCTGCTTGTGGGAGCTGCAGGTGAGTCACCAGCCTGTCCAGATTCTAGAAGGCATCAGAGTCTCCACTGACACATCTCCAGTAGCCCCCAGGGATCTGGGTCACATGGGGTGCCATGCCATGCCACAGTGTTACTGGCAACCCCACACCGGCTCAGGGCTTCAGGCTCCATCCTAAGGTCCTGCTGGTGTGTCATGAAGTTTCTGTTGACATCATTGTTGCTACCCCTAGACTCTCCAGCAGCACTACCATCCTGAGGTGTCCAGAGCTGCCAGTGTCATCAACCAGGTGCTGTCTGACCCCGAGGTTAGCATTGCATCGCTTCTGGAACTTACTGCATATGAGGTAAGGGCCGCGCATGGGGCTTTCGGGGTGCAGGTCACAGGACCTACTGCATCCAGCCCAAGGCCACTGTCTGTCCTTTGCAGATCTTTGAGCGGGACCTGAAGAAGAAAACAGCTGGGTCAGTGCCTCTGGAGTTCATCCCAGCCAAAGGCCTGCTGGGCAGACAGGATGACCTCTGTGCCCAGTTCTTCACTCTCAGCTGACCTGGCTGTTGCCTAATCTAAGGATTTTCTTTTTGTGTCTGAGACAGGATCTCACTGTGTAGCCCAAGCTGGCCTGTAACTTGTGGGCCTCCTGCCTCAGTTTCCCCAGTGCTGAGGTTACAAGGATACACCACCATGCCATGCCTGGGTTGAAATAAATGGTTTTTTAAGGGAGTATATCTGGCCAGTTGGGTCTTGGGCAGGGCTGGATCTTTGGGCCAGGCTCACATCCCTGCTAGGCAGAGAGAGGCTGCCATCGTCCTCTGCCTTTCTTGTAGCCTGGATGCTTCCCCAGGGACCCTGATGGAGGTGGCACAGGGTCATTGGACCCACTTTATATTGGGGCAGCGTTGCTGTATCTAGCTATGTTTAGCTTAGACTCGGGTGAGGCAGGGTATCCAAGTGGTGTCCTGGGGACACAGATCTGCCCCCATTCTCTAGGCTGCTGGAAGTTTAGTGGCTTGTCTACTTGCTCTTTACCACAGAGAGCCTGGTGTCTACTGAAGTCAAGGACCCTCAGTTTCATCTCAGGGTTCAAAGAGAGATGTCTTGGAGCTGTGGTGACACAAGCCAATGAGTGTACTGCCCTGTTTCCATACCAGTTTGGCTGTTTGGCTTCTGTGTGAACCCATTTGCAAGGGGTTGGCCAACAGGCCCCACTGTACATGGCTTGCAAGAGACTTGGAGGAAAATAATGGTGGATTTGTCTGCCACTTGCATGATTTGGGGCCGGGGAGAGGGGTGGAATGGGACACAGGGCTCCCTTCCATGTGTCATCTCCTTAGCCACACTGCTCGCCTCTAGTCAGTCTGGAGGGTATATCTGCTGGCCTAAGGGTATTAATGCTGGGCAGTGGTAGCACACACCTTTTAATCCCAGCACTGGGGAGGTAGAGGCAGTTGGATCTCTGAGTTTGAAGTCAGTCTGGTCTATAAATAGAATTCTAGGACAGGCTCCAAAGCAATACAAAGAAACCCAGTCTGGGGGTGGGGGGATCCAGTGTCGAGAGGTGGTGGTGGTGGTACACCATTAATCCTGTCAGAGGCATACAGATCTTTGTGAGGTTGAGGTTGAGGTCAGTCTGGTCTACAGAGGGAGTTCCAAGACAGCCAGAGGTACATAGATAAGCCTGTCTTGAAAAAACAAAACAAGGAGTGGAGAGATGACTAAGCAGGTAAGAACACTGACTTCTTTTCCTGAGGTCCTGAGTTCAGTTCCCAGCAACCATATGGTGACTCACAACCATTTATAATGATAGTGCCCTCTTGGCCTGCAGGCGTACATGCAGGCAAAACACTGTATACATAATAAATCGTGTGTGTGTGTGTGTGTGTGTGTGTGTGTGTGTGTGTGTGTGTGTGTTCAGGTTTCATCTCTTCATTAGCTCCTTTAAGGACATCCTAAACACATCAGACACAACAGAATATCTTTTCTTCCAGTATTAAAAGAATGACATTCACAAACATTTTGAAGAAGCTCTTCTATAGGATCGACAGTGATCTTGAATAAAAACAATCTCTAGGTAATCATCATTTTGATTCAGATTGCTTATACATTCAGAAATCACTTTCTGGCTATGATGAACATTGTATACAAGTTTTTAAAATGTCCTTAAATACACATTAATTTAAAAAACATTAGCCTGGCCACAGTTTTTTTGGGCCAGAAACAATCCTAAAGGCTAAACAAAAATTAGTAAAAGAGAAAATATTGGTACCATAACCAATGTCTTAAAATTTGTCTTTAGTGGGGCGTTGGTGGCGCATGCCTTTAATCCCAGCACTCGGGAGGCAGAGGCAGGCGGATCTCTGTGAGTTCGAGACCAGCCTGGACTACCAAGCGAGTTCCAGGACAGCCTCCAAAGCCACAGAGAAACCCTGTCTCGGAAAACCAAAAAAAAAAAAAAAAAAAAAAAAAAAAAATTGTCATTAAAGGGAAAAAAAATGTTTAAAGAACACATGGAGCTTTCTAAATGGTCTTTAACAAACTACCTTGGGAGCTCAATTCGAAAATAGAACTCGATGTACTAAAACATGTTTCAGCGCAGCTCCAAAAGTCTTTATAAATACGACAATTTGGAAGGACTCTCCTGGATCAGAAGTGTTATTCCTTGTGTATATTATGTGTGCATGCCCCATCTCAGCTGTCACAATTGCCTCTGTAATTTCCTCCTGAGTAGTGATTATAACTACCCTGACTTCTGCCACTATTGTCTCTAGACGGGCCATGTTCATATCCATATCCTCCAGGTCGACTGTCAAGTCTTCCGCTTCCATAGCCCTGGTCTCCACCACCTCTTGAGTAGCTTCAACTACGCTTATGGGCCCCAAAGGCACCCCCTCTGGTTCCCTGGGCAGACTCGCCTGCATAGTCCACACAAATCTGGGGCCCATCCCGGGACTCTCCATGGCTGTCATGGCATCTGAGGCATGCTCTGGGTTGGTGTGGGTGATGAAGCCAAAACCCTGGTATCTTTGAGTTTCCTGGTCCTTCACAACAATCACCTCAGATATAGACACAAAGCAACTGAAGTGGTCTTCAAGTGCCTGCTCATAGGTGTTGAAGTTGAGCCCGCCCACGAAGAGCCTCCCTGCTTCAGAAGACATGGCAGAATACAAATTCCGGACATACCTGTTTGTATTCAAAAGGCTGGAGTCACCTCGAGCTCTAAAGAACCAGGAGAACCATAAATCAATCTTGAAAAAACAACTTAAAAAAAAATCCAGCCAGGCGGTGGTGGCGCACGCCTTTAATCCCAGCACTCGGGAGGCAGAGGCAGGCGGATGCCTGTGAGTTCAAGGCGGGGCTGGACCGACAGCCTCCAAAACAATACAGAGAAACCCTGTCTTCATAAAAACAAAAACAAAAAACAAAAAAAACCGGTCTTTAAAAATCCAAGTTCTCTGTAAAACTCCAAGATCTCCTTTAAAACAAACAAACAAAAATAATGTCAACTGTGGGCTCCTGAAAAATCAAAAACAAGCACTTATTATGAGAGAGAAGAACCAGGGCACAGTCAGAATCTGAACAGAGCAAAACCAAACTCTTAACTGTGTGAATAACTCAATGTGCAATGTCCAGGGTTCACTATCTTGGGGGCCTGAGTCAGTTCTCTGGCTCTGCCCTCTGCAGCACACATAGCTTGTCTTCTAGACTGTGGTTAGCTCTACTCCACACTCGCTGCTGCTCTTGTGGTTATGATACGGTACTGGGATCTCCAAAATGCTGGGTCTCTGCTGCAATTGGACTGAACTTTCCATGTATATCTTCTTCTGAACTCTCTTCAGGGTCTCCAGCCCTGCCAAACAGTGCCAAGCCTCAGCTGCTGTCCATGGCCCCTTCAGGCCTGCAAAACCAGTAACACCTGGGTGACTCTTAACATCACTGAGTTCAGCTGCCAGCATGAGGTACAACCTTGGCGGTTTCTGAAACACAGCTCCTGTGGTCTTTCCAAGATGGTGGGTGTAAGTTTACTGCCAGCACTGACCGTGGAAGTCTCTGCTTGTCTCCAGCAAAAAAAACAGAGCCCACCCGAGAAAGATGCTGCTACCCTATGTAATGTCTAGTTTTCCTGCCCGCCCCCTGGTTCCTGTTGCTTCTTTCAGCCCCCAAATAACACAAGACACTATATTAATTATGAAGCTGTTGGCTGTTTTCTCGGTTTCTTATTGGCTAGCTCTGACTTGATTATTAACCTATAATTACTAATATATATTTTATAAGGACTTATCTTTACGAGGACATACTCCTGCTGTGTCTGTTCCTCCCAGGAGATCACATGGCGACCAGTCTCTTCACTATATTTCCCAGAATCCTCCTAGACTCCTAGTCCCACCTACCTTACTTCCCTATTGGCCAACAGTGCTTTATTGACATATACACACAATTTCCCCTATCACTGTCATTTCTTTTTCTGTCTTCCCCTGAGCCTAATTCCTCTTCCTACTTACTCTCCCTGTCTAGAAGTTCCATCTATACCTCCTCCTTGCTATTGGCAATTCCGCTTTTTATTAGACCAATCAGCTGCCTTAGGCAGGCAAGGTAAATCAGCAACACATCTTTACATAATTAAGCAATGCAACACATATTTACATAAACTAATATTCCTCAATGCAAACAAATGCAGCACGTCTTTGCATAGTTCAATGCATGTTCTACAGCATCCCTCTGGGATGCTCATCTGCCCCTAGTGTTTCCAGGGTCTCGCCCTCTGAGTCAGTAGCTGCTAGGAAGTGCCACTCACGTTCATCACACAGCACCCAAGCTGCTAGTTCAGGAGATGGCTTGTGTCTGTCTATCCTCAGCTATTCCATTGCTGTGTCCACACAGCAAGAGGCTTTGGAACTCAATGCACAAGGCATTTGTTCTACAGCTGGACTGGCTCGGAGGGGCAACTGACTCTCTCCACTCAATAGCTGCACAGCTCATGGCTGGGCTTTCCTATCTGCAGAAGCTGCTGTGGGAACAGAGCTGGAGTGACAGCCACAAATAAACCTTGCAAGCATCAAAAGGGGCTGGTCACTTACATGCAGTGATGCTGCAGATCAGGTAAGACCCATCAAAAGGGGACCTTAGTGGCATGGAGTAAAGTGGCTCTACTGTGTTCTTTCACACAGAGCCTCATCACAGCATCACACAAAGAGGGGGATGAAGGCCCAGGGGTAAACCCAGGGTGTTTTCTTTGGAAATAACACTGTTGAGCCCATCACCGGGTGCCAGGTGTGGACATTCAGGTTCTGTGGGCCACATTGTTCCTGCTGCATGTACTCAACTCTACCCTGTAACATGGAGGCCACCCTAGATCTCAAAAAGCTGGCACCCCACCAAGGGGATCAGGTTTTAGCCAATGACTGTTACCCAAACCTATCCCCTCTCTGGTGAGAACTTCTACCTCTGCTTATGTCTTTTGGGTTTCTGTCCCCCTGAAGTCCCAGCATCTTCCCATACCTCCTTATCATCTGTTACTCTGCGTTGTGATGAGAATGAGTAAGGCTGACAACCCCTAGGCCTATGCAAGCCATCTTGTGGCTACTGATTCAGGATGGACACTGGTGCCTTGCAATTTACAGTGTGTGCTTTGGGATCCCCCTTTGAGTTATTAGACCATCCCACTGTTTCCCTCATCAGCCACAGGATTGAGGCTCTTTCCTGGTGTTCACTTATCTGTATTGAAG